CTGAATCCCAGAAGATACAAGGTCTGTGTAAGCATGTGTGTCGCATGAGACTAACAAAATAGATCAATTCAACTCTTAAAGCAAAATGTGTCGATTTCTGCCGTGGGCATCTCCAGGAATTTTTTGGTGAGGGTGGGAAACCTGCCACAGAGTGGTTTGTGGTTGTAATTTCCACACATGGCATGCACTGCTACAACACCTGTGCACATTTCATGACTTTTTGAAGCCTACACAAAATAAGAGAAGATCCTGAGAGCTGGATAGCCCTAATGCAGAAAAAAATGCAAAAAATTCAAAAAGTATCATGAATTCCAAGAGGGATTTAAAAGCAAACCAATCATGCATTAGGACAAGGAGGAAGCAAAAGCTCATACGCACAAGCACAGTACAGTTGCCTTAGGGATACTATCTTAGGTCTTCTGCAGCATCACTGCCCCTACTGTGAGTTGACGTATTTGCCTACAACGTCTTCCTTCATCTTGGAAACATTCACAAGCACTGTCTTGAATACTCTTTCCAATCTGATGTTTTCCCTACAACTCTCAGCATTGTTGACTATTGACCATGGAGACTGGGGCTGTTAGGAGTTGAAGCCCAAAGTATTTGGGGGGCATGAGGTTGAGCAAGGTGGCTCCAGAAAATAGCAGTTATGTCTGTTATTTTGCTTTTAAGATGTCCTTTCCTCCTGTTCTGTTATCCACTAGGTAGATAGTGTGGATGATTGTTAAAGCCAGTTCTTCAAGAAATCTAAGATGATGATCACCAATAGGCAGATCTCAGAAGCAACTACACCCATACCATGATGGATGTTTTAATAACATTGTGTCACTCGTATATTGTCAAAAAAGAAAAGAAAAGGAGAGACTCACTGCAGAATGCCATATGGTATAAGGAAATGAGTAGGTAAGACTGGGCCAGGGGAAATGTAGTGAGGAACTCCTCTCCATGTCTACTCAGAACTGAGCCCCACTTAGTTCAATGACATTGCTTTCCAGGTTAGTGAGCATGAGATTGTAGTAACAGACAAAGTCTTCCACATGCAAGACTCAGGAAAGTCGGGGGTGACTGACCTTCAAAGAAAAAGCTTGGCAGACTCAGGAGACAGAATGGCAGCTAGATTTTCTAAAGCCAAAGTCTAGTCATTATTTCGTGCTCATTAATTCTTCTAATAAAAGTCCCTTGGAGGAATGAGTCTATTTTGCCCTACTCTTGTAGCATGTTGATGCTAGCACAAGTGTTTTTACAAAGGTAATCCTCTTCCTTATCCTAATAACTATACTTTGGAAGAAGTCATCTCACTGCTATTACTAATAACACACAATTTACTAATATTAGTTATAAAAAACCCTTCATTTTGACTAGCCTGTTTTCAAATGCCTGTACCTTATTAAACAGATAAATTATCATTCTGTCAGTAAACTATTGCAGAGCTGTCTTTTTGCCCACAAAGGAACATTAGAAAAACATGCTGTTCCATGCTTTAAAACTACATAAAAACAGTCTAAATATGAAACCATGAAGGAAACCAGCCTGAAAGCCATCTAGTCTGGCCCCCAGCTCCACTCATGAAATACATAAAATATCTACCATGTGCAAGTGTTCTCATTTGTATCAGCCTGTAAGTAGGCTTTTAGTCAAAACTCCATAAAGTATTTAAAGTTATTTTTCCTGTTGTCACTTTCTTTGAACTGATCCTTTCAAGGACCATGTTCATATAGCAAGAACAAAGATTTTCACAATCGCTATGAGAACAGATTGCAAGATCCCTCTGCAACAATATCTTTGTTTCCCTGGAAGACAACTAAAGAGCCTTATTTGAATATTTCGCACCAGATTCAGATAACTACTTTTGCTTGATGTTACTTGCCACTGAGTTATTGCCAGCTTATGGTAGCCCTGTGAATGAATGAATGCCACCCAAAATTTCCAGTGCCTTTGTAGCCTCAAGGCTGTGGCTCCCTTTATGAAATTGATGCATCTTATATTTGTCTTCCCTGTCTTCTGTGTCTTGACTTTTCCTAACCTGATTGCCTTTTCAAGGGAGTCCTACCTTCTCACGATGTGCCTGAACTACGACAGCCTTCGTCTCAGCAGTTTTGCTTCCAGGTAACTTTCTGGCTTGATCTGGACTGGGACCCACTTTTTTGTCTTCCAAAAGCTCTTCCCCAGCACCATACTTCAAACACATACATTTTCTTCCTATCAGCTTTCTTCACTGTTCAATTTTCATACCTATACGTAGTGATGGGGAATATAATAGTGTGGATGATCTTAGCCTTGGCATCCAGTAAATCATTGTCCCTTGAACTGGTGATTGAACCAAAGGATGCAAAATCTTTTACAATTTCAATTTCTGTATTAATGGCATTAAAGTTAATTCTTTAATGTAATTCTTTTGTCATCGTATTTGTTTTCTTAATGTTCAGCTGTAGTCCTGCTTTTACACTTCCTTTCTTTCATCAGTTGTTTTTTACTTTCTGCCAGTAACATGGTTATCACCTATATATCTTAAATTATTGATGCATCTTCTGTCAATTTTCAATCCTTCTTCTCTGATCAGCTTTCCTTATATGTTCTGCATACAGAATGAACATGCGGGGAGATGAAATATATCCTTTTCTGATGTCTTTACCTATAGACATTTGTTTCTCCGTATTGTCACAATTATAGCTTCTTGTTCGTAATACAGGTGACAATCATGTGCTGAGGCATAGACTGATCTTTTTTAATTCTTTGGTGTGCTCCAGTAGCCAATGCATATTTGCCATATGAACTGGAATGCCTCTTCCTTATTGGAATCCGGCTTGAACATCATACATTTCTTGCTCCATATAGGGGAAAAAATCTTATTATAAGAGCTTAAGCATTTTATTTTCATGGGAAATTAATGCAATGATCCTATATAGTTACCGCAGTCTTTAACATTTCCTTTCTTGAGGATTGGAATGTATATCACATTGTTTTCACGTTTGCTGGCATATTCGTAATAAGATTTGGATCAATTCAATCTCTGCAGCTTGGAATAGTGCTATTGGTACCCTACTTTTATGTATACCTAATGGTTTGAACTGCAGGTGGCACAGTGGTTTAAACCGCTATGCCGCTGGGCTGGTTGATTGAAAGGTCGCCAGTTTGAATCTGCACGATGGGGCGAGTTCCCGTTGCTCCGTCCCAGCTCCTGCCAACCTTGCAGTTCGAATGCATGCAAATACAAGTAGATAAAAAGGTACCACTTTGGTGGGCAGGTAACAGCGTTCCATGTACTTTGGTGTTGTCATGCCGGCCACTCTGCTAGGAAACAGAGATGAGCACTGCCCCCTAGAGTCAGGCATAACTGGACTTCATGTCAAGGGGAAACCTTTACCTTTTTAATGGTTTGAGCATGCTAATAGCTGTTTAATTCAGTGTCCCACAATTAATATAACTTGAGGTAAAAAAATAACAAATCATGAGAACAGTACCAATCAGTGAAGTAAGAAAGTTAGGAAAAATGGAAGTAGACACAGTGAAACAGATAGGCAGATTACTTCCAACCAGGGGTGCACATATAAGCCAACAATGCTAGATTTTTCTAAGCCAAATCTAGGCTAGAGGCAGCATAGGTTCCTGATTATGTTCTGTTCCCATTTCCCCCTACCATACTCTGCCTTAATGCTTGGCATTTCTCTTCTCCATCAACATACACGTTTGCGTTGGCCAGCCAGAAGGGTCCCCCTAGCAAGCCATTGAAAAATCAGAGCTTATGTTGCTTCAGAATCAGCATATTCAGTTTGTGCAGGGCAGTGAGGCAGGCGATTGATTCTTCTTTAATCAGTTGAGACAGAACACACTATGAAGTAGTACCATATTTTTCGCTCTATAAGACGCGCCTGACCATAAGACGCACCTAGTTTTTAGAGGAGGAAAACAAGAAAAAAAATATTCTGAATCAAATGGGCACATTATCACAAGCACATTCCCCATCACTTCCCCATGGGCTGCACATCTGACAGACTTACTGCACACACATATTCACTCTATAAGACGCACAGACATTTCCCCTTACTTTTGAGGGGGGGAAAGTGCGTCTTATAGAGCAAAAAATACGGTATATGTAATGCCTTCAATATGTGCAGTAAAAGTTCCCACTCAGGGATAAACTCAGCTGGATTCTTAGCACATGGGAGTGAATTATCAAGTCTGAACTGTTGCACTGCTATTAAATAATGAAATAAGTGACACAGTTATTCAACAGAGCTATAAGGTAATACAAGTCCAAAGATGTGGAGTTCTGAAGAGGTTAAGGATCACAGCCACAAGTAGCACAAGATATAGATATGAATTTTGTTCTTCTTAAGATGATTTGAATTTTAAATTTGCCACAAGTGAAAAAAAAATCTGCACCTTAATATTAAATTATCTAGATCAAACCTTATACTTGGCGTGCATTTTTGGCTACCAATTTCCCAGGGAGCCAACTTAAAAGCCTGGAATCCTTACCCATGTGTTTTTTCAAAGATATTGGCCCCCTCCGGTACAGTATTTTATTGAATGCATACACTGTTTCCATTAAAACACATCCAGCACATCATAAATATGCGTCATTAAGAGCAACTGGCAGACAAGAATGAAACAGGGCTTAAAAAGAGGGAATTTAGAATAAGAAGCAAAGGGGAAAAAAACCACACAATTAAAATCCTCAGAGAACAATTCTCGTATGCCTTAACCTATCAACAAAGCAATGTATTGGGGCTTCCTGTATGCATCAGGAAAGCATATCCTACTAATGAGGCATCATCCCTTTTTGTCCCCATACTTCAAATCTCTTATGGTGGAGGTATCTGAAGAGCACCACTAAAACTGAACTTGAGTTTCAGGAAGTAGATATGATCCTATCTCATAAGTTGGGAGTGAAAAGATCTGTTATGTAGAACTAGGTAAACACTTCTTTGGATCCAAGTCTATAATTACAGCAGTATCAAGCAGACTTGCTTTTTTTCTGAAAAAAATGTGCATGCATCTGACTGTCAAGGCATTTATTTACATATCTCCATTACATGTGTCTACACAAACAATACAAATTACTTAAACTGAGTTCTTTAAAGACACACATACACTGCTGTAATCACTTTTTATTTATGGTTAAGTTGCTGTGAATACCCAATATTCTTTTGCTTTGTTTTTTAAAAACACAATATATCTCATTTGTTACTCAGTCTTTGTTAACAAATGGCAACATCCTTCCTCTAATTTACACTTCATGACTGAATAAATGGTAAACTGATTTCAAAGCTGTTATCAGCTTTACCAGCCACAGACACTTGCAATTATATTCTAAGAAAGTGTCTTCCATTCTCATAGCTGTGTACAATGCAAAACCAGAGTGGTACTGAAAGAAATGGATATGTCCTTATTCACTCAAGCAGCACATTTCACTCAATATGAAGAAAGTATCCAAGTTCCACTTCCAATTTGAAATACTCTGTCAGGAGTTCCACCTGCCCAAGCTCCTCAGCATCTGGGCTTTGCGGGTGTTCCACCTCTGACAACGAAGGCAGCACAGAAACAACAAGGCTAGCAACCATTGATAGCCCTCTCCATGAATTTGCTCAATCCCTTTAAACAGCCAACCAAATTGGTGACCATCTGATACAAGAACAAGTTATCGTTTTGCATTTTTGGTGCAAACCCATGCCACAAGCTTGCTCAAAACAAGTCCTATGTTTTCTAAGCTTCACAGCAAGTGTTTAGGATTGCAGTCACGGTGCTTTTATATTTCCCTGTTTGGAGACACCCTTATCTGGTCCTCATAATGACATAGCTATTTGCTTCTAACTGTGATGCCAAACTAGATACCCAGGGAAATCATTGTTTCAATCACTTTTCGCAGTGTGAACATAAATAACCTAATTGAACGCTTCAGTGACTAATTCAAGATCAACATACTTTCTGTGAAGCTTTTGTATATCTAAACTACTCAATTTCTTGCTGCCAATGATTGCTTTCACAATTATAATATCAACAGAAATAAATGCAAATAAATATTATATGTGTTTTCTCCAGAAGTAATATTGCAAAGGCCAAGAAGTTTTCTATTTCTAACCTTAAAGTTGCACACATATGAAATGTGTCCCTTGTGTTGGTCATTTTTAACACATGTAATTTGCTTAAATATTGGCATGGTTTTAAATTTTGTTTTCATTCTAAAGGACAATTTATGAAATAGCAGTCTGCCTACAATTTTGACACCTCAACAGTTTCTTTTCAAAATATGTCAAGGTGAATTTGGAAATGGGAACAGTTCTTCCATTATATGACTGCCTGACATCACTCAGAAATGATTCTCAAGGTAATTCCATTTCAAAATTATTTGCTAAAGTTGAGAAACCCTTCCCCGTAAACACAACAATTGATTGATGCTCTGAACAGCTGTGTTGGCAGAACAGACTAGGCTAACTGATTTCTCTCTCAAGTGAGTCTGTATCTTCACTGTCAGATCATGACAAATATATTCTGTTGTATTAAAGTGTCTTGCAATTGTACAACTGAGCTTTTACAATATTTCTGGCACTTCTGTTTATGTGAAGGTATTTCAAGAAATATTGGCAAATTCTGCCCATCAGCACAAGCAACCATTTTGCTATTATTAAGCTTGCAGTTTTCCTGGTCTGGACTTTTCAGGCACATTTGTTTCAGCACTTTAGCAAACATGCTGCTTTTTGGATGTTGGATCCTATTTAGCAAGCCTCCTGGGAAATCCAAGTCTTTCAGATGGGCATTAGGGTTCTAGACTGCTCTGTTTGGCAAGTCTCCATCCATGCCTGCCCAAGAGAATAGTACCATGTGCCAAGCTCAATTAGTCTTAGGTTATCTACATGCTTGAGGGATTATGTAGAATATGAACACAGAACATAGTTCCTTGGACTTGAATGACTGATGGATCTGGGACAGAATCCCAAGAGCATGCAATTGGTGGGTTAGTAACAGTATTAGTACTGTTCTACATTTTTATGGAACAGACTACAGAATCATTATAGAATAGCTGGCTTCTATTGAAGATTGTATGCTTTCTGGGGATGAACATAATGCAAATTATTTTTTTCTCTCAAGAAAAATTGGAGCCACACAAACCTGGCCATGCTGGCCAAGAATAATGGAGCTTGTAGTCCCGCACACCTGGAAAACACCTGTTTGAGGAAGGCTGCTCTAGCATATGATGCAAGATAGCTCTTCCATAAACCAAACACTTTGAAGCCATCAAATGGTCTGATTTTAGAATTATGACCATTAGGGTGATTTGTAAGAGAGAAAAGTGGAGAAGATGCATTTGTTTCAAGAAAACATTCCCCGATTTCTAAATATTTCCATTGGGAATTAAGCCTCACTGATTATTTCCAACTATAGATGCTTTGGATCACAACTTTAGGATTTGCACTTAGATTAACCAATAGAATGTTAACAAAAGATTGAAATATTTCAAAACATTTTTTAAAAAAGAATTGCGGCAAAATTACATTAGCAAACACTCTAATACATGTTATATGTGGCTAAACATCTCTAAAACAAATGCATATCTACGTAAATTAAATCACAACTCATCACTGGTTTCAGAAGTTATATTGGACTCAGATTGATAGCTATTGATGTTACAAATCAAACATTTCACAGGCAATAACATTTCTATCTAGACAGGCATCTGAAATATATATATCTCTTAACACTATTAGAATAGTGCAAGTGAAGACACAAAACATCCCCAATCTGTTTCTTGTAAGTTAGACAAAAATGGGACAGAACAAATTGGCAGCTTGTGACCTCTGTCCATGCAGAGCATGCTCTTCAAATGTGGATCATGTAGGTCCATGATGGTTTTTCTAGACCCTTATTTCCAGGGCAGCCCTTCTCACCCTCTGAATAATTGGGTGCTCTGAGGGTCAAGGACCCAAGAGAAGCAGGATTCAATGTTGCATCAAGGGCTGCCATCAGAAAGTAAGATCAGTAACTTCTTGTACTGTAAGTGAAAAAAATTTCTGGTTGCACCCAAAACTGCCTTGACATAAAGCATGTGCCATTTCAGTGCTGATATTCTATCTCCACTACAGAGTATTTTGTTTTCAATTTTAAAGTTTTGCTAAGAGAGAATGAAAAAAACAGAAAAACACATTAGAAAGTATTTCAAGGGAATGCTTCATTAAAATTTTAAAAAGGATTCTGATACGGAATAGGCAAATTAAACCATGACCTTAAAACAGAATGACATACGTACAACACAAAAGAGCACAAAAGTGCAGATCTATTTTAGTTGTTAAAGCCCACAAACAAAGTGGAAAAGAAATGTTTTATTTTATTGCATTACAACTTAACAAAGCAGCACATTGTATTAAGTACATAAATCATTACTACAATGGCATTTCCCTCCCTGTAATAAGTTTACTTTTCTGTGCTGATAGACTCCTAGGCCACCAGGATAAAGTACCAAATAGGAGAGGGGTTTTTTTTTCTTTTTGTTTTTAAAGAAAAATAGGTTCAAGATTTTAAATATTTACTTCTCCATCAAAGGAAAGAGGGAGGGAGTAATACAATAAAAAGGAAGAGACCTTCATTACCTTTTGCCCACATAGAATGACATGCACACATTTGGTGACTATAATCACCAGCACATTACCAATTCATTAAATGAACTCTGGTTTCTTCAGACTTGTTTAACAGCTGCAGATGATTTCCTGGGATCAGAGAGAGGATAAAATCCTAGAGGGAAGCCATATATAATATAAAAACAGCAAACTGAACAAAGCAATGACTTTAGCAGAGTTCAGGCTTTGTCATCAGAGTCAGGATTATGGCACAGCTCTGCAGGTGAATTCTCATTAAAATCGTTTTCTCTTGATGATTTCTGGTTTCCAGCTGACAGGATGAGTTTCTTCAGTCTAGAAATATTTTTAAAAAGAAAGATTGGAATGCTAGCCCAATTGTAACTATACACAAACATGTTTAATAAGATCAACTTCAGTGTAACTGACTGTGGTTCAAACTAATTTAAGAGGTCAAATTTATGAATGTATTGGTATTAAAAAGGGGAAAGTTTGCCAACTATGGTCCTCTATATCTATAAAACACATCTTTATATTTAAATGTACGCTCAAGCATTAGAACTTATCCAGAGAAAGCGCTTGTGAAATAGCCCATTACTTCCATGCTACAGATGGGGTGACTGTCCTAGCTCACCCACTTCACTCCTATCTAAGGAAGGATTTCATGTCTTGTCTTCTGGATCAATGTCTACACCTTTTCTGTCATTTCAATTGGGCAGAAATACATGGAAGGTGTGGAAACCCATAGGGCAGGGAGTTTTATTTGATTAATTCTACTTATGATACAAAATGTCAAAACTTCAAGGCCACATTCATGAGGGTCAAATACATGCAAGAATGGAAGTTTCTGTCTGAAAGTTAATAGAGTAATTGAAAAAATAGCAGTTTCTTTAGATTAGAGAGTCCTGACAGATTTCCTGATTCCCCCCCCCCCCCGTAAACAAGCTGTTTGTCAAGTTCTATTATCTTTCCTTTTATGTCATAATACTGCTGCCAAATTAAGACAAGCAACACAGCATTCTGAATTACAAAATAGGATACTAGTTCTCCATGTCTATATGCATTTACCCTGAAATCAGTCCTATCGAGCTCAGTGGCACCCTCTTGTGTATAGTATGGATCCTGGTTATCTGCTAAGATTTCAGCAAAATCTGGCTAACAAAGTACTTTCCTGCTTTTAAATGTAGCACTACTGTAGCCCTTCAAATATTCTGTTCCATCCTTGCGAAATAAATTTTATGTCTTTTTCTACAGAACATACATGCTCTGAATGATTGTATACTATCTGGGCCTTGGAATTAATTTAAAAGGCACCTTATTGAGCTTGTACAATGGAATTGGAAAACATTTTATTGTATTCAGTTGCTGGTACATTACAGCCAAGCAACATTGCTGACCTCCATTTAGAATAACTAGTTTTATTATCTTCCCCCATCTCATGAAATCTGTTTGTGGTTAAAATATACTTAGTGCTCCTATTCAGTTAAAAAGATGCTTGCTCCAGAAGCAAACATCTTTTAGAGACAATGCTTTCAAAATAGTTCTAAAAGCATCTTAAAGTCAGCTTTATGTGTAAAAATATACTGCTAAGTAGAATGTGCAACCATACCGCAGTATCATCTTCTCTGTAGACTTTTATGGTTTTATCAGCTTCAGCAGTAAGAAGCCTGCTTTCAGACTGATCAAATGCACAAGCAAATATTCCAGATTCACTGTCCAATGAGCCAGGCTGGACAGCTGCATGCACCCTCTGGAAGTTGTATCCAGTTCTCCAGTCCCAAAGATGCATTGTACCATTGTCAGCTGAAAAAGAAATAGTGTTGTATCAGTTCATTTATATGGGTATTATGCCCAGTTTAATATGTCAAAAGGCATAAAATTTACATTCATTCATCATTTACTACAGAGATAGACTGTCTTCATGCATCACTGCGAAGATTCTCTTTTTACAGCACAACAGAAATCCATTCTCATTAAACAGAACAGTGCAGAAGGAAGCCCCACTAAGTTCAACAGGGCTTACTTCCAGGTACACAGTGTATAGGAATGCAGCTTAATTAAATGCACAGCTAAATGTGCATACAAGTACACAAAGCCAGAGATATTTCTGAAGCAAGTATGCTTTGTTTTCCAATCATAAATGCATATATCTTCATCTTAGAAGTGGCATTACCTCTTGTTACAAAAACAGTGGAATGTCTCATGCTGACCATTTGCAGTTTTTCTAAATCATTGTGATAGAAGTACTTTAAGTCAGTCTTTTCTAATTGGGTAGCCTCTGGATGTGTTCCAGTACAACTTCCATCATCCCCAGCCACCTCTAGGCCATCAAGTTGGGAAATATTTCTTTAAATACATGTCTTCAACAGAGGCTTGCCTTGATATCAGTTTGACACCAAAGAACCTTTATTTTCTCAGTCTCTGAATCTGTTCCTGCTTTAAATGTGTTTTATCTGAGCTATGTTTCTATTGTTGCCTTTAGTTTTTCCTTAGCCTTGACTAACTTGAAACCATCCAGATGTACAATTCCCATCAGCCTCTAGGCAGCAGAGCTGATTTGGCAGGATGGAGTTGGAGTTGCCTATCCCATCTGGAAGGGACACCAGGTTGGGAAAGGCTGTTTCAATTACTTACTGGAGATCTTCTTAAGTTGTATTAATTTTCTTGTAAGCTGCTTTTACGAATACGGTTATTGAACAGCATATATTATTAATACTTTTTAAAGGAGTATTTGTATACCTTTTTAGTCACTAATTGATTAAAAAACCTCAAACTAATTGTCTGGCACAGGATCCAATAAATGGCTAAAAAGAAATCAGTATCCCACACATTTGCTGGTATCAGAATATTTATTGCAGTTTGTTTATTTTTTGGGCCAGCACACAACAAAACTGGATTCACATGCTTCCTCTGGAAGAGAGCTAACCTGTTCCTCATTCCTATCAGAATTCAGATATCAACAAGATGCTCCTTAAAGTTACTCAGGCCAACTTTGTTTAAAGCCTAAAAGCAATACTTCAAATAGTATCTGGAGACAAAGTTCTTTCAGTACTAGAAGTCTATAAGCTCATTCCTGTTACATAGCTGGTCAGTGAGTTCTGAACTATTTGAAATGTCTAAATGTATAATGAACAGACTTCCATACTGCATGTTACAGTACAGTATTGTTGTAAGCCGCCCCGAGGCTTCAGTGAATGGGGCGGCATAAAAATGTTTAAATAAATAAATAAATAAACAAACAAACACACACACACACACACAACAGGGAAGTAGGATTCGTTTTCCTCAAACTATTTGTAAAATTCTTACCTCCAGAAACCAGAACTCCATCCGAGTTCACAGCTAGTGTATTGATAATAGCACTATGGCCAGAAAGATTTTGGATGAAGTTTCCATCAGGGAATCTCCACTGTTTAATGTTATCTGGGGACCCTGATGCAAATGTATACCTGTAACAAGATGTGTGTTAAGAAATCAGGAAGCATAGGAAAATCACTTAGCAAAGACTGTTGTATTCAATTAACAAGCTCAAAATTCCACTCTTATTACAGCTACAATATAATGTAATGTTGAAAATATTTCCTCCAGATATCTTAAGCATTGTTGTTGTTAGTTGCAAAGTCACGTCTGACCCATCGCAACTCCATGAACAACATTCCTCCAGAGTCTTAAGCATTATAACATTGTTTATCAAAAATATTATTCCTATATTTAATTTTTAAGTCTGAGTGCGCAGAAATAGCTTCCCACTGCACACTGCATCTAGCAAGCTTTTGCTTTGCAGCTGCCCCTGTATCAAACCCCATTCTTGAGGGCCAGCTAACATTCATTAATAGGTCTTTGGGGAAGTGGGGGAAAAGGTTTCTAGTCAAAAGGAGGGCAGAAAAACCCTGGTATGCTAGTGGCCTTACTGGTCATTTTGCATGGAATGGTGCCTGGTTGTACTACAAAAGTGGACTTTCTCAGTAGTGGGACCCACCCCTTCTTTTGAAATACTCTCCTACCTCTTGAGAATATATCTATTTATCCAGGCTTTTTCTGACCTTTGAAAGACTCTGTCAAATCACTTTAGTGTTATGGCACTGTAATGCTTTAAAACATTTTGAAAGTTTTAATTATTTATTCTTCCTTATATAATGTTGTGCTGTATTTTAATAGTTACATAATGGAATTCACTGCCATGGGAAGTGATGGCCACCAATCTGAATGGCTTTAAAAAAGAGATTGGACAGATGCATGAAGGAGGAGGCTATCAGTGTCTACTAGCCTTGCTAGCTAAGTGCTACCTCCTTTATCAGAGCTCACATGCTCACATTTTCTTAATGAGTCATTTAAGGATGTTGATGTTTGTTAATAGTAGTATAAATAACTCCCCCTCCCCCCCCCCAAAAAAAAACAAAAATAAAACACTAGGCTTACACATTGCCAGCAGACAAATATCTAGGTAAGTTATCAGTCCGTGTTAGTCAGCTACACACTACCACCAACACAGACAATCTTAGTCTATTTCCAGTTTGCTATTAAGTTTTTTAAACGGGTTTGCGCCAAATATTTATCCATGTAGTGGTCAGAGCTGGACTAGGATTAGAAAATCCAAGTTCAGATCCCCATACTAGGTGGCCTTGGACTGGTCATTATTTCTCAGCCTAAACCACGTCATGGAGTTGTTGGGAAGATAAAATGTGTTGAAAAAAGGAAGCATATAAATGTAAACAGTAATAAATACAATATACATATTCACAAGTTATTCCACTGATTTTGGTAAGGCATATTTTAAGCAAATCTGCACAGAACTGCAGGCTTGCCAATCTGTGACAGTGAAAACATTTACACACAAATGACTGGCCGGGGCAGGGCGCCAGCATCCCTGGAATTTCACACATGTGTCCCAGGCCTAAGGAGTCATCTCAATTAGCCATGATGCTTTGTAAAGAGTACAGAAGCCCAAGCAAATTAGGCCTCATAGCCTTCTAAACAAGTGAACAACTTTCCAAAAGTGTTGAATTCATAAAAGTTAGTTCACCCTTGTCTCTAGCAAAAGGCATGGTTAGTAAGCCTATTATATTAGCATAGATAAAACTCCGAAAAATCTTACTGTCTTGGGTGCAGTACAACTGCTCTTACTGATTTCTTGTGATTTGTTAAAGTGACCCGAGTTTTTCCTGCTACCAAGTCCCAGAGTCGTATAGTGGTATCGTGACTTCCTACAAGAGAAAACAAGTTTTTAGAAAAACATACTAAAATATCACTCCTCTGAACTGTTACAGAACCACAAACCATAATTTTGCTACACTTCCAAGTCTCTCTATTTCAACAGCACTTTGGAGGATCCTTTGTGCAGGAGGCATCATATAAATCTCAGATTACCTTAATTGCATAGAAGACTGAAGGGGTTATTTCAACAGACATACTATTACAGTGGATACAACTGCTTTTCTGAAGTATTTCACCTTTTTGCAGTAAATTAATCTGTGACTGAAGTGGTTCTGTTTGCTAACAGATGGCCATTTTCCAATTTATTGCTCTTGGTTCTAGCCTACAGTTAGAAATAATCAGCAAACTCACAACAGGTTCTGCAAGATAAAATCCAACCATTCTTCCAAAGCAACACTGGTTTTCATGCAAACACTTAGATCCATCATATTGCAGCATCATGGCATCGCCTGTGCATGAGCTGGCCACAGTGCTGAACAGTTTAATATGTTGTTTGCATGGTCTTCAACCCTGACAAACATACCTGTGATAATCTGTGGTTCCGCTGCTTGGCATTTCACAGTTGCAACAGCATTTGTGTGTCCTGTCAATGTATGCACACTAGCTTTTGTCCTTACATCCCAAATCTAATAAGATCAAACAAATTTGAACAACCATTAGTGCCATCAACAACCAAGGGATAGCTTATAATCTTCCACAGCAAATCAAATGTAGCACACATTCACTTTCTTTATAAACTTTTCCACAGGACAGCCACAGAAAATTTAACCTCTATCCTCCTATTCTCTTGTTTTCCTTAAAACAAATTTCAACTCACCCCAATGCTGCTAAAGATAATAAAATAATCCAGTACACAGAGTTGCTATCAAGTGTTAAAAAACTAGAGGAAAGCACCCAAATATATGCCTCTAAGAGCTATTTCACCCATAGTGTTTTCCCTATATGGATACAATATTTATGTAAACAGATAATAATATAAAACACAAATAATTTTGTGTAAGGTATACGGGAGTGTACTTTGCTGCAACTATACTGATTGAGAAGCACCTACAGATAAGCAGCAAATATTCAAAAATCATGGTATAGCCAGTTTCAGAGACTCTCTCCTGTAAAGGATAGAACTTGTTGACTGCACAAAAGTTTCAGTCTTCCACACATGACTAATATCTGATCAAGTCACAAAACCTATACAAGGAGATTTAGCAGGTTTCACAGCTTTTTATAAGTAAGCAGATGTGACACGAAGCCTAAGCATTGTTTTTTATACCAAAACGAAGCTTAAAGTACATCTTAAACATTCTAGTTTTACTTACACGTGCAGTTGAATCTCTGCTACATGTTACAAGCACATCTATTGTTGGATGCAAATCCAAGCCATACACAGCGCTTAAATGACCATGGTAATGCCTAATAACCTGGACATAAACATATTTCAGTTAAAACTGAAAATTCCACAAAGAACCATTTTAAATTACTGAAAGATTTCAACTGCTATTTGTATGCTTTGCTTACCTTATTATATTCAAGATCCCAGCATTTGACCTGTTTATCTTCTCCACAAGAGAAGAGGTACGGACTCCTCGCACTCACTATTACTCCTCGAACTGTACTAATATGCCCCGTCAAAGACAGTTTTAACTTGCCACTTGCAAGATCCCAGATCTATAGTAAGAGAAGCAAATACTTGATATTTTTGCAAGGGCCAAACATCAAAGTTTGCCAATTTAATTGAGGCCAACAACTCAAATATTTAACAAGTGTACAAAATGCATCCTTCTAAAAGGAGAGAGTCCATGAACTCAGAATTCAGCATCAATCAGGTACAACTCAACATTTTGACAATCAAATAGTCTGAAATGGACTGTTCAGAAACACTCAGCAGTAGTTAAAATAATGTCAATGGCACCAGATCACAATTAGGTCAGTTCTTTGGTACTTCTTACCTTTATAGTTCTGTCAGCAGAGCCAGTAACAAACCACTGGTTTCCCGGTTCTACTGCAATACATCTCACCCAGCCCAAGTGTCCACTGATAACCTGCAAATGTTACAAGATGGAACTCCTGATTTAAAAGAACTATCAACAGTGACCAGTTAAACACAAGTTCAAAGGAGTTTGGCTCATCTATTTTATTTCAAAGCTATACTAGATTATCCATTAGATATAGCTCACTGTTTATAATCATCTTGACCACCAATTGAAACATAACCATTAGTTCATGTTAGACTGCTTTGCAATACCATACAGATTATAAATAATCAGTGAATATGACTCATAAGGAAATGTGATTCTGTTATTCTGGCCTCCCATCCCAGTCATTCATCTTCACACAAAGTTACACAAAGTACGAAGTCTAGTTTCACAGCACTGGTATATTCCAAGCACAAGTTATATTGCTAAGTATCTTCCTCCTACCCTCAAATTCTGTGCTAATTTCAAGTGAATCTTCTCCCAAGATTTACTATTATTATATTACATGGCATTTCTATACTGCCTGTACTCAAAGCTCTCTGGAAAGTTTGTAACATTTAAGTCACCCATCCAGATTTCAACCAGGAGTGACCCTTGCATAGCTTCCAAGATTAAGCAGGATCAGGCACTTCAGGCTATGAGCCAACACATAGAAAAAATAGACAGAATGTCCAGGGCTGTAAGTTGCCTCATTATCTCTGTCTGCAACCAACAGAGCACCACCTTCCAGGAGGTTATTCACACGCCATACATCAGCATGTGATGTAAAATTCACTGTATATCAGACTACATGGCATATCATGTGAAGAGTTAATATTCAAAACAGCCATAAAGTCTTATGATTCACATATTCAATGTTTGCTTTATGTTTTGTATGTCAAGCAAAACATGTCAGTAATAATAGTGGCTTTTTAATAGCACTTTTGTAGGCAAGCTTTTCTGAATTTTGAAAACCAAAATCTTTTTGACTTCTTCACAACACTACTAAGCTATCTGGCACATATACCTTTTTATATACAAATTGAAGCTATTGTGACAAACTGGAAGAAATTGAGAAGAAAACCATTGTAGTAACCAGCTTCATGAGGCAGGGAAACCCTGCCTTTTAACTAATAACAAAGCAAAGTACAGATACTAGAAAAATGAGGTTATGGCCTGGTTTTAGGAGTATCCATTTCCAGGTTTAAATGAAGCACAAAAACTGCAGTTAGTTTAAACTAATGTGTACTGAAACAAGCCATGGTTAGACACTACAAATAGATCTTAACTTGTTTCAATAAGCCAGTTTATATTCATTGGATGTAATGGCAATCCAGTTAGCTTAAATAGTGAAGCAGATGCTTCCAGTTTTTCCTTTGATGTGCCCTGGAGTAGAAACAGAAAGGGAGAGCACTTGAATCCAAGTTTTGAGGAAGTTTTTTCATGTAACCCTAAACTATGGTTTAACATTACATCTAAACCTGGCCAGTGTTTAGCATCCCTTTTATCTTGGGATTTGTCCTTGTAACATTTACAACTCACTCTGTAGAGTTTCCATGGAGGATGCCACTGTGGTTTTGGCATTGTTGGAGCCTTCTTTGCCATTAATGCAGAATTTTTATTTCCACCTGCTTCCATCATAGCCTATAAAGGAAAAAAAACACAAATATTTTCTTTTAATCTCAGAAAAGATATGGCTCTTGGTATCTATAAAGAAATCCTTACATGGTTATAAAGTGGATTACAGAAAACTAGTTTCTGAGAAACGCAGTGCAAGATTGGAATCCAATTTAGATAACACTGCATCCCGAAAGTTATCTATTAAGGAGTCTTACCATAGTCAAGCCTGGAGGCTGTGAACGCTCAGGAATCCCAGCATGTCTATACATATCACCTACACCAGCAGCAGTTCGATTTGCTTCCATTCTGGAAAGAGAAGAAAAAGTAGATGTGGAGCGGAGAAAGTGACATTATACATTACATATATTTTTCAGATACACTATAGTAAGACCATTGACTAAACCCACGTAGCATGGCTTGCTTGAGAGAGAAGCAGCCCCCTTGTCATGCAGTTATTTGAGGATTGTTCAAGTAGGTAACAACAAGCCACAGCAATCACCAGAAGCCTGTCATTTCCTGTTATCCTTCAAAACCTTGTAAAGGTTTTTGATGTCCTCATATTGTGCCTTGGGGTCTAAGACAAATGATGATGGACCCATTTATGCTGCCATCCTAAGCACACTTACTTACTAAATTCATTGGAGTTACTTCTCAGGAGGCATAGTTAGGCTTACAATGTTCATGGGTCTGGTGTCATTTAAACTAAGGTTTCCTAGCAACTTACTCACATCTTCAGTCATACCAAGTCCTAGCCAAACCAAAAAAAAAAAAAAAAACCCCTACAAGAAGGCATTTACAAGTCTTCTTTACTCAAGGTGGAGAAAAGAGTTGTACATATGCTGTTATACTTGAGGATTCCTTATCATCCCAAAATCCTAAGTCCTTCTTTATCTTTCCGATGAGGGAACAGTGGTATCACAAATAGCAGCAATGATGAACTGTAGCATGAAAGGATTCCCAGCATAATCTACCCAAACATGCAATATTTGATTTGGTTTTAACAATGCTATCTGAAGCAACATGGCAGCTATAAACACTTAGGAAAATCAAATTAAGAGTGAGAATATCACTGTGCTTTAACAAATATCAACTGAAATCACGGTGCCTTAAGTTTTTACTTTGAAAAAACGATTCTGCATTTTAGATCAGATTTTTCACTTTAATAAAATATCATTACTTGGACTGGGAAGGAGGCAGTGCCACAACTAATGACTGAGCTGCTGATTCACTAGGCATCCTCTGAATTTTGGTATCTGCAGTCAAAGCCACTCCTTGTAAAAAGAGAAAGCACCCAGTTAAGAAAATGCTAATTAAATCATTACTATTCATTTTTTTCTGAGAAAAACCATTGAAAAACTTACCATCTTAATCCAATACTGGAAGAATGGACTTATCTTTGCACATTAGCAGTTTCCCTTTCCTTCTCCCATCAACAAGAACAAAGCTTCATAGTCAAAAGCTCAAATAAATTTGAAATGTAGACTTCCTTACCAGTAATTACATATAGAAATCTACCATAATAAACTAGCTTCTTAATTTGACCCAATTTTAACTCAGTGCCATCACAGCAATACTAAAACCTCTTTACTATCTAATAGTAAGTATTTTCCATTTCAAGGAAGCTATTATTTTAAGCATGCTTAAACATTTCATACACAATGGCAACAATATTCTACTAGTTAAAAAAGGGAACTGATAAAACAAAACTCTGAAGACAGTAAGTATGATTACTTGCACATTACAGATTTCCATTTAGTCTTCCCAACTTTTTTTTAAAGAGAATAAAACCTTCCAGTTTTATTAACACACAGCAATGATTAAGTATTATATCATTACTGCAAATATCTTCCCTAAGATTTTATACCAGAGCAATACACAATTTCACCCAGACCTAATCCTTGTTTGGCCAAAAACTTACCGGGCCCAGGGGGATATGGATGTGTTCCTGTTATCAAATATTCATTATCTTCTCCTAGATGGTGAGATTAGTTAATTATTACTTTATAGAGGATTAAAGTATACACGCTTGTCCTAAGATTCTTGGAAGTACATTTTTCATTGCAAGTCATGCATAAGAGCAGCTGCTGCTAATATTTACCTTGTAACAAATGCATCCCATGCTGTGTATACCCTTCATAAAAAACTGAGAAATTCACACTTTAACATTGTGACAAGTGCTGCTACTTAATAATCCAAAAGCAACAGCTCCATTAATATTTATATAAAGAGCAAGTAAACAGTCAAAATAAGGAAGCTTTGAGTTTATCAAAATTCCTATCAGGCTGAACATTAAGCAACTGATGCCCACAGAAAAGCAGGGGGAAGAGAGAGAAACTTTTATTGCTGGATGGCAATATATAAAAAACAAACAAACTCTCAACTTGAAATAGCTTACAACTGAATAGTGTGTGTTATGTAGACATGAAAGGCAACCTTATTTGCATCTACTCAGAAATAAGTGGATATATAGATTACATTGCTAGTTACATTAGGTCACACTTGATATAAAAAGCATTGAAGACTCCAAGAACTATAGATGCACTGCCTTCAAAAAAATAAAAAACAAGCATGTATTCAAAATTTATTCATTAAAAAGAGAAACCAAGTGCTTGTTTTTATATTTTCAGATGAAGAACAGCCATACTTTGTAACACCTGGTGTAAAGAATCAAGGGTTTTGGCACCACACACAGTTAACCTAATAAAATCTGCACAACACTTTCCCTGCTCCACTGGGCTTCAGCTGGTGGTTTGACACCTACTATTATTAGGTCTCAGCCTGACACAAGGTGGGTCATCACTGCAGCAACCACCTTCATAGATATATATGTTAAAAAATTAGTGCGGCTCCCCAGTCATATTTGGACAGAAGGTCCATTTTTAAAAATAATGATGGTGATTGCATTCAGTTTGATCAACCATTTGAGAACTTAAACATCTTTTCATAAGCTTTCACTTAGACCTGTTGCCTTTGGATATTTTTCTTACAGACCAATAAACTGCCTATGATTTTTGAATGTGGGATTAATATCAGTTATGTGCTGAGTGCTCTTTATTACTTTATGAATTAGCTGAATGAAGCAGAGCTTTAAAAAAAACCCCAACCATCTTCCACAGGAGGGGTCTCTTAAATTGTGCGAACTTACCATGAATTCTGTAGTACTGAAAGAAGTACAATATTTCTGACTGCAGTGCCATTTTTGCTTCAGAAATTATCTTGGGAATTAATACCCTATCAGTGTAGATATATTCTACAGTTGTGAATGATTACAGGCAGCACATCCAGACAGTTTTATTTATTTATTTTTCGATTTATGTCCTGCCTTTTTCCTACAAAGGGCTCAAGGCAGCTTACATCATTCTCCTCCTCCATCTTATCCCCACAACAACAACCCTGTGAGGTAGGTTGGGCTGAGAGTCTGTGATTGCCCAAAGTCACCCAGTTGGCTCCATGGCTGAGCGGGGACTAGAACCCAGACCGCCTGAGTCCCAGTCCCATGCTCTTAACCACTACACCATACTGGCATCTCTTAAACATGATTTAACACCAAGTATATAAGAATATGCAATGTACACCCCATTCATCCTGAAAAAATATCCTATCTTATTTGTACTTAACTGCTGAATTGGATCTGAATGACTGAGTTCACATGACCTAAGTCAGCAGGGGTGTGGCTTAGCACAGCATGCAAGCCCACTTTGCGTCCCTCAGGGCAGCATATAAATCAACCCATGCAGCCATGGCTTGTTCTTGGATTTAGATGAGTCATAGTCAAACAGAAGAACAGCAAAGAAGGGTTGCTGCTCTGGCCAAGGGACCCTGGCTGCCCTGCTCCTCCTCCTTCTCCAGCCCCACTTAGGTCTTGAGACAGAGGAGGCATGTAGCAGAGGAAGGACCTGCTTGGGTTCACTTCCTCAACAGCATCCCTGATAGAAATTGAATTATTCTAAATATACCAGCAGCACCCTCTGGCAATGACTCAAAGAGTAGTTGATAGTCTTGAGACTGATACTGGCTGAAGGTAGGCAAGGTGTCCCTTTCATGCTTCTGAAGATGCACAGCAATTAAGAGACTAACAATGCATGCATTCTCCTTCTCTTTGTATATGGGCCTAAGTATCAGTGCAATCCCATACATTCAGCAGGATTCAATGCAGTTTAATCTTGGGCAATTGGATATACAATTGTAGCCTGTGTCAAAGGGAGAAAAGGAGGGAGGCGCAGGCAGGCACCATACCTGGACTCTGAAGATACTGCTTATGTCCATAGGAATCAATTACGTTGTGAGGACCTTTCTCTCGAGCATTTTCTTTCAATACAGGCATGTGCAGCACAGAACCATACTCTGTATGAAGTTTAACTGCCATCTTAATTTTGTGGCTGTAGAAGAAAATGCTTTATTACATGTTTATTTCTGATGCATTGTTTTGTCATAACAAATCCATCTTTCGGTGAAAGATGCTCATACCATCAGGAGTTCAGGTACCAAGTTGAGTTGTTTATCCCATTGCTGGGATACAGATTGTTCCAAATCTAGATTCCTGTTGCCTCACATACAGGTAATCAGGGAAGTGTGAGGAATCTGTCGTGTGCAGAAAATCCACCAGATTCCCTTGTTTTGGCTTCCTGAACTCTTGTCTGCTTTGAGTTCAAGATTCTGGAGAGCATGCCCCAGGTTCATTGGATGCTTGCCAGGAATCAATCTGGCAGCAGCAAGCAGGGAAGAAGGTTGGTTGCCCAGAATGGCAGCCACTTTGCTTGCTCGCCTGCCCCCGTTTCCTTGTGTGATGCCCAGGCAGCCCCTGCTTGTGCTCCACAGCTACTGCTCAAACAGTGGCTGCTCCTCACACTGAAGAAGCCAGGTTGTGGTTCACCCACCAGGAAAACAGCTGCTGCCCTCAATCGGTGGCAGTGCCCAGTTGCATGTCAAAGCAGCCACTCAAATGGTGGTTGGGGGAAGTGCCTTCATGGCAGGCACCTTGTGACTTGGTGACTGCCAGGAAAGCACAACCCCAACAGCTGTGCGAGCAGCATCCCTCTTCCATATCAGCTACAGCCAGCCTTTTGGGCTGCTGCTGACAATGCAGAAGGTGGTTGCCAGTTGTGCAACTGGACCTCAGCAAGTGTTTGTGGACTTTCTCTCAGTTTGACTCTCTTCAAAGACCAAGGCAAGCACAAGAGGAAGCCTCTGAATGCTTGGAAGGACAGATTCTGAAAAGGTTCATCCCATCCCTAATAGGAATACTACTGGAATAGTTAGCTAGATTTGATTTGGGTACATCAGTGCACCCCTGCACACAAACTGCAGCACCAAATCATTTGGATAATTTAGTACACAAATGTAATCCTTGCTGGATCAGACTACAGATATTTTACTCCAACATTTTCTTCACATGGCAGGCAACCAGCTCCCTAAAGGATCCCACAAGTAGGATATGAGTACAATAGCACCTTTCTGCCTAACTTTACCAGCAACTGGTACACATTGTTATGTATATCACTGATCCTAAACTCAAGTGCTGGTCCATTTAACCACATGCATCAAAGGAACACACAGTGTTCTGCCAAAGAGGTTCAACTGGTTGGGAGAATTCAGCCCAATTTAACTTTCTAGAAAAGTACTTTCCCAGTTGCTGTAGGACCAGGGCTGACAGAAAGTACCCGATTCCAAAGTTATGTCTAGTAATGATAAGAGTGATTAGATGGGACTCCTGAGTATATGGAAACACATTACGATTCTAGAATAACTTATAACTTCAAAAATATCTTGCTGGCAATTTTACTTACCTTCTTTCATCCAATAGTATAGGTTTTGCATTGTCAGCTACAAACATGTCATGAGTTCTCTTCAAAGATCTGAATACAAGGGTATGCACAGAATGCTTCTGCACTTCCTGAAAAGATAAATTGCAGATACATCTATAACAACACATTTCATTAGACAGGTTTTCACAAATATTGGTTTAGCTTGATAGACAAATGTAATTTATCACCAGGCTAGGTCACCACTTACTCATTTTTATGTGCCAGAGCTTTCAAGGAAGGAACAGTCTCATATTACACTGAGCTATTTAAAGTAACTTGTTTAAGAAAGATCCAAGGTCTATAAAATTTAATTCAGCTCTCCATGCATCAGCCCATGTGCCAACTGGGGCTGGAAAATCAGGGGCTATTCTATGTATTTTCTTTACATAGAACTATGCTAGATCAGACCAAGCTCCATCTAGTCTGGCATTCTAGACACAGTAGCCAAGCAGTTGCCTATGAGAAACCTACAAGCAGAACATGAGTGCAAGTGAACCTTCTCACCCATGTTCTCCTGCAACAGATGTGCACTGGAATACAGTTTCTGATACTGAAGGGAGCACATACCCATCAGGAACAGTGTACATTGATAACATTACTCTCAGTGAATTTGTTTATTCCTCTTTTAAAGCCATCTAAATTGGTGATCATCACTATAATCTGTGCTAGAGAATGCTGTAGTTTTAATTATATGCTATATGAAGAAGTATTTCCTGTTATCTGTCCTGAAACTCCCAACAATCAGTTTCATGGGGTCGCCTCGATTCTAGTATTATGAGAGAGGGAGAAAAATGTCTCCCTATTTACTTTCTTCTCACCATGCAAGTTTTGTGTAAGAATCTTAGAGCTAGACAGAAAAACAACAGCTAGAAACAGAAATGCTTTGCTTGCTGCTGAGGAGGTGTATTTGCTGTCTACTTTCCATATGGGCAGTTAAACTATCCTGAAAAAACAAGAGAGGAAGGCACCTACTTCTTCTGTTTAGATTTGTGTTTACTATATCTGTGCATTTTATAAACACTGAATCAGTTTGAATACTCTAATAGGAAAGTAGAACATAAATCTACTCAATAAAATAAGAAGGCTTCTCTGACATGCTATTATTACTGTGATTTTGTTGTATTTTCATGTTATAAAACTACTTTGGAAAACTTGCCAAGAAATCATTTAAATAAATTTGCAATAGTAATCAGAATGTTATACTGGACATTGAATAACAGCTTAAAAATAATAATTCATTGTACTAGGCAACAAATGCAACAGAAGTGCTTTGTTCAGTATATTGGGATATTTTAGTTGGTTCTTCTAAAAGATATATTCGTTGTATCTCTCAATAACGTATGGGATCTATAAGTCTTTAAGCACAGTGTATTTGGATTACATTGAAGGTGCACAAGATTATACTTCAAAATAAAGTACATATATGATTCTTGTATATATATATATATCAAGGGATTAGTAATTTAACTGTATGCTGTGAGCTTTTCAACATTTTCTGGCTGTTTACATCTTCAATTGTTTCCCTCATTTTGTTTTAGAATGCCTACTAAAAAGGATTACTCTTACGTTGCTTATGCATGTTTGGTTAGCATAGCTTTATTCCTTCTACTGTAAATAAAGCACTCTTTTCACCCATTAAAAAAAGCAACTACATATCAAGGACATATGAGAGAAGGAAGCCAACTCTTACCCCCACATTCTAATAAGTAGGTGTTTACTTTGCAATAGAATCCATAGGAACTGAAGGCTAGCAAGTCTGATCCTGCTTCCTAAATAAATTATGTTAACTTTCTCCCTTTCCGGACCAGAGTGTCAAGATCAAGGATATTAGAGTGATGCTTTGGTCAACAGTCTCTTTTCCCGGCTAAGGAGAACTGGGTGCAAATGTTAACTTAAAAGCATTTCACCATCAGTCTGGCAGGATAACTTCCATATATACAAGTATTTAGAGACCAAAGCTCTGTTAAATTTATCCCCACCATCAACAATGGATTAACAAAAAAACATGAGCAGAGGAAATTATTTACAGAACATTAAACACAATCTGTTACCTTTCTGCCTGCCCAAGATCACAAAACTGTCACTCATTTTTTGTTGACTCAAATCCACTCACTTGTTTAATTAGATTAATGGATATTGTTACATAAAGAGGGCACATTAATCTGTTAATACCATACATCAGAAAGTCAATTGTTGGTGACATTGAAACAGTATACCTTCTTTATGTGACCAAATTGCTATGCTCACCATATGGGGCTCTAGTTTCCAAATGTGAATTAGGCACTAAAATATATGCCTGTGTGGTAATGGAATATATATGTTTGCTGCAGCCAGTTAAGATTATGCACAGGGATCTAACTTGTTTTAATAGTAAAGAATGTTACAAGGTACCATATAGTTAACCCCTTACATAGCAGCTATCATTATTAGCAGACCAAGAGTAAAGAAAAGCAGGGCTATTCCATTTTCTCCATCATTCCTTCAACAACTGCCTATTACAGCTCCATCAGGCTTGACACTGATGCTCTGTATATTCTCTGCATGCACTTTGTGCTTCAAGACTCTGTGTTAATCTATCCTATGTTTGGAGGATCTGGTCCAACTTTCTGATACAGAGAGAATTTGTGCACGTGCAGCCTGCATGTTGTGAATTTCCTCTGTGGCATGGTATTTTTATTCCTACCACTTGCTGGATTGCTGTGAGGAAGTCCAACACCTTGCTGGGACTTAGAGGAAATGCAGAATATAACTATTATTTATTAATTTGTTTAAAAGTCTCTCCCCAATTCTGACAACATGAGTCTGCTGTTAAAGAACTAACACAGCTCCTTCTACATTGTACTCACTTGGGATCTATGCCACTCCGTGAATGACCTATGGCTTGCTTAGGTTTCTTGCACAAATGCAGGTGTAAGACTTCTGCCTTTTTGCAAGATAAAGACTAATACCCTTGCAGCAAAGCCAGTTAGTTGATATTCTGTTAGACATTGTAACATTAGACAAGACTGGAACTTATGAAATAAAAGGAGCTGAGGAAGGCCTGGACAACCCCTATATGTACAGGAACAACAGCAGGGGTCCTTGTTCAATGGTAAGAGCACCTGCTTTGTATGCAGGACTAAAATTCAAACCAATAACCAGCTTCTTGAGGTCAGACAATGACACAATCCTACCTGACACCCAGGAGAGCTACAGCCAATCACTGTCAATAAACTGTGATCTGAGGCATGCTACAACACAAAACAGTACATCAAGAGGGGATTGCCTTTGCCAAAATATATCAACAAGCAAATTCTGGCTGTATCTTGCAATCAAAGTTCCACAGAGCTATACACAAAGACAAAGCTGTGAGTTGCTGACAAGCACAAGTACCCCAGTAAACTTGCTGTTCTGTTTTTCATTAGGCAACCACAGGAACGTACAGCCAAGCAGAGATACTGTAACACTGAAATCTTCAAAAGACCTTTACCACCAGTAAAGAAGGGCTTGAAAATTAGAAGCTATTGACAGCCTGAGTGACCTTTTCCTTTTCTCTTCAGATGGTACTTTAGCCTGAATAGTAACAAAAGGTGGAAAACCAAAACATCCTTAGCTTCCCAATCACAACAACTGCACTTTGTCCATCCTTAAACACAGGTAATTATCCTGGAAGCCCATACAGCAGCTTAAGTCAACAATTAATACTGGGATTCCTGGCTGTCGATACATAAACAACATGGATACTACAGTAGTCCATGTACTATTGTTTATTTAAACATTTCTCTTCTGTCTTTATCAAAAACAGATAAAGAACTGGCATGTGTCAGTTTTCTACACGAGTCTAGCTGTCAATTTTCAGTGAATCAAGAAAGAAAGAAAGAAAGAAAGAAAAACACTGAAAGGTTGAAAGAGCAAATGGATGCGCCTTATACTACCAAGCACACACAAAGAAACAACCTCTTAACTCAGAGATGACTGCAGCCATCACAATGCTCTGACTGAGTACTAACATGAACTGCCCAAAGGATTGCAGCCCAGCATTCAACCATTTGTCACCATTGCTGAAGACCATTAAAAAAAAGAAATAACATGTATTATAGGAATAAATTAAAGATTATGTAAGGGACTAATAACTCCCTGGGCAGTGTCTCAGAGCCCATAGGATGCAGGGGATCTAACTCTCCATAGCATTCCACCATCAGAGAAGAAAATATGAAAGTGGAACCAAACCCATGGCAGTTTCCTCCTCTGTAGTTGAAGCTCTGACCTCTGGAAAGGCCAAGAATGAGTGGCAAGAGAGAGGCTGTGGATCTGCTGGACAGGACAATCTGCCAGCTCCACCTCTGAAGCCTGTCTAACAGAAATTCCTCCAAATCCTTTTTTGGAGGAATAAGGAACATAATCACCTTACACTGTTCTTTCTACTGTGACAGGCCTTTGGATAGATAGGAGCCTTTAAGATCAGATAACTTCACTCCTAGCACTGCTTTCCTCTTTTGGCATGGAAATAACAAGAAATGTTGATAATATGTAAGATGAGAGACAGATATAAATATGTTCTAAACTGAGTCTATCCATGCTGCCTTCTATAGACCAGCACTACCGCGGCTGCTAGGCTGTTAGTGGATCTCTGAAATCTCAAACTAATACACACCTATTTTAAATTTCAGTAAGTTAAACACAGTTTGCTTTAAGAGAGTATGAAGATGAAGATAAAGGCTTTCTGTAGATTAAATGCAATTAATATGCATTGTGGAAGCAATGCATGGCGATTTTAATCTGCTCCTTGTTTTTTTGGGGGGGGAGCAATTTGGTTATCAGCAACTGAATGAACAATAATTAATTATCGAGAAAAACCCCACAGTAGCATACACCTTTATTAGGCTAACCAAAACATAGGAAAAAATGTGCACACATTCAAGATATCCAGAACATTTGATCAAGCTTGGTCAAGAGATCTTAGGAACCTACACACATTTTTGTGGGTTACTTGCAGGAAGAAGAAAAGCAGGGTACGAATGCAATGCAATAACAGTAATATTTCATTGAAACAGGTAATGGATTCTTCCCCTTTATGAACAAAATAGACATCATTGCTAATTACAGGTTGCTTTTCGAACTACTTAAGAAAATCCTCCCCAAAACAGTGACAGGAAAGGATCTTACCAGAACCCTCCCCAAGGTTTGATCAGACCCTTTTCATCAAGTACTCGCATGGACGTACACAACAGGTCTGGATTCATCCCCTTCTGAAGCACAACCGATAGACATTTAAAGAGAAGAAAATTGTTCCAGGCAGCTAATAGATAACCGGGGCGGGGGTGCGTGGGGGGAGAGGCTAGTGTTAGCTCAGTGACCTCCCAACTCAAGAAGTATGAAGGCCCTTACCTCGTTGCTCTTACCCCACGCCACCAATATAAGACGCCCCCCACCCCCATTCCCCACTGGGAAAGGGGCCCGGAGAAAAACCCATGCACTTACCTCTACCATGGCGCCGATCTGTCTTGTCAACTACACCCACCACAACCCCGATCGCTCAACCGCACCGCTACAAACCTAACGCCACACTCAGGCGCGCTAATTACAAGGCGCCCACTTCCGGCGCTTCTCGGCGCGAAGGAAATGACGTGCAGCACGCGCGGACCGCCTCGCTCGCGCCGTCGGGTTGCTTGGCCCGAGCGCGGGAGGGCGGGGCGCGGTGGGGACCGAGTGAGCGGGAGGTTGCTGGGCAGAGCTGCCCTCGTCGCCCCGAGCCCCTTCGTTGAAGGGTGGGGCCTGATATACGCGTAATAAATGATAGACTTAATGTGCACTAACTGCCTAATGCTACTCGTGTCGGCTTAAAGAAAGTTCATCTACGCGGATTGCCGCCCAAGGCCTCCCATGGGGGAATCTTTCCTAAGTAGTGCCCTCCGGAGGTGTGTGGGACTAAAATTTTTAGCATGGCTGACTGGGAGAACCTGGGAGTTGTAGTTCCAGATAGCCGGAGGGCAGCAGGTTGGGGAGAAATGATGCACGGGCTCGTCGACAGAATCGTGAGAAGCGGAAATCTAAAACGTATGCACTGCTTTTTCTGGGCCTTTCCCAGGTGGCCAGTGCCATAGGAACAATTACAAAAATAGGGAGTTCAAAAGCTTGTGAACAAGAATGGTCTGAAATTAAACTACTCCTAAAGTCATAATGTGTTGAGTTATGGGAACTGGAATTGGTCACATAGAGATGAAGTATTTTAAACATGAGTGATTCATGAAGGCATAATAAATCACTAATTTACATCTCTCTTTGTAGAGTGAATCCCAGGTCACATCCCAGGCACAATCAGGTAAAGCTCAGAAAAACCCCAGTAGGAAGCCCCAGAAAGTGGCTGCCACTCAGTGTGAACTAAAGATGGGCAATCTTTTGTTGAATGGTGATTCCATATAATGCTGGAGTTGAATGCCCATCTGCCCCAACTAGAATGGCTAATGGTCAGTGAATATGGGAATTGTAGACTTCCATCCAGTATAAACAGTCTTGCTATAAAAGTGTTTCCTCTCTTTCTATGGATATTGATGCTTTGCAATTTTTACAGTAATTCAAATGCCGCCCTCAAGTTTGTATGTAACCCTCAAAGTTTAATCATGCTCTAGCTGAAGAGCCCCATCTGTTTTTTGAAAGTAGTGTATATTTTAGTGAGTAGGGACATGACTAGGTTTGCTGCTTTTCTGAGCTTGGATTCTATGCTTCACCGCATACAATCCTGTGCAAGATTCAGCATTAAAAAAATCTGCAGTTTCCAGCATCCTCCACCTAACAGCTGGATAAATTTGCATAAGATTGTTCCCAAATTCAGCAGAGGTATATTTCCATCACTATGTTAGCAAATCAATAGATGAAGTTTCTCTAACATTTCTTGCTTGTTGCAAAAATGCTAAATGTTGAGAAAGTAGACCTATCTGGAAAAAAGAAATGTTACTAAACATTTTAAATTCATGCCCACCAGGATTTTCTTGCACCACTCAGGCCCTCTAAACGTTGCTTGGTTCACAACAGTTCCAGCTGGCAAGGCCAATGGCCAGCAATAATGGGAACAACAGCATCTGGAAGGTCACAACTTTTCTGCCCCTGGCTTAGAGGGGAGTTGGTCAAGTCTATTAACATGTACTTATACTTCTAGCTCAGAAAAGTGAGCAGTAAAGGTAAATGTTTGAAACAAAGCAACCTACTCCACCCCTGTGCATATTATTATTATTGTGTAGTTATTTAATGCAGGTGTAGCTCAATGCTTTTGCCATCTGGCTTCATTTTATGCTTTAGAGTTCAGTGACTGCAGTTACAGTTTCTGAACAGAAGAGTGCATGAGTTAGCTTTACTTTGACAGCATGGAACAACTGCCAAACATCACACAGGAGGTAATAGCGGTGCTTGTGAGCTTGAATGACCAGTAGCCTAACAGGAAGTCAGCCAAAGCTGCTTCTGCAAAGGAACAAGTCAGTGGAAGTCACAGAAAGGAACTTCACAGATTTGCCTCAATCCAAAAGTGGTAGTTCATCTAGATACCTGGGTTGTTCTAGCAAGTACTAACTTTTGATGCACTGGCACTCAATATTGCCCAGTTGGGCTATTTTGTATAATTATTTTTGACCTCATGGAAAAAGAGATTTAGGTTGCAATCCAATACATTCTTCTCTCAAAATAAGTCCTCTTGAACTCCTTGGGACTTATGTATTTAGTGCAATACTTCCAGTTGAGTATGTATAAAAGTACAGTCTCATTTTTTCTAAGGGTACAATCTCATGCATATGTAAACAGATGCCTAGCAAGAAATGCCCTTTTGTTTTTAGTTGTGTTTTAATAGGTTTTAATGTGCTTTGTTTAATATGTTTTATATACTGTAAGCTGCCTAGGAAGGCCTTGGGAGTTATAGACAGCTTATAAATTAAAAAGAAGCTGGTTGGAGAATGCTAGGATATGTAGGACTTTTTTCCTGCCTAGATATGCTTTGGATTGCAATGTAAGACTGCAATAGTATAAACCAGTGATGGCGAACCTTTTAGAGACCATGGCTTGCATGCTGACAGAGAGGGCTCTGTGTGCCTGCTGTGGCACGCGTGCCATAGGTTTGCCACCACTGGTATATACACTTTCTCAAGTGTTACTTTCACAAAAGTCACTGGAGTTACATCTCAGCAGACATATATAAGTTGCGCTGTAAAAGGACCCTTGTTTACTATTAGAGCTGGAGACAGTCAACAGCCAATCCTTCCTAACAGGATTTAAAAAATTAATCCAATAACAATTTGCACCAGGCCTATTATAAATCACTAATTTTGTCTTTTGTTCTGCATGAACATATAAAAGATATCAAAATAAAGCTCACAGGTTTGGAAGCAATTTTTGGAGCAGATTTTTCAAAAGTAATTCTGATTGAACTGTGTCACATCTTGCAAACAAGTAAACTCTGGTGGTCTAAGTAAACAGCAGGAAGTAGCCCACACATTAATCTTTAAAAGTGTTCTTGCTTGTATCCGGAGTATAGCAGTTATGGTGTGTTCTCATTTACAAGAAACCACTGTTAAAATATTTGTTGTCTTCACAGTACAGTTTCAGGGCCTCACAGATAGGCCCCTTGTTTACCCTGCTGTTTAAAAAGTCAGTAAGCTTGCAACACTTTTTATAACTAAAAAGTGTAAAGGCATTTTAAAATAAATGAATAACCAGTAGAGAGAGTTCCCCCTTCCACAAACACAGCTTATCTGTGGCCTAGAAGACTTGCTTCAGGAGTCCTGCACATAAGCATGTATTTGATGAAAGGGTTATTAACCAGTGGCCTTGACTTAATCTGACAGAGCAGGGCATTCCACCATAGTTGGAACAAACTAACAGGACAAACAATGCAAGTTAGCATCTCTTTCCTGCATTAACCAAATACATGGATAAATGAAAGAGAACCTAGGAAAAGAGGACTGCATGCAAACATTTTCTCCTTTATTTTTACCTGCATTAACATATTACAGTTTGTTCTTAATTCTACTCAAGCAGAATGAACTAAAATGAATTAATGAATTGCTTAAGTGTGAGCTTTCTTGGCAAAGCTAAGAAAATAATGTGTTCTGTCAGAAGAGTTCAAAGAAATAAAGATCTTTCTTCATCTATTTGCCTAATTAGAACAGCGTGGGCATAGAAATATTCTTGGTGGCTGCCCGAAAATAGTGCAATTTCTGTCTTCTGGATAATAATTTTTTAAACCAAATCATTTCCCAAAAGTACTGGGAATGGGTGTTTGCTATTTTGGTTTTGATGGTGGGGGTTTTAATGCCTGGAGTAGGTAAGGTTAATTTCAATTTACTTTTGAGTACTGGATAATTTCAGGTATGCATTTTGTTTGTATTATTATTTATGGGATGTTCTTAATGGTTCTGTTCCATATGGGCATGCAATGAGGCAAGAAACTTAACAAATAGATCAAGGATGTTTAGAAATGGATATCCCAAGTAACACAATCTGATAGTACACCTCACTACATTGGCTAAATAATATCTCTAAATATTTCAGTCTTTTGAGTGTAATTGTAAGGTGAGATCCAAAAAGTCAAATTCCTGCGCATGCATTGGCAATCCAGATCCCCCATCAACTGGTTCTCTTGGTGGAACATCAGAGAAGTAGGTAATTGTTTCTTTGCATTCAGGACTAGTTGTGAAAGACACATGGAGGTAAAGAAGATTCTCAAAAGTCCTAATGAATCAGTGGAAGTGGCATGGACAGCTCTTTGGATCAAACTCTTAGTGTCCATGCTATTTTTACAGAAATTGTAAAAACACATACATGGGTCAGAGGAGATACAGCAGAATTTTTTCTGCATAATTCCAATTAAAATGTGTAATTCATTTCTTAATTATTCCCAACATGGCATCTGTGTGGTTTTTAGCAAGTCAGCATTTTCATTGAGTTACCAACCATAACTCCAATATTGCTTCCTTAAATAGCCAGTGCAAGCTCAGATCCTATCAGAGGGATTTCTTGCCCCATTATTTCACACTTGTACTGAACCAAATTTGCCATTTTAATTCTCATTCTTCCAATCTGGAAAATTCTTATGGAACTTTTTCAGTCCTTTTGCATTTAACTACCCTAAATAGTTTGGTGTCATCAGTAAACTTGGCCATCCCACCACTTGGGCACCACTTGGATCTTGGCTATTCCTTAAACCATATGATTTATGAACAAGTTGAAAAGCACCAGTCCCAAAGCAGATCCTTGTGGGGCCCAACTTTACCTCCCTCCATTTTAAGAATTACTATTTACTCTCTGCTTTTTTGTTCTATAGCCAGTTATCAATCTGTAATTTCTGAGTGGATTACACCAGTATACCCCAAAATGATTAATTAAAATAGCTTGCTAAATTTGGGATCAGTTGTCAGCATAATTCAAACATAGATATGTTCTGTTTTGGCTTAAACAGAATTTTATTGGACTCTTACCTGTGTAAGGAGATTAATTATACTTAACAAGATTAAAAATAAATACTAGTTTATAAATACTAGTACAATCCTATACACATCAGCTGCTGTTTAGAGAACATATTTACAATTCTGACAGTCTTGGATTTCATAGTGTTGACTAAAGAACAGGAAAAAAGTAACAAAAATTACAAAGACGTTCAGTACCTTTCCCACGAAGAAAGACTAAAATGCTAAGCAAGCAGTGGTTCCCAAGATTTATGTGAGATACCACTTTTTAGCTATTACACTTAAGTAGACCCTCCATGTTTGCTAGTAAATAAGGCTTAGGAAAAGCATTTCAACCTTTTAGAGTGCATGGGGTGGGGGGTGGGGTAGCAGCAAAAGCCAGCAGCCCACCAAACAAATGTCATTTGGGCAGAAAGAGGTCTGATGTGATCTTGGAAACCACAGAGGGTGAAATTGACACTCAAGGCAGGCTTGATTTGGTTTGTAGGCCTGGCATTTGCAGTCCTAGCCTACAAGCTCTATTTTGTGCAGGCATCTGGTTGCCGCTGTTGGAAACTGACTGGGTGAGCTCTGATCTGATCCAGCAGGAATCCTCTTAAATGCTTAAAATTATGAAAGTAAGGAAGTATGTGGCTATAAAAATGCATTTACTGCTTCAGTTATATCACTCATTTGCTAGTGTAGTGTCATGTTGCATCATTTTAACCTAGTGTTGAGGTTGTGTAATACAAAAGATTAGTTCTTCTTTAACACTTCTAGTAGTATATACCGGAGGTCACTTTTACATAGTATTTCAGTTTCTACAAGGTAAAATATGTGCAACCTTGATGATACCACTATCCCTGAAACATAGCAGGGAAACCCGGAAAGGCCATATCTCAAATGCTGCTTTTTTCAAGACACCCAAAAGGAAAAGAGGCCATGTTAGCCCATAAGAAAAAATCCAGTATCCAAGTTCTGGCAAATACCTTGGATTTTGGATCCTTTCAGCTGGACAAACAACAGCGTACACTGTCCTTTGTCTGGACAAACAATTTTGCCAAAGAAGCTGCTATCATAACAGAGAACTTAGTTCATATGCAGGAAACAAGGTTCCACATGAAGTTTTGCATGCAAAACTGTGGCTCTGTTGCACAGTGAGGCTAGAGGTCAAAGAGCAAACTGCAATCCAAATCAGGGCAATGTGGCTTGGTGTGCAGCTTGAATACCAGGATAAGCAATTACAACATGCGAACAGCCCCTGGTAAAGCTGCAATGAAATAATTTTTAGTAAAGGGAATCACTGAAACCCAAAAGAATTCAAGCTAAAGCTGAAATGAATAAGACCTGACTTACTCAACTTACTTGTCCCATTAATTTCAATGAGACACAAGTATGAACTTTCTTGGCATTTGGGGTAATGTTCTTAATACATTGCCATAGGTCAAGGCTGTTAACAACTGGGAAGCTAATGGACAATTGAAACAGAGGCCAAAATAAGAGAGGAGGGAAAGGCCCCTGTCAAAATAGACAATTTGCTAGTCTATTTTGTTTATCTGGATTCTGCTTTTGCAATATTTTGAATCATTTGCAATTAATTTCGGTAAATGAGCACAATTTAAATAACTCCAGGTTTTCCTGTTCTTAAGATGTACATAGCAAATTGCTCAACTGGTGACTTTGTTCAGACACAGAGTGAATAATAGAGTTAAACATTAACAGGGTAATGACAGCTGCACCTCTCACTGATAACCTGAGACGCTTCATTATGATTCATTTATATATGATCACTGATTTGCTTTCTCTGAGTTAGAGCACAGGCTGTTAAGGCGTTTGGATGTTCAAGCAAACCAATATCATGAAACTACTGTTATTCTTTCTCCTTTCCATTCTCATAGTTAAATCTCGAGCTGCGGCCGATTATGATGAAGAGGTTAGAATATCTGTTCTTTTATATTGTAGTAATATTTTTTCCTGAGTTCAGAAAATAGAGACAAAAATTAATACATTTTATTTGTATTAAGGAAACCTTAATTTACAACTGATGTGAATAAGAGAAAAGTAATGCTGTTTTCATATATGAGTATATGTTTTCTGATCCTTTTTCTTTTTCTCCTATTTTCCTTTATGTAGGATGATGACGCACCAACGGTAAGACTGATTTTTTTTTTAAATTAAAGAATAATAGTATAAAGTTTACATCCTGTTGCACTGATTTCTAGATAAGTATTTGCAAATAATTTGCTATCAAATAACTACTTGTAGAAAAATGTAAATATAGTAATGCAATTTGCTAATATACTCATATTCCAGTGCACATTTCATCAGCACTTCTTGAAATAAAGCAAATGGGGAGAAAGTCAGCTGATCCTTACAAGATTTGTACATATTATTTATAGTATCCATCTGGTTAATATAGAAATGTTTTTAATATGTTTTGTAAACATGTAGTAGTGCTTGTAAAAATTAATTTAGAAGTGTATTAGTGTGGATGTGTTCCTTATTCTTAAATTGAGGAAGAAACTATATCTTCATAATGCACAATGACAAAAATGTTATCTATGAGAGGAAAATCCCAGCATTTACGAAAATTAGGATTGAGCTATATTGTAATCAGTTCTCAATTAGACTCATTTGAAAAAAGCCCTTTTGATAAATTAAAAATGTACCCCTGATTAATACTATCACAGTTTTAAAAGAAGTTTTGTTTAAAACAAGTGTTCACAATCCCCAAATTATTTAAGCGTTCTTTAAAAGTTGCTGCCTGATGAAAAATATACAAATATTTAACTGGTTAGTCAATAGATTAATCCATTAAAATTCACATTATTAATAAACAAAGGTTTCTTTGATATAAGATGTACTCTGGTGAAAATTCTTTTCATATTGCTAATCACAGACTCATTAATCTTGTGTTATTTATACAGGTATTTTAATGCATAAAATACTTGACATGAGTTTCTCTCCCTCTTTTATCCCATACAATGTTGTGAGATTGATTTTTATTATTCTCATTTTATAGATGGGAAATTAAAGCCCATCCTTGGTGTTTGAATTCCAAGCTCTTGGATCGAAATCCAGTGTCCCTATCCACAGAACTGGCTATTTTGAATAGCTGTGTTGTTCCTGAAAGGAATGCACCCCAAAACTGCATGCTCATGAGTGGTGGTTGGTGTTTGTTTTCGAGTTTCCCTTTTGGTAACAGCTTCCATGGAACCACCAACGCTCTGTCTGAATTGCTGGTGCTTACATGGGTATTTGACTGTAAACTGCAGAGCAGGACAGTGTAAGGGAAAAAAATCCCTGACAACTTCACTAATTAATGGTTGCCTTATCTTTTATGAGTCCTATTAATTTCTTGGAAGTCCAGTGATTAGCTAGTATTGCACTATGAATTTTGAATTGCTTTTTACACCCTGTTGTTTTTCCATCTATTTTTTTTTGTATGTACAGATTTGGTTTGGGGTTTTGTTAAATTTTAAAAAAGAAATTGCCTGGATATTAAGTAAAGAATATATAACATTCTGTAGTTTTAGTAATTTTTGTAACCCTTTTTTAGGCACATGTAGGTAGACAATCAGTTTGTTAAAAAAAGCCCAGCTAAATATTTTCATGCATTTTTTTCAAGAAAAGCTGCTTTAGAAGGATTGGATTGAGAACAAAAAAGCAGCAGAGAGACATATTCAATCCTTTCTTGTTTTAAGCATTCCCTGGAGCCAGTACATAATGTTTGTTTGCTGTGTGTATTTGCTGGTACAGCACTGAAGGTAAAAGCAGTGGTTAAATAGTTGGCAAACTGGCTAGACAAATGTTCCAGATTTTCCTTTCTGGAACTATGCTGCTTCTGTCCACAATCAAATTATAGTTTTTCATAAAATTGCTCACAATTGTTATATTTATTCTGAATCTTTAAGCCTCAAGAAAGTACATTACTACTGAACATGTAACCGAACAAAAAAGCAAGGTTCAAAATACATGTTCCAGTATCAGATGTTTAGGCATCAACATCAACTTTTTTATGTATACAGATGCCTAATATTTTCCGATACCCATCTTTGAATATAGCCTGGGACTCTTTGTCTTTTTGCTCTGAACAGGTTTTAATAAGTCATTCATGACACAAGCTGAAGAGAGTCATTTTAAAATTGAAGCACATTCTAGCAAATTCAGCTTTTTCATTGCATTGACAGAATGGGAAATGCAGATGCCACCTTCTGCATCACTCACCCAGAGTGGCCTGTTTTATTAATCATGAACTGATGCATGGATGAATGAAATTAGCAGACTTTTCCTGAACCAAATATGATGATGATGATGTAGGATTTACATATTCCATTAAATGCACAAAATACATTAAAATCTTTCACTGCTTACAGACTAATAGTAATATTTTCTTTCCCTTGGTTTTGTACAGGTTGCAGGTGAGCAAGTAGATGCACGAGGTCACAGGCCACTAAAAAGAACGGAGTCATATCAGCCTATCAGACCGGCTCCTCTTCCTCCCAGTGGTGGCTTCAGATATCGAGCTCGTCCAACAAAACCGCCTACTAGTGGCCAAAAGAAAGGCCCAATTGTTTATCCTGACTATGGCGGTTGCAGACACATGGCAGAGGAGCTGGTGGGTCAATTTGCATTGATATTCAGTATACTTCAGTGGGAGTAGTAGGTCTGCTGCTGTTGTTCAGGTTACTTCTCTGCATTTACCTGAATGGAAACGTGTGTCTATCCATTCATGCCTTGTTTGCTTGCTGTGCCCTATAATCCTTCGTTGGTATTTTCCAAAGTATCTTAGAACATTGATTCCTGGGCAGCTTGCTTCTGAGCTCTTGTTGACCCAGAATATTCTGTAGCCCTTACAGAACACTTTCATGACTAGTTGCTTTTATCAACATTCTTATATCATTTTTAAGCCAGTTTGGAGAGTGAGCCAGGCAGCATCTGGAGGGCCACAGGTTACTATGAATTCCCAGATCTGAGGTCAGAAACAGTACGCTGGCTTCAGAACTGGGGATCCATGCTCTGATCCTTCTCCTTCCCTTACACCCAGTATGGAACCCTGCTGAGTGCTTCTTCTAGATCAGAAAATCAGGGATGAGTTAAAGGGGGTGAGGCAGAGAGGGGAGGAGACAGAGGCCACCAGATACCAGATATTTGGTGGTGCTTTCTGCTCCTTCCCTCCCACTCCAAAGTGCCTCAGTGGTGCAGCTGAAATGGCTGCCTAGCTCAACTGTAGAGCAAGTGTTGTAGGAGCCAAATATTTCCATTGCTTCCCTTGCTCTCTGCTAGATCCTCATACGCTCCAAGTTCAAAGATATAAGAGCATTGAGGATGCACTTAATCGGTTTGCTTCCTTAAGAGTTTCAGCTTGCTTACATGTGGTAATTCTACATATTCCTCTCCCTTTAACTATTAATCTGTTAAAATGAATCCAGGTATAAAGATGTGACTAGTAGGTTAATTGCTTTGTTTGCTACTTCCTGAAATGCACACTCAAGGCCCCATTTATACAAGTGCTGCAAGAGTTCTTCCTTGTGATGAAACTCCACATCACACAGGAATATGTATGAATTCAACAACAATCAAAGAATGGAGACCAATTGTCTGACTCTTTGCCACTTATTTTTTTTTATCCATTCAAAGTCCCATCTGCGTAACCAAACTACGTGGAATTGCACTGTGGGGAAACAGCTTCCATGATGTGTTGTCTTTATGAGCACTAGTCTCAGTAGAGTCCAGGGTTATAAAAGTCAAACAATTTATTAATTTATTACTTCAATGCTACTTAATAGTCACATCTCTAAGTAGTTTACATAGAAGCATTCACAATCACTAATTCAAATGCACAGTTCAAAACAATTTCAGTGACAATAGCAATATAAGGAATACTAAGATGAAGTAGCATAGTATTAATTGCAATTAATTACAAGCCAAAGAAAGTTTGCAATAAAGATGTGCTTTCAGGAGGTGTTTAAAACAGAGCATCTTTTCCACCCCCCACACTGCCCAGAGGAGGGTGGATGCTGTCAATTGGAAGGCTCATCTTTGGGATATTGTGCACAAATATGCAAGACAAAATAGCCCATTCCTTTGCCATCAGAAATAATCTTCTCTGCCCTAAAATAACTTGCAGAAAGTGATATTTGCCCAAAAACTGGAAGGTCACAACATTGTCTAAAGAACCGTAAACAATCATGCCTAGGGAATACCTGAAGACATTCTGTTGGTCATGGAAATGTGATGTTAATGGTGTGAATGCAATTAAATACACATGTTCTTGTTATGACAGTGGCAGCTGCTGAGTGGGCAGCAAACAGTGTTGGGACTGTGGAATGTGAGAAGTGGACTTCAGTGTTGCATGGCTAGTTTGGCCCTATCTTACTGCATTTGTAACAGAACTGCTGTTCTTGTCTGTTAAAAGGGAGTATTGTGTCCAACTGGATGTGAGCTGCGAACTGAACTGATAAAACAGGAAAAGGCTGTGAAGCCAGTTGTTCAGGAGCTAACAGACAAAGTGAAGAAGCTAGAGCAATCCTCTTTATCTATCTATAGTTACACTAATACATTGGATGAGCGTCTAGCACAAAGACAGAAAAAAATAAAAGGTAATTCCTATTACAGCAAGAAATCAGTGTGTGGATAACGCTGCTTTGCTTTTCCCATTACTTCAGAAGGCCTCTCTGTGAGGGTGAAGGACAGTAAGCTGTGTGAAAGATCAGATTCTCATGGATGCATTTGAATGGGCAAAGCACAGGGGGAAGGACAGCAGAATGGTTCCTGCCCTCCGCATTTCCTGTAATGTGTTCTTGTACTCATAGAATACAAAGCTTCTACCTGTTTCCTAAAATGTAACACATTCTTGTTGTGAGTTAACTTGATCATCATCTTATGATTTCTTCTGATGCATTTGATTTGCAGCTCAACCTATGCTAATTGTGTCACTTATAAAACCTGTTTTGTACAGTTTTGTCATGGTGTGCTAGATGTCCTCTTCAGAGCAGTATAACTCAATCTAAGTTGACTGCTATAATCCTTTACATTTTCCTGGAAGTAAGTCCAATTTAAAACAATGGATCCTACTTCTGAGTAGACTCTTACAGGATTGTGCTGCAGCAATAACTTGTAGTGACACATTCATCAATATGCTAAATTTGGTCATCTGAGTTTGCACCCTGTCTGGTAATTTGGCAGTGATTCCTAAGATCATGGTTGACTACAACTCTCATCATCTTTTACCATTATCCATGCTTACTGGAGGAGATTGGAGTCATAGTTCAACAACTGAGCCAGTGTGGTGTAATGCTTAAAATGTTGGACTGGGAGATCTTGGTACCAGTCCCCATTCAGGCATGAGGCTCACTGGGTGACTCAGAGGCTGGGTGACTTTCCAACTAGCCTATCCCACAGGCTTGTTGTAAAATAAAACGGGGAAGAGAGAGAGGATTCCTAGATTCTTTGCAGGAAAAGTGGCAGGATATCAATGTAATTAATAAGCATACTGGGATCACACAATTGTAGTTGTAAGATTAGATTTTTTTCTCTTCTAGATAATCAGAATGTAATTACTGAATACAACAAAGAGGTTGAGGAGCACTACAACTTCATTAAAGATAACTTGGAAAAAAACCTTCCATCTACCCTACGACTATTTCGTGCAATTGTGGATTCTTTACACGATAAACTATCAAAATTGGATGATACTCTGACAACCCAGTTGACAGAGTGCCGCACTCCTTGTTCGGTGTCATGCAACATACCTGTGGTTTCAGGAAAAGGTAATGCTTGCCTTGCTCTGCAGTTGGAACAGGTGCCTCAGAAGTTCTGACTATGTCCTTTGCACATTTGTGACGAGGGCCTTCAGCTGCATTCCTGATATTCTCACATGGTGTCTCCTGCTTCATTGAGCAAAATGTGCCCTAGGATTGACCAGTGTTTTGTATGCATTCTGTAGCTCTGACAACCATCATAATGTTTTGGCTAATTCTGCCCACAGCTGCAACAGCAGCTTCTGAGTCCAAGTTGGTTGCTAGGGTTCATTCTCCCTGATCTTCCATTCAGCTGCTTATTAAGAGGTCTTAAGCACTAGATTCCCTGAGGAATAATCCGACTGGGGCTGCATGCTTTTGGGCAAGTATGAAGCTAGCAGTCAGCAAGGCAGAGTCAAATGTGCTGGCACTGCCTCTTCCTTCTCTTTCCCTTCTCCCACTCCACCCCCTAGGCAGCTAGGATAAAGACAGAGCACTTTTACAAGAGGCCTGAACTGATTCTTTAGAGAGGATTTTGCCATTAGTCCAGGGGTATCCTTGCCCACCTCTGGTGAGGCAATCCTGCCTTCTGTTGCTTCCTCTCCAACCAATTGATGGCATTAAAGGAAACTTGTTTTCTGACACTCAAATGAAAATGTCTTGCCATCTTGCTTTGGGCCTTTAAGATCTTGTGGTTACAAGGTTCCTTGTCAGCGTGGCTCAGAATTCAGAATATTAATGGGGATAAGGGAAAGCATTTTCAAATTAGTTTGATTCCCCAGAGCATTATGGACTTCAGTAGGGCATTGGACACAAGCAAACACACAGTGAATGGGTTCACACCACCTAAGAAGCCACGGTAGCTTATAAGTCAGGTGGCTTGTTGTATTTTTTGAACTCAGCAGTATCGTTTGTTAACCATTGTGGCAGCATTCTCCCATCACAACCTGGCTTTATTGTGTTCCGTGAACTTAGTCTTTGAAAATCATCTGTTTAAGGGAAGTTCAGGGTGACACAGGTACATTATTATTTTCTTATTCACATCCTCTTACAATGTTTTAGCTAATGCTGTAGAATAAAGTAAAATGCAGTGAACTACTTTATACAGATAATTTTCTTCTGTTTAGGTCTGGTAATGTCAAGGCATTCAAAAGAGATTTTTATAGTTTCCTCTATAACATACTCAACAAATTTCTTATTGCAGAGTGTGAAGACATAATTAGGAAAGGAGCTGAAACATCTCAGTTGTACCTTGTTCAACCTGATCCTTTCTTCAAACCATACAGAGTTTATTGTGACATGACAACAGACAATGGAGGTAATTAAGTCAGAAAATTCTTAAGAATGTATTAAATGAAAGAAGGCGTTTTTGCTCCTTCAGACAGTGGTATAGATTAGGACATACATGGGTAAGTAATGACAACCTGCCCTCAAGGAAAGATGTCCTCACCTACATGCTCATAAACCTCCTTTCTTGGAGAAGCTGCCCATGTGATTCTTTCAGGAAAAGCTGTGAGGAGAATGTGGTACGTCGGTGTAGCTGCCTAAGCACTGAGGTTGGAGTACTTTGGCCTGGCCCCAGATGATGCCAGGAGGCCGTAGGATTGTGCCCCTCATGAATAATACAGATAGTGTCAAGAAGATGAGGCCCCATTGAGAGCATCTTACACAAGCTCCCCCTGTCCCACTTGCTGTTGTGTTAAGTAAGGAGAAGTGAAACAGAAGAAGAATTTGGTACCAATTATATTTAATCCACATTTCTTCACCTACAAGGAAACATAGTTACCATGACAGTTCAACTTAGAATTTAAGATTTGTTTATTAAACATGCTTCAAATTATTTCAGGCTCTGGTGGGATTTTCATTTTGTTTGGTTTTCTCCCTTAGTTTTTTGTCTGTTGTGAGCATGATCCATTCAAAGTTAAGCATGTTTAAGTTTCACTGATTTCAAAAGAAGATATTTAAATCTCTGCCAGTGAAACCAATGGGACTTGAATGCACTTAGTTTTCATAGGAACATGCTCTGTATCCTTAAATTTTATTTACATGTTGGTAGCACACATATCGCCACATATAGTGATCCCTTGAGGCTGGCAAAATAAAAATCTTATTTTCCATCCAAAGCCAAGTATAGTTAATGGGACTTAAGTATGAAGTGATAAAAGTGAAGTGAATGTGGGCAGAATGCCATGACGACTGGGAGATGCTAAGTGCTGTAGGACATTTTGTATCTAAACACACACAGCATCGTGCCCATATATTATTTCACCAGGAAAACTTGCTGGTGGATCACATCCAATATAAGTTTTGATAGAAATTCATAGGATTACAATGTAATTTTATGGTGGGTTGTATGCTGCTTCAAATATAGCTCTGTTAATTTTACCCAACTCTTCTTAATGCTGGTATCATCAGACATTCTGAAATCCAAAGAGTTTGAGGGAGCATTGAGAAAAGATGCCAAGAATATGCCATATCTCTGTTGTTTTCTCTCTCTTCCTCTCTTTCTTAGCAGGAAGTGGCATTGTTTAATTGCATGATCATTAATTTTAATGATTTCTTTGGCAGGTTGGCTTCTTATTCAGAACCGGCAAGATGGCAGTGTTGGCTTTGGAAGAACATGGGATGCGTATAAAAAAGGATTTGGAAATATTGCATCCAGTGGTGGAAAGAACTACTGTGACACTCCAGGTAAGAACTGAACTCTGAGCAGCATTTATTCATAAATCATTATCAGTTATTCTGCTGGTGCAGTTTTTTATCCATTTTTGAGTTGTATTACTGGGAGTTGTATGATATTTCTGCCCCACTGACTGCACTTCTATTCTTTGTTGTGGGCAAACAAATTGGAACATCAGGCTTGACCTTTATGCCTAACTCTTTTGTCTGATGTTTCTTTTGTGAGATTTCTATCGGTGCCTACAACTGATACAGCAAGGGACTGTGAAGAAACCTTTTTCTGAACTGCTAATGGTTCTGGAACTTTCCTCCCATAGAGGCTCATTGAAGTAGCTTTCGCCAACCTGGTGACCTCCAGTCCCTTGGCCAGAACTTCCAATGTTCCTGTCTGATGGATATGCTAGTTAGGGCTGATGGAATCTGAAGTCAGTGTATCTATTGAGCAGAAGGTTGGGGAAGGCTGCACTAAAGACTGAGAGACTAATGTTAAATGCATCATCTGTAGCATTGTATAAAACATAAAAGTGCGAGTATTTCAAATCAGAATCGTGGTGCAAATTCTCCCCAATAACCATTTGCATGGACAGGGTCTCAGTGTCAGAATCACATCAGGTGGGGAAAATACAGGTCACTGAAGCTCTCAGTGTAACTGATCCAGTCAGTTTGTCTCCGTCATTCCACAGCAGGCTGCCAGCTGAGTGGTTTCAGACAGCTCTAGATTGAAATGATTACACATGCATAAGTCTGCTTCTTTCAGATCTTAGAATTAGTATGTTTGGCTCAGTTATTACTGATTTAGGACAGTTGGGCAGAATGTTTATAGCTTCTTCTGAAAATAATGTCAGGCAATGTATTTTGATTGTGTCACAGGTGAATATTGGCTTGGAAATGAGAAAATCAACCAGATTACCAAACTTGGCCCCACGGAAATTTTAATTGAAATGGAAGATTGGGCTGGTACTAAGGTCAAAGCGCAATATGGAAGATTCGGCATTCAGAGTGAAGCAAACAAGTACCAGCTCTCAGTTAGTGACTATAAAGGTACTGCAGGAAATGCCTTGCTAGATGGAGCACATCAGCTGACTGGAGAGAACAGAACAATGACCATTCACAATGGCATGTTCTTCAGCACCTTTGACAGAGACAATGATGGATGGTATGTATGCATTCGCACTTGATTTGCCACTGTACTCTGCCACGGACATTTGAGACATTAGTTTCTTTATGTAAGAGATGGATTTCTTGTTTTACAACACTTACGCAGGCCACTAATATTGCAGCCTGAATATTAAAGTACTGCAGTGGTTAGACAGGCATATGTGTCATTAAGAATAAATGAACATTAATGACTAATGGATTCATGACTATACTTGTAGATGATTTTAGTCTGCAGTCCTGCCCGCAGAGCCCCACTGAACTCCCCAGAATTTTCTTTTGAATTAACATTATATAGGATTGTGCTGTCCGTCTGGAACAGTTGCAAAAAAAACGATCCCAGAGGTATAATCATTGGTAATACTGATAGTTTGGAGAACTAAAAGATGTTCTTCTGCAACAGAATAGTGCATGGAGGGGAGGCTTTGTGTAATCAAGATACAGGTGTTTTTGGGTGCACAATTTGGGGTTTTTTTTTTTTTTGAAGATAAGAGGGTATTTACAGATTACATATTTATTAGTATTCATATATATTTGACCAGTCTCACAGGCTTTGTATATATTTTTCCCTCCCAGGATAACCCCAGACCCCAAAAAACAGTGTTCTAAGGAAGATGGTGGTGGCTGGTGGTACAATCGCTGCCATTCTTCCAATCCTAATGGCAGATACTACTGGGGTGGACATTATACTCCAGAGATGGCAAAGCATGGAACAGACGATGGAATTGTATGGATGAACTGGAAAGGGTCCTGGTATTCATTGAAGAAAATTAGCATGAAGATCAGGCCAGTTGTCCAAACAGTGTGATCGTGATATAAACAGTGACAACATTTTGTGCTCACATCTGTTTCATGATATGTAAACTTTACTTTACACCAGAGCAGTAAAACAACAAAAGCAAAGTGAGTAGCATGTTCGTATGAAGGAATAAAATGTGTTACTGTTTAGAACCATTGCAATTCTACAATGTAAAGAATACAATAAAAATACAATGAAATAAAGCATTTGAAACACATCAAACAGAAGTTCATAATAAAATGTTTATTGAGTGTAAAAAAATTAGGTTTCCAAGTGTGATTGCTATAGGAGCAAAACCTGCCCTTGAGAGTGAACTCACCTTATGAAATTTGAACAAAAACTGATTTTATCCAAATCTGGTCAAGCATTCCCTCCATGAGGATAGGATTTAAAAACTTTATTCAAGCTGTAGAAAAGATAGGACAGTTCAACAAATAATGAAGGAATTCCTCCATCAGTCCACTGTTACTTGGTGCAATCCGCTGAAACATTCTCATTAAAATACTTTTCTGAAAAGGCATTTAACTTCTGTTGTATACTGAGTCTTATTATGACATTTCTGAGAGTAGCATCGAAGATAAGCTTCAGATCGCTCTTATATTTGAATTTAGGTTTAAATCTTGCACATAAGGGAACTAGCTTTTTCTACGTGATAGGACAGGGGTTGGAATGAATATAAACGCTGTGGACCTATTGTTAAAAACAACATTCATAATGGGTAAATTTCAAAGTGTAGAAACACTTCCCCCAAAAGCTGTGATGACAGATTTGTGGACTAATCTTTGGAGTGAGATTACAAATTAGCTGGTTTAGCTTCCATTTGTACTGCCAGACATACCTTGGGTAAATGGGAACTTGAAAATTAATATACTTCAAGCCAAGAATTAAAAGTTAAAATAATTAATTTTACTGTTATTACACTAGTAATAAAGGAGATACAGTGGGTACCCCTGCTGATGCCAAGGATCATTCTCAGTGTTTTTGTTTAAAGAAATGCATTGTGATTGTAAGTAGCAATGTTCTGTTGAATATTAATTTGTTAAAACAGCTTGCAAGTGTCATTTGTGCTGCCCAGAAAGATCCTAAGAAAGACATAGCAGAAACCCTTTGCTCCAGGTTGCCAGGCTGGGGTCAATTCACTAATCCATTCTAGTTTTTTCTGCCTGGTGTAGTACAGATGTGTTAAACTACAACTCCCTAGCTGAGGGATACTAGGAATTGTAATCCAACGCATCTGGAATACACTGTGTTGGTGAAACCTGGCTTTCCCATTGAAAAACAAATACAAAGTGGAGAACCAAGTCTGCTGAAGAGGTCTAATAGCATAAGACAGCCTTGCTGGATTTTCTTAGTGGTTTATCCTGCTTCCAGGACATGCCATCTAGATGCCTCTGGGAAGTTTGCAGTAAGGCAGCAATTCTCTGTTGATTGACCATATAGGTATATGGCCTCTGAACATAGAGGTGCCACTTATTTAATTTTTTACTATTAACATATTTAGGCATGAATATTTATCCCCCTTCCCTATTTTTCATCTGAAAGCAGAGCCACCTTTCACATGTCACACTAAATTATTACTAATGTAAATTAGGGCATTTAAACAAATTTAGATTTCGGGGCATTGAGCTCAGGTCTCAATACCCAAAAATGTAAGTTTCCTCATTCTAAATTATATTGCAATGGTCTATCATTCCAGACAAAAGAAGGCTGTGGTTGTAGTGATCATATCCTAGGTCCTCAAGGATACAGTTCAACAAGGATGACTGTACCCCCCCAAAGTAAAATGAGTATAGGCATCCGACGGGTGGATGAGTGTGGATGTGAAGCTCACCTCCATGTATTTCTCACCCTGCAAATCATTTACAGGGCTGAACTGGCTGTGGTGATGACAATGGTGCTTTGGAGCAGGAGGGAAGGAGGGTAAAGAGACTCCAGGAAACATAGTTCTTTGGGTGATGCTGGTCTCCTTTTAAAATCTGGTGTACAATATGTTGTGGGGCGATTTTACAGATGAGACCAGAGACTGGTTGGAATTACTGAGAGATTTATTTACCTGCCGGCAGGGACCATGCACTCGTGAGAGTGTGGTGCTGAGCAGATCGAAGGCAGGATTTTTATACTCTTTTACACGGACGGCTATGCAGGTGCTTGAATAACAGCGAACAATAGGGGAAATCCACTGAGCTACATTCGCACACATTCTTTTTTTTGCTAAAGCAAGCAAGCGAGTGTACAGGGCGTGACGTTATGCTGGAGCGTAGCAACAAAGGCTGCTTTGTGGTCAGCCTTGCGTAGCGTGCACATTCGTTGGGGTTCTTGTTCTTACGCGAACAGGACACTCTGATCATGCTTCTTACCTGTGACGAGCCGTGCCCTAGCTGCATGTTCGATTGTGAGGGGGGTTACAACACAATATACTTACTACTTGGTAGCTAACCATTAGGAGAATCAGATTATCTGACACCTTTTGTATAAGTCTATCCCTTTAAAAGACAAATACTTTCTCAGCTAATAGGTGAATTTTTGTACTCTAATAGTGTATCAGCTTAAGACTCTCCAACATGGATTCAGGAGAACTATTGTGAAGAAAATTGATGTGCTTGCGGCTGCTAAGCAGTAGTAGTGAATCTCCTAGTTGGGTTACTGAAATGTTTAACTATTTGGGCAATGCTCAGAAAGTAATCAGATTTAACTTGTTCTATAGCTGCGGCTGCTGTTTCTAATATGTAGAATCTCTTGAAATAACTCTTTCAAGAGCACCAAGGTCTGAGCAGATAAGCATTTTTACAGTATTCTCTTCAAACTTACAGTGAGCTTGATTTTAAAGTGGTGAGAATTTAGTAAGCAATTTGGGAAAGGGTGCAATCCAGTGGGGTTCCCTGCAGCTTCCAGACATGGAGGGTTACAGGAAATTTTTTAAAAATATTTTTATTGCGCTGCACAGAAATAACCAAACCACAACATTTAAAAAGAAAAAGTGTCAGGGGGCTGGGTGGGAGGGAAAGAACAAACCTGAAACAATACATTTTTTGAAGTCTAAATAAAAAGATCCATTGCACTAATTACCCTTCCATTCTTAAAAATAATCATGCATGGACTTCATCAAAGGCACCCCAAATATCCATTTTTGGATCTAAAGACTACAGAATGGTCTCACTGCTGCATAGAATCACTCCCTCTCACATCATCTCCCTGGCCCAGCTGGCTGTTTCTTCCTTGCTACCTTGTGTAAGCCAGGAGCCATGAGGATCTTGTACAGAGTTAGCTATGGACTTGTTGCAAGCACCTTGTCTAGCTTCTCAAGCTGCACTGACAAACTCATCCAATGAAGCAGACTAGGCTGTGCTCCAAGCCTCTCACCTGGATGAGAAGTAACTACAATAACTCTAGAGTCAAAGTCCCAGTGGACACAAGTGATCTTTTCCTGGGATGTATTTTCCAGCAAATTTATTAAACGTCCTTAGGGTCATTGTGATCCTAAAAAGTCGCACAGGGAAACAAATAGAAGGTTTAACACAGGCAGTGAGATGTTTCTTTGCTGCCATTCCTGCAGACACACACTAGGGTTTGACTGCAGCCACTAGGGGTTTTCCTTCCATCTGCTATAGTGTTTCATTGCTCTCAGCTCCAAAGCAGTGGTGGTGAACCTATGGCACGCGTGCTGTAGGGGGCACACAGAGCCCTCTCTGTCAGCACGCAAGCCAAGTCACCCCAGCAGCCGAGCATCGGATAACAGCGCACATAGGAGCCATGCGCATGCTCGGAAAGGAGTAGCAGCACCAGGCGATGACGTCATGAGCCGTGACTCATCCGAGCTTTCGCATGGCCAGTCAGTGCACTGCCAAGGATACACACACACACACACACACACACACACACACACACGCACGCACATGTGTGTGTGTGCTTGGACTGGTGAGTTTTAATTTGTTTTTATTAACACAAGATTTAAGCTTTGAGTATCAGCATGCCTATGACAGCAAAGATCACATTAATTGTGCAAAAGCACGCCAAATGCAAACTGTTACCTTTCAATAAAAAGTCGTTTGTATCATTGAAAGCTCTGTTATTGTGTTTTTCTTTTAAGACAAAAAATGTTAATGTATGAGTTCTTTTTTCTAAACTAAAACCTCAGTATTCAGGTTTGATTGCAGTGTCGGCACTTTGCGATAGATGAGTGGGTTTTGGGTTGCAGTTTGGGCACGTGGTCTCTAAAAGGTTCGCCATCACTGGGTTAGAGTCATACAAGCTTGCAACAGACAGGGTGCTCAGGAGTGATTGGATCAACTGTCTGGGGCATTCCTGTGTTCACAGCTTATCTTGGACTTCTACAGGGATGCTAATCATATCAGCCTGATCATCACCACCCCACACAACCTCTGAAAACCAACCAGATGCATTGTTCTCTGGGAGTGGACCATCTTAATAAGTCCTCCATCCTACCAGGGAGAAAAGCTTCAGTCAGTCTGAATCTCAGCAGGCAGTGATCTCTCCCTGACAAAAGGGCTGAGTCAAAGTCCCCCAGACTCAGAAATTCTCCAGAAACAACAGCCCAGAGGACCCAAAATCGCATCTAAGGCCTCTGTCAGCTCAGGTAGGAGACTGATGGGTTATAGGGTGTGTGGTACACCAGCAGAAAGACAGATATACTTTGAGAAACACTTCCATCAGACATTGACAGATACTTATTAATGATTTCTGTAAATAAATTAAACACATATTTTTTTCAATTAGAATTGTTTATTTAATTTAAACAGGCAGATTTCTCTCAGTTGCTTTAGGTAAAAATGACACACACACAAAACAGAATGTTGAGGAATATATTCTTTTGGAAGGTTGGGGGGTTTTTTGTAAGGGGGGGGTCTTTGTTTTGGGATCTATTCTGTCTCTACAGGCCGAATTTTCATTCTAACTGTTTTCAGAGAATAATCTGATGGCCTGAAGGGTACCCAAATCACCCCATTTTCAATCTCATATGGAACATTGTTCCTTGGGTCATACTGACCTCCTGAATGGTACATCCCATTGAGATTAGCGGCTTGGCAGTTGTTGTACCACCATCCACCCCCATACATCTCAGCACAGTTCTCCTCCCACTGATCACTGTCTCTGTCAAATGTACTGAATGTCATATTAGCGTGAGCTGTGTATTGACTACCACCTTCCTCTGAGCCTTTGATCAAAGCATCCCCAGCAGTCCCTTCATAATTTGAGATGATGAGCTTATAACCTTCTGATTCAGAGCCTATCTGCACATTATATTCTGCATAAGCTTCATTCCCTTCCCAGTCCTCTAATTCAACCCGAAGGACAGAGTCCTTCTGGGTCAACATATGAAGATTTTCATTGCCCAACCAGAACTCTCCTTTTCCTTTGCCATCCACATTACCAAAACCTTTCTTGTAGTCGTCCCAGGTCCGGTTAAAATTCAATGACCCATCCAATCTCTGTTGGATCAGAAGCCATCCTCCCAAAGTGGTCTCTTGGTCGCAATAAACTGAAAAACCCTTAGAGGATCCTGCTGGCTTGATTTTGAAAAGACCACTTCGAGTACCAGAAGTGTGTTTTTGGCGGATATCCTCACAGTCTAAAAAAACAAAGTTGATCGGGTTGACAAGTTTTCAGTTAAGTTTTTATTACAAGGTCACAGGAATCCAAACAGTAACCATTATCATGCCGAAGCCAAGTGAATTACTGAATTTTGTGCTAAAGCAGAAAGTCACATTGCACTCCCCCCTCACTCCCAACCACCCCAAAATGATCACTTACATGCATACTGAATTACTGATGGCATTCTCTATACGACCGCCTTGCTATTCATTTACTTGTGGTATGATCTCATCCCCCACACAGCAACAAACAGACACATTGCTCTAAAGGCTTAAACAATAACAACTGCAGTAATGATGTAGCTTGTGTGTCAGTTTGGTTGCAAAATTCACTTCTGTTCCCTCAACAAGTATTTTCCATTAAATATATGGGTACCTGTCCTGATGGAGCTTTCCCCCTGCTTCACTCCTCCCGTGTTCGAGCTGCGTGCCCGAAAATCAGGGTTATCCTCTCCACTCTGATCATGTAGCACCCCTTCTAGCTCCCCCTGTAATAGTGGGATTTTGATTGACTTGGTCTCAAAAGTAGAGCCCCCTTTGTTGAAGGCACTACTACTACTGCTGCCAGACACGACTGTCCTGGAATAGGTCGAGCCGCCGGAAACAGCTGTCTTGGAATGCGTTGAGCCTCCACTTGCCATAGGCTCAAATACAGGGGAAGAATGGTCAAACCTCGACAAGTCCTCTTCTTCTCCTTCACCTAGGTCAGAGAAGTCTGGTCTTCCAACTGTTCCTGTGCTATGGTGTGTTTCGAGAGTATGGACTCTGCCTCCAGAAGCTGAGCTAAAAAATTCTTTTGCATCTGGGTGCAGAGAAGACAAGTCAGGTAAGCCACTTCCTCCTCCACCAACATTACCACCAACAGCACTACCACCAGTGGTCAGTTTGCTATAGTAGGTGGAGCCACCTGCTCCTTTTTCAAAGTCTCCGGTGTGGGAACATTCTCCACCTTCGGGAGTTCTATAGTGTTCGGCAATCTCTTCTCTCGTACCATCTGGGCCTTGGATAACCTTTTTGGTAATTGTTTTGATGCACGTTAGGGTATGCGTACCAGGTCTGACTATTCTTATGTCAGAGCTACCCCCTTCATCGGTAGTAGTAGTAGTGACTAGCTTGCCAGTGTGAGGTTGCCCAGCTGTTTCTGGTCTGGACACAACAACTGGGGAGCCTCTGGACTCCAACCCAGAATCTTCCACTACTACTTCCATCACTTTTATATAATCAAGCACACGGGCTTCTTGTTGTGACAGAGGACCAGTTTTAAAGTGGCTAGGAACAGAGTCCTTCAGTGGTCTTATTTTCAGCACTTTTAAGGGTTTACTTTCCAATTCCGATTGAATGTTGATGCTTTTAGTTTGTACAAGTTGCTTCTGTATTGTGTCATAGCTCCCCATGTCCACGTTGTAGTTGGGAACTCGAGCACAAGATCCTTTACAGCCACGTAGTTTAATATCAATGTCCACCTAGGCAGAGATCAATAGAAAACATTGTATAGATGTGTATATTTTAATTTCTAAATTTCCTAAAGTAGTTTTCTCTGTAATGGTTAGGCATGTCTAACTGAACAATTCTGCTGGGCTACTATTGGTGGCAGCTCCACTGCTTCTTCAAAGGATTTAGGGCAGCCTTTTCCAACCTGCTGCTCTCCATTTATTTTTGACTATATCACCCTCCAGTCCTGACCATTGGTCTTGCTGGTGGGAGCTGATGGAAACTGAAATCCCAAACATCTAGTGCTCGCCAGGTTGGAGAAGAAGCTTGTAAAAGAAAGAAGGGGCACCACCTACTGATTCATTTGCAACAGTAAGTTTGTCTCCACCTCAAAAAATAATAGAATGACTATAATGGCACAAAAGTTTCTGAAAATGTCTTGTTTCCTCATTTCTTGGGAGATATGGCTTGATGAATTGGAGTGATAAGGGGATAATATTTGGTTAGGTGCAAAAGAAGAAATCTATCATAAATCAGCTTTAATTTAAATCAATTTTGGAAGTCAACAAAATGATGAAACTCACCTCTAAACGTTTAATCTCTCCAACTTGATTCTCGATAGTGCTTTGCATGGATTTAATCCTGTTTACATGGTTGACGACTCTCTGTTTCAGTGTCACAATTCTCCTTCTCAAATCATCAGTTGTTTGCCCATAGCTCTCATCTAACCCTGAAACCAAGGGAGAGTAGAAGCCATCATTTTCACAGGTTTTTCTCCATCATTGATCTAAACTACTTATTTGGCATTTAAAGATATACATGTGTACAATAATGGGTGGGGGCAGGGATGATTAGCAGAAACTCATTTTAGGCAAAACTTCACTGGTATGTTCCAATCCCATGCTTGGGGTTCCACAAAGTCTTCCTTTCTTTTCTTTTTTAATTTACAAAAGGCAGCTGTGACTCCAAATTGGGATTAGGCTAAAATATCCTCAGGGCCACAAATTACCCATCTCTGAACTAATGGAATAAGTGAATCTTTATTCTGGAGAGTACTGACAGAAAAGGAATTTTGATTCAGTTGTGGGGCAGAATGTGTCCTCAAAATTACGTTAAGAGTAGATTTGAAAGTGTACCAAATAGTCTTCTTTTGGAAAGAGGAAATGGAACAAGATCACACTAGAGGAAAGAAGTTTCTTCAAGGTGTTCAAGCAAAATCGTTAATGCAGATAAATATTGTAATATGGGAGGAGGTTGAGAGGAATGTTGCAGACTGGACAATGAGGGCCTTCATCAAATTATCTTATGATACTTAATACAGCCCTGACATTACACTGAGGAATCTGTCTGACTTATTAAATGCAACTGATCTTATATAATAAGGGTGCAATGAATAGTCATAGTTTTGGGTTCTTTAGCAGTTAGAGGACAATAGACTTCTAGAAATGAAACTTACGTTGTTCATCAACCAAATTTCTTTCCAAAATGGTAGTGATTTCCTGTTTCAGAATATTTGATGACTTGTAGCTTTCTTGATTGTCTGAGAGTAGTTTCTTAATTTTGGCAATCCTGTCAGTAAAGTCTTGATCCATTTCATGGATCAGTCCTTGCATCCTGCATCCTGAGGGACATTTGGTGCCCTAAAATACAGAACAAACAAGAAAAATCAATAGAAATACCTGTCTCTTGTTTAATAAGCCTTCATGTTTTATCCCACTCTTTCTCCTGGTGCTCTTTAGATATGGGACAATAAATCTCATCAACCTATTCTAGCATAACCAATAGTCAGAAGTTTAGTCCAACACTTCTGGAGAGCTCCTGGTTGGAAAAAGCTGTTACAAGCTGTGTGTGTTGTAGCAGGAATAAAACTTGCTCTTCTGTTAAAGTCTTGGTGCATCTGCTTGGCTCTCGCTTCTGACAACAGACTTTTTGGGAACTGATCAACATGAATGTGTAAACCCCTTCCATGAATAATAGAATTCCAAAGGGAGTTTTTCATTGGTTAGGTGGCACTGGTCCATAGTTAGCAATGATCTGATAGCTAAGGTTCTAGGCTATGAACCTTTCTGTGTCAGAAACAAATACAACTGTGTTCAACACGATTTAGGTACATGTGTGTAGAATTACATTTTGAATTGACTTGACTATCATTGACATTATTAATCATAGATGTGTGGGGTTTAAAAGTTAAAATGATATTTAAATTAAAAATGATAGTCTTTCTATCTACAAATTTAATCTACAAATTCCAGGAAACCTGGAATGGCAATTACTGAATAATGAACAGTTTGCTGGATTAAACTGATGTCATCCATAGTTATTGTATCACAGCTACGACTTTGTAGCTGCACAGTGGTGCATATGCAAAGGTGTGATTGGTATATTTCAGGCACTTTCATTGTGTGCGACTACAGATCTGAATGTCTTTCAGACAAGGGACAACTTCCATTTAGAGAATCTCTTGCAGACTGCAGTCAAAGGCAAAATGAGGCAAGGCCAAAATATCAGCTTCGAAACCACCAATGATCAGAGGTTAAGGAAAAGAGATGGGGTAGGAAAAGAAGGCATGGCCATTTGATGACCTCTGGTGTTGCGACTCCCAGAGAGCTACATATGGCCTGTGAGCCTGAGGGGCTTCATCCCTAGGTTATTGGCTTACCCAGTCTTCATCAGTGCATATTGGCCAAGCCTTTTCTTGTTTGCAACCAGCCTGAGATTTATGCTCCACCACTCTAGGACCACGAGCTACTCCTCCTTGTTCTTCAAAGGTGGGTTCTGTTTCTGCTTGCTGTCATGTAAAAGTAGGGTAGGGGAGACACATGTCAAAATGAAGGATGAGTTAGTCTCACAGTAATCTGCTAAAGACAACCACCGGGCTCCTGCTACTGCTAACTCCTAGAATTTACTGAAACATAATCACCCAGGTTTAGATATTTACTTGCAATTATTTCATCAGAATATTTTCATTAAATTAAAATTCTGTAGTGACACTCCCATGTATGTTCATGAGACCCTTTGCACATTTGCTTTTCTGGTTTAGTAAATATCAGAATGCTTAACTGCAACATGTTAGGTGCTTTGCAATGATATAAGTATCTTTAAAATGAAATAATAAAATGAAGAATGCTGAAATGTCATTCTGTTTGCCAACATCCAGCCTCTAGATTGTACTTTCCTCTCAATTACATGAAGAAATTTGGATTGCTTCTAAAGGCCTGTTTAACTTGAAATACAGTGTAGTCATATGCATTGATATGAATACAACCTTAAGGCAAAATCCTATGTATGTTTAGACAGAAAAAAGTCTCAACTCCTAGCATGCCCCAGTGCCCCTCACTAGAAGCTCCAGCTTTAGAACACTCTGCCCAGTTATTTACACTTAGGCCCTATCTGAGTGTAGGTAATTAATGAGAGCATTTGGTCATGACTGACTTAAATCCCACATATTTCAGTGGGACTTATCTGTCATTAAATTTCTCTGGATGCAACATGTTGTAGTCCTAGTGCTAAAGTAGCTCATACAATTGAGCACGGGACTTTTGTTTTGTCTTTTACATGCAGACGGAATACTGGGGGTTTTTTTGCAGTGGGCCAGGGAATTTGGATTTGACTTTTCAAGTCGTCCTATGCATCTGCCAAGTTTGGTTAGTTATCAGCATTCCAAAAGTGTAAGTCTTCAAGATGCCATTTTTGTCACTAAAGTTTGTCACTAAAGTTTCATTGTGCAAAGAAGGTGGACAAACTTGAAGTCCTTGCTCAGTATTAGCTATTTAAGGGAAAGTGGTACTGAACAATGAACAACACTATTATTCTGCTTTGAAGCTAGCAACTTAATGAGGCTATCATGCCCACACAAAGCAATAATAACAGAATTTAAAAGAGTTTTTCTTTTTCCTTCCTTTCTTCCCTCCCCGTTTTTTTTTTTTTTTTACAAAGCACTTCTTTTTCAGATGAAATATTCAATCTCTGCCTAAACACTGAAGAGAGTATTCACAAATGTTTTCATAAGTTATCATGAATTAATCTACATAGGGTTAACTGCTGGGAATTAATTCAAACTATTTCAATTGTATTTAGTTGTTTTTTTTTAATCCCAAAGCTTTATCACCGCATAAAGTTTCTGATGCAGATTATGACCACATATAGTCATGTTTCCAGCTATCAGGTCATTGGAAACAAAACTAGTGTGGGCTATTAAGTTAAAATTGATAAGTTTGATAGTATTGTATGCATTGCTTCTTTAATCATTACATGTAGGATAAAAGAACAAACATGAAGAACTCTGATATAGTTGGCTGACTGAACAAGGCATGTGCTGTATGCTCTTGTTCCACTGGCATAGCTTCTCAGTTTAGAAACTGGAGAAAAGTTTATTCTTGGTCTGAATTTGTTCTGCAAGAAGGAACATAGGAAGCATTTTGTTTTATACATTAGTAGCACCTTTGTTCACCTTCATTCTAAACATTAATCTTAGTGTTTCTGGTCTCAGACTGCTTACGGTTAACATAATTAAAGTTGCAAGTACTTGGGAATACATCCTAATAATTCAGTGGAGTTTATTTCTAAATAGTCAAATTGTACAGTCAGTTTTATTGCAACATGAGTGTAAATTGGATTTAAATTAAAAACAACGCAGAGCCCTAGGTTATATAGATTTTTCAAATACTTCTTTATACAAATAATCAGTTTACAATATACAATTATATACAATTCTGTATACAATTACAAGTTTCATGGCATGCTCGAATACTCTCTCTACTTGCCATATGAAAACTAGGAAGCGATATGTTTCTTGCTGCCCAAGAATCACTCCTCCCCAATTCCAGCCTTTGAAGTAGAAAGCCCATGCCTAAGTTTCATTTTATTAGTAGCAGTAGGTTGATTTTAGCCATTGATTTAATTGAAATATATTCCTACGGAGATACACATTGGAAGAAACAAAGCTCAGAAGCAGAGGAAGCAAACTCATACCTGGGTGATGCTGAAGCACAGCAGTAGACAGAAGACTCGAATCTGAAACATCTTCAGAAAGGTGCAGATGTGACACTGAAGGATGCCTTTCACTTAGGTATTGGGTTGAATTTAAGCTGTATTCTTGTGTTTCTTCCCTCAATCCAAATTAATTATTAGCCTTCCTCCTGTTTGAAGAGTCAAACAGGAGGTTGCTGACCCAGGACCTATTGCACAAGTTCTGAAGTTTGTTTGCTAGACATCTGTTTGCACAATACCAGCAAACATGCAGGATACATTTGGGTGGATGACCCATCATATTCCAAGAAACGTATTGGGTTATGTTTGGAATGAATCATGTATAGATAAACAATGGAGAGAAAAGCCACACAACCTCTGCTAAATGTACATGCTTTGTCACTGGCATTCCTTGCACTGCAGAAATGCCATTTCTTTGTTAATTACCAAGGACGCAGGGTTGCGAGCCCACAGTCTGTTGTATTGCAATTTGGAAAATCACACGAAAGTTGCTAACAACATGTTTATTGGCCCCCAAGCAGGACTAAAGACAGCCATTGATTTAAATAAACAGCTCCAAGTTTATTGCAACCATTTCTGATCAATAACAGTTGAGGAAATAAGCTTACCTCTACCCACCGTAAGTGGAGCGGGTTCTTGTCTCTAAGGTGACAGCTGGGGGGCCTCCTTAGTTAGCTATCTATTCTCTCAAGTGATCTTACTTCAGATCACAACTTCAGTTCACACCTAAAGGAGCTTCTTGTTCTTCAGTTATGGATCTGAGAAGGTGCGAATCCTTACCTGCAGCAATCTATGATATAGTCTGTGTCTGTTATAGTTCACATTTTGTTTCAATGCAAGATGGAGTCCATGCCTGTTGTAAACCACCATCAAAGCATGCAGATATAATAAGTGTTTTTTAATTGGTGCATCTGCGATTATTGTAGTTTGCATTTCACAGTCATTGGATAGGTTTCTACCTATTTCCTCCTGGAAAAGTAGATAAACATGAAACCTTTCTTTGTGGGGAGAGACACTTGCCTTTGAGGAGAGACACTAGCCTGTCAGTTTCAGTCCCCTCTTCTGCAAAGACTGGTTTGCATGTTTATGAAACCTACCTACTTGGATAATTTAAATACAGAATTAAGTTCCATTTCTTCCACAAATGGTACAGGAAATGGCCACAGCTATCACACTACTTGTGTATCACGGAAACAGTCATTTACCCAGTTGTTAATCATATTTGTTGCAGGGTATAGTGATCTCTTTGTGGATATCAAGACTACCAGTTTAGTTGCCATTGGCAAATCGTGCAGGAACTAGTGAACATGGATTCCCTGCCCGTTTCTCCTTCATTTCTTATGTGTTTTGTGACTGTGTGCTCTGCTATTGTGAAGTCACCTCTCTCCATCACTAGAGAACACCTCCACCATGCAACCTATTTTCTCCTGCTTAAACAGTAGCTGCACACCTAAGAGTGAACAGCTGTTAGATAGTTTAAAGCAGAGGTGGCAAATAGGAGGCCACCCTGATGTTTTAGCCCTTGCAGCTCCCACTAGCCCTCGCTTGCCACTATTCCTTGCCACTATTTCAAAGTCAGCAGTTAAGAACTTTTCTAAGAGCATTCTCATTGCAAAAGTAAACTAGCGTAAGAGCGAAGCATCGGTTTCTTAGAAATACTCATCATCAACTGGTAAGCCTTTTGTATTTCCCCACCCTTTCTTTATCTTATTATTTAAAATGTCTTGAGGTGCAATCCTACACATTTCCGGACAGGAAAATCTGCCCTACAAGTGCCAGCATGTCACTGCCAACCATACTGGCTGGGAAATGGTGTGACTAATAGGACTTTGTACCATTACAGGGCATGAAAGGAGTTGTTCTGGATCAGAGCCAAAGCTTATCCTGTCTAGCATTACATTCAGACAGTGGTTAACCAGTTGCCTCTGGGAAACCCACAAATAGAACATGAGCGCAAAAGCATGTATGTAACCAATGTGAGGAACAGGATGCTAAATCAGATGGACATCTGGTCTGCTCCAACAGGAATCTTCCTATGCTTCTAAGAGCATGCATATAAACCTCCTTACAACAGCAGTCTGCATCCTTTTTGGCACCAGGGACCAGTTTCATGGAAGACAATTTTTCCATGAACCAGGGGTAGGGATGGTTTTGGGATGATTCAAATGCATTACAATTGTTGTGCACTTTATTCCCATTATTATTACATTGTAATATATAATGAAATAATTATAAAACTCATCATAATGTAGAATCAGTGGGAGCCTCCCTCTGACCTGCAAACCTGCAGCCCAGCCCTGACCTGCTTTCCAGTTTCCTCACTGTTCGCACATGCTCTTCCTGGCTTCTCTATGCCACTTGCTACTTGGCTCTTCTGCCACTGCCGCCGCCGCCACTGCCACCGTGGCTGTTCCATCCACTGCTGCTGCTCCCTCCTCCATTTGAGGCCCAAGACTCAAAAGGCCCTAAACATAATCTGTATTTGCAGCCACTCCCCAGCGGTGATGCTAATGAAGCTTGACTCACTGGCCTGCCGCTCACCTCCTACTGTGTGGCCTGGGGGTTGGGGACCCCTGCCTTACAAGATCCCAAACTAGTTGTACAGCAGTTTGGATCCCAATGCATAGTATATTTAAGATGCAGTCCTATATATGTGTACACAGAAAAAAGGCATAAATATGCATAGGAATGCATCCTAAAAAGATGCGTTGCCTTTCCTAAATGAAAAATTTTAAGTAGAAATATTAAACAAACCATTGGAAAGTAATTCATGTAGTAAGCTGTTTTCTAGTTTAGAATGCCCTTGCTTTAAAATAAGTCACTTTTCAGTAATAGGTCACATTTATCAAGGACATTTTGAAAGGATTTGCATTTTGTTCATTAAATACCAGACAAATGACAAAACTGCAAAGCACCTGGAAAAACATGTTTCTGATACGCAATCACCTTTTATGCAAATAGATGAAAGTGGCGTAGGGAAACCCAAAAGAGTAGGCCATCACAGCTACAGGTAACACAGCTACCACAATGGCCAAATGTGAGGTGCACTCAGGGGATTTCAGCTAACTACATTTTTGTAACTTTCTATGTTTTGGCAGAAATAACAATCCCTACTTAAAGCAGAGCAATGCAAGCCAAGCAAACACTCTTCTGACTGCCCTGATGCCCATTCTTAATTGCTTGGTTCAGCCATAAACTTCTGAAAGTCCCATTCATTTAAGTGGAAGAGATTTAAACACATACCTAATTCTCTGATCATCAGTGGTGAAATGAGTGGCTTTGACTGGATCAGGCCTATCCTTTATTTACTGATACTGTTTTTAAAATGTGTTTGAAGAAGGCTTTCAGGATAGACACACACCCTCATGCCTTGATCTAAAACACTGAAGTCAAACTAAAATCAGCTATACTTAAGGGCTACAATTCTTTTCAGTTATTTGGGAGTGAAGGCCTTTGAAATCAATGGGATTTACTTCTGAGTAAACATGCAGAGTCTATCTATGCTCTGGCACAACCTCTCCTTGTTCAAAGGCCACCCAGCTCACAGGTTAGAATACAGATGGAAAAGCAAGTGGGCTGCCTAATTAAGGATCCTTCCACATGTCCTGTCAAACTCTAAGCTGTAACCAGTAAAGTTGTGGCCAAGTTAAAACCCAGCACTTCCTTTGCATAGTGTATGAATGCCTTTCCCGGAATTGCTACCTAGTTAGTTGCAATTGATGTAATCCAAAGAACTTCAGGATTCAGGTGGACTGCACTAGTGAGCCATTTGCCTTTTCACAACCTAGTGCAAAATTGTACAATCATGTGCAGTTGTATAGATGCATACCAAGATTATACATATACTTACATATACACCAATAATTTCAAAGCACCTATTGGCCCCCACACAGGAATTAAGACTCAACAGATACAAGGGGATTTAAATTATTTAGCTATGTATTTCCCTCAAGTCACCCTACTTCATACCAGACTTTAGCTCAGACCTGAGGTTGCTCCTTGTTCTTTAGTTGTACCAGGTTTCCCCAAAAAGATGCACTAGGGCAGTGATGGTGAACCTTTTAGAGACCAAGGGCCCCAAACAGCAACCCAAACCCCACTTATTTAATGCAAAGTGCCAACCTGAAAAAGGAGGTTTTAGTTTAGAAAAAGAGCTCACAGCCTGTCCAAGCAAATACACACACACACACACACACACACACACATCCTTGGCAGCGCACTGACCGGCTAATGAATTGCAGAATGAGAAGTCAACATGTGGCGCCGCTACTCATCCCCGAGCATGCGCATGGTTTCTATGTGTGCTGTTATCCAATGCTCAACTGCTGGGGTGATGCTGGGACGACTTGGCTCATGTGCCAACAGACAGGGCTCTGCGTGCCCACTGTGGCACGCGTGCCATAGGTTTACCACCACTGACCTAACCCTGCCCTGGTGCACACCCTTAATCCTATTATAGGGCTAAAGTTCCATTAAAAAGAGGGCGATTTTGAAAAAGCCTTCCTTGAGTAGCTTTTTCTGCACAGCTCATAATTTCTGCCCATTCTAAACACATTCCAACCATCACAATCATGCCAGGACACCTCGTTTTTCTAACCCTACCCCTACCCTGGTGCACACCCCTAACTCTAATAGACGAGTAAAATACCATTGAAAAGAGGGCGATTTTGAAAAAGCCTTCCTTGAGTAGCTTTTTCTGCACAGCTCAACATTTGTGCCCATCCTAAACACATTCCGACCATCAAAATCATGCCAGGACACCTCATTTTTCTAACCCTAACCCAGTGATGGTGAACCTTTTAGAGACCGAGTGCCCAAACTGCAACCCAAAACCCCCTTATTTATCACAATGTGCCAACACTGGAATAAACCTGAAAACAGCCAGTCCAAGCAAATATACATATATCCTTGGCAGTGCACTGACCAGCCATGCAAAAGCTTGGACAATTAGCAGCTAATGTGTCGCGGCTTGCGATGTCATCACATGGCCCCTTTACTCCTTTCTGAGCATGCGCATGGCCCCTGTGTGCACTGCTATCCGATGTTCGGCTGCTGGGGTGATGCTGGTGCGACTTTGCTCGCGTGCCGACAGAGAGGGCTCTGTGTGCCCGCTGTGGCACGCATGCCATAGGTTCACCACCACTACACTAGGGCTTATTTTCAGGTGATGTCTTTTTTTTTCATGTACAACAATCTATGTTTATTCATGTATTCATGTGCAAAAATCTACATTTATTCAAATATAGTCATGTCATTCTTCTAGAACATCATCATAACTCTCCAAACCTCGGATTGTATTGCAAAGGACATACTAAATGTGTCTGTCTGGCTGATGACCTTAACTGGGGCTTATTTTTGGGGTATGGCTTATATTATGAGCATCCTGAAAAATCATGCTAGGGCTTATTTTCCAGTTAGGTCTTATTTTCGGGGAAACAGGGTATATCCAAAATGTGTCTCATTCTAATGGTGTGGGGGATTAAAAACAAAAGAGAAGGGCTTCCAAATCAAAATACCAGCCTTTTAAAGTTCAGGGCTAGTAACTACGAGTAAGCCATACCAGAGGCATCTTAGTCTTTTAGAATGGGGAAACAACTGCACAGAAGCCAGGAAATCATTTCAAAATTGGTGGCTGAGAGAAAGGGTGTGGAGACCAGAGGAACCCAAGAAAGTTGGCTTGGGTCTCCCAAAGGACCATAATTAGCTGCGGTGCCTAAGGTTCCTGGCCATCCTCTAAGGCAGTGGTCCTCAAACTTTTTCACCAGGGGGCCCGTTGAATGGTGCTGGCGGTGGGCGCGGGCTGCCAAGGCAGTGCCGGCGGGGGGCATGGGCTGGTGAGGGGACGGGGCGTGCACACATGCGCAGTGAGGTGGGGGGGCGCACAGGACGGGGGGGGCGCGTGGGGTGTGGCAGCGGCTTGCTCGCACGGACAGCATTTTCTCCAAGTGAGTTCAAAACAATCTCTGTGCGAGCAAGCCGCATGCCCGCACACAAGCGGCCAGTGCAAACTCTCTGGCGTGGGCTGGTTAAATGGGCATGGCGGGCCAGATCCAGCCCGTGGGCTGTAGTTTGAGGACTCAGGTTTCTTTAGTTTGCACTTCAAATCAGAACCTTGGTTTACACCCAAGAATGCTCTTGGTTTCTTGACGGATTTGTGAATGATCACCAGCCCAAACTATGAAGCCTCAGGAACAAGGAGCCCTCAGCTACGTAAGGCTGTCAACTGTCTTCACTTTCTTCAAGTTGGCAAGCATTAAAAATTTGGCCTGGGCCAGCTTCCCTTTGCCACAGGGTTGTCTCAAGGCTGTCACCACTGTGTTCTGCATGTTCTCGCCATCCAAAATGGTGTCTGCCACAGGAAGGGTCTATCCTAATTTACCATTCTTTGGATTGTTTACTGAGTACAATGTCCCATAGGATTAGCAGCAGATACCTCAATAACTAAGCACACTTTTCCTGAAATAGATGGATCCCATTTTCCCTGAACAGGCAAGACAGCAAGAATGTACTATCTAAACGAGACACTGGAGAGGACACCCATAATGCCGTAGTTATTTGGCAAGATCTTAGAGGCATTCTGTACAATTTAGTATAATGCAGTCATTTGGAGGGTTGCCATCTTTTTTTCTGGTAAATCTCTGTCCTATGCCTTTAAGTATTGTTGGACAGATTCACAATTTTACTGTGAATCTTTTACTGCAAATATAAAATATAGGGGAATCATTGTCTTTTATGTTTTTGTCAGTTGTACAGGAGTCCTCCCCAGAAAAATTGTAGTTAGCATAATCTTGTATATTTTTTCATTTCAAAACTCCTGATGCATTACATGATATAAGTCACGAGTCTCCTGTCTAGATGAAATAAATCACACATTCAGTGGAATGAGTCCTTATTCATTTTAAGCCATCAATTTCAGTGGGACTGAAGCATGGCTAACTTTATCCAGATTAAAGCTTTAAGGCAGATTTCCTCAACCTGGTGCTCTCCTTTTCTTTTGAATTATAACTCCCATTATCTCAGACCGTTGGCCATGTAAGCTGGAGTTAATAAAAGCTGTAGTTCAAACCATCTGGGGGTACTGCACTAGTACAGGCGGCCTTAAGATGCAGCTTTCAAAAGGGCATGCAGAATCATAATTTCAGATGATGTCCCATTACAATATTTGATGCAGGTATTTCTGGGCAAATAAGCTGTCCAAGCAGGTGTATGTGAGTATATGTGTGTAACAATTGACTAGAGACAATTCATTCACTAAGAGTAACCAATATTAGTTGGTGACAAGTAGGTAATTAATTTCAGGCTAGAATCCCCTGTGAAGAGTTTGATACAACTATATTTTATTCTCTTAAAAAATGGTTCACATAATGCCCCGCTTTCATTTAAAGACAGAGAAAATATAAATGACAATGGATGAATGGAACAGTGTCTTAGCTCCCAATATGAATGGATGGGGTGTCATTTTCTCCATAAACAGTTTCATAGCAAGAAGGAAGTGAGTAAGGAGAGTTTATTAAATTAGCATATCTGGTCACTTGGTACATTCATTGAAAACCAGTGCTGGTTTTTAAGCTGCAGTTGTCTAGCTCCAAAGTTAAAAATGGGATGCCACAAATGGCAATTACAGGTAATGTAATGGCAGGGTGTTTTTTGGTGAAACTTTAACTGAACGACATTAGATGTTGACATATAAAATAGGAATACATATACATGTGTATAAACCAGTCATTTCTAGGCAGTTGTAAACCTTTACAAAGTTCTTCTCAATCTTTCAGAGCAGGTGGCACCTCAGAAGCAATTCATGACACATTTTATTTGTCCATATTTATTTAAATTTGTGTTGAGGAGACATATTGCAAAGTAACTAGAAACAGTGGCTCTAACTGAGAACAATTTTTTGCCTATGCAGTATACCCACAAGTAGAAATTGCCATATCATTGTTACATACAGACACAATCCAGAGAATGTCAAGATTCAGGCTTTCAACAGGTAAACTGCACTGGTGATCCATTCACTTTTCTACAACCCAGTGCAAAATTGTGCAATTGTGCATATGGAATACATTCCAAAATGTGAGCTATGAGCTGAAATGATCAAACAGCAGATGCTATCCTACAGAAGTTGGTGTGAATTCAGAGTTGCGCCATTTTAGTTTTGTGGCTTTTCTAGTTGAATCCTTGTCCCAAAAAAATCCTTTTAAAATTCTCCAACCTACAGTCAAAGAGAAAAGGGACTGCTGTAATTTTTCGCTCAAGAAAAGACTACATTATGTATGTTAAAAATAGGATGGCATGACATGTAAAAACCTTGCTGGAAGAGGCCCAATGTTTCTCTAGTCCATTATTCTGGGAAACCCAGTGGAAGGAACTTCCCTCCCATTCTTCCCACCCATGCATACACAGCTGGGGTCTTCCTCCAGATACCACCTACCAAATAGCATTAGCCATTTAAAAGAGAGAGAGTCTTCTCCATCACAGTGCCTCATTAAAGGAAAACCCTCCGAAAAGAAACTGCTGCCCACAGTATTACCTTTTCTGCACTTGGCACAGATGTTTCTCTGTTTCCCAGAAATTTTAGCTATAAAATGTTTGATTATGGTATTGATTGTTTGTAGCCTGTTCTTAATCTGCTTTACTGTGTGAGCCTACCTGGGAACTTTTGATTAAGTCATGACATATTATTGTACATTGATTTTAATAGGTTCTTTCTAAGTACAATTAAGGGCACAGTCCTATTCATATTTAGCCAAAACAAGTCACACAGCTCTCAGCATTCCCCAGCCAGCATGGGTGGCTGAAGAATACCAAGAGCTGCAAAATTTATTTCTGTTTTAAAATGCCTAAGATTGTTTCCTGTGTTTGGACTCTACCCATGAATTTTATCTAATTGTCCTTTAAAGTAACTTAAGCTAGTGGACACTACAGCATCTTGTGGCCAAAAAATTTCACGTGTTTCAGGTACACACTTAAAAGAGGTGTGTTTAATTTTGCCACCACAACATGCATCTTTACAATGGCTTTTGTGCAGTCCAGAGTTGGTGGCTGTGCCTAGTCCTGCAAGATGACCATCTGTGTCTTGACACTCACCCGTTTCTGTTTTTCCTTTAATTATACCAGACCATCACCTGTTCCCGACTTTGCCTTCACCTCTGTTCCTACCAGGACTTTGCTGGGATCTGACCCTTGCCTGTTCTTCACTCCGCTTTTGCCTCTGCCCCTGCCCGTTCTATGTCTCAGCAGTGTCTACCACTTGCCTGAATGAGCCTTGTCTCCTGAATCCATCACCCCTAGTGTTCCAGTCAAGGAAGCCTGCCACTTTCATGTGGAACTGACAGTGATCTACTCAGACAACTCTGAGGACATAATGCTCGAACATTACTCAATGGTTTAATATTTTAGCTGAATTTGTTACCTTTCTAAATATCTCCACGGTGTCCAAGGTCTTTTACTCCTCCACTTTGCTGTCCTGTGATTATTGAAAGTCTGCTAAAGGGAATGACTTTCATGGTTGTTTTTTTCATGGAATACCACCGCGAGCGCCAGGTTGCCCAAATAATGCCATTGTCATTTCCAGCATCCTTTGCACTGTAAGAACCACCTGAAAGGCAAACAACACCTTACTACAGAAGCTGCTTAATTTTTGCACACATATTTAAAAGTAATATATGCAAGTCAATTAATCAGTACATAACTGATTTTAAGCCTTTAGAATTTCTAGTCTCTAATGTTTAGTTTTACAATTTGAAGAGCTCTCAGACATATTAATACAAGCTTTAAATCACAGGAAATTACATATATTTGGCTATCTGGTGTCACAGCACAGTAGGTACTTTATTCCTTGAATTCTGAAGAGACTGTGGGCACAATGAAGACAAAGTACAGCACTTCTAAGTTGCATTGATTGAGCATCTGTTTAAATCTCTTCCACTGCTTCTTACATCACCATACAATTTGGTGAGTGAGGTATGGTGATTGCACAATAAAAGTATCATTTGGAAGTACCAAAAGGATATTATGGATTCATATGATTACCTTTGTAATATTTCCCATTGAGGTGAGCAGCATGACATCTGTTCATCCACCATCCAGATCCATCCTGTTCAGCACAATTTTCATCAAACCGATCATTGTCATTGTCATGTGTGCTGAACTGCATGCCATTGTGGGAGGTAAAGAACTTGTCACTGGGATCATCTCCAAAGTCAAAACCATCAAAAGCATTCCCAGCATCACCCCCAGTAAAGAAAGCATAGCTCAGGCGGTACTTATCCTCTTCACTTCCCACTTTGAAGTGGGCATAATCTGCATAGCTGTGGAAAGAAAACAGTTTAAAATGCTCAATTTTAAAAGTGTATGCTTTTTATACTGTTTATTACCCAGAACACAAGTGTTCAAAGAAGTGTGCTTGGTCATTGATCTGCACTTACCCTCTTAAACAGCTGAAGTTAGTTTCATCAAGAAAATATGTAATAAAGCACTTCACTCAAAAAGTACAAAATGTACAGGCATCATTGGCCATGCAACTAAGGTAAAAGGCCACTAATGCTACCGATGGAGTTAAGTTCTCAGCAGTGGTGCAGAGTGTCCTGCCATCAGATCAGGAACCTGTGTGCTGCCAACTGCCTGTTTCTCACACCCCAGGCATGGACCGATGGCCATGGCTCCCTCAGAGGGGTCCCCAGGCCTGAATGCCCAATCCGGGGGTTTCTTCCTCAAAGCGTGGCATTGGGAGGTGGTGCTGGAGAATGACTGTATTCAATTGCCAACTTATCTTTTCCCACCAAATCTTATAAAAGAAAATACTGGGCCTATCAGTGGCCTTTCACTCATACAATGGAATAAAATGAACAAGCAGAGGACACTGGCCACACCTATGTGGTTGGGGCTTTTCATTCATTGCAGCTTTTATTTCTAGCTTTATAGCAAATATCTATGGTGTTGAATTCCATCCCCAAAATACGTTCAACACCACGGAGTGCCAGAATACACAAAATGTGTACGGATCCTTTAACAGCTTCTTAATTAAGACTAGTTGTTTGATGTGCCTTCTTTTGAATCAGAACAGCTATTTATATTGTGTTGGATCCAAACTAAATCATACTTTAGGCCCACTGAAACCAGTGAAACAATTTTGCCAGAACTAATCAAGTCTCCGTAAACTTCAGTGAGCCTAAATTTTGATTAATTCAGTCTGAATTTAGCCAATTGTATATTGCTAGCACAGTGAAGCCAGTTTGCTGAGTTAGTTTTATTTATAAATGTTCAGAGTTGTCAGAATATTTGCAGACCTGCTTGTGTGAGGGGAAGTACAGTCAGTCTGATGGAAAGAAACCTAAGGAACAAAAATAGTTTTGTGGGCCAGGCTAAAAACTGAGAGAAGCCCTAGGATTTGGGGGCAGCTAAAGACCAAGAGGAAGATTGCAGAAGCTGAACCAACAAGCCAGCAATGCTCAGCTCTTAAGACTAAAAACAATGTGTACTAGACACAGGCAGAGAGAAAAATGCATAACAGTCTAAGAGGCTTTTGCCTTGCCAACATCAATCAAGTCTATTTATAGATTTTGGTTCATGAACTAGAATAGGATAGAAATAAAAGTGGAGATGGACATCTGAACTGACCAGGTAAAATGCTAGAGTTTGGCAGCTATACTGTCTATGAGTTGTGTAGCAATGTCATGTGACAAAGTCAGAAAGCATCCAGTCCTGACTGTTGTGGGGTCTCATCCCAATGAAAACATACCCCAATCCACAGCTCCTGTATCTATCTTTTCTTTCTTCCCCCAACAGCCTCCTGGCACCATCCTCCTGGCTTCCATTACCAATTTCTCCTATGCCCAGGCAAACCACCAACACTATGATGGTAAAGAACTCTGAGGCCTATTACTAAAGAAAGGGTCTTCATGGGATACCTTGTTTGGCCACTCCAGTCTTCCAGTTCTATCCGCAATGCATATGGAATGGTGGTTTGGGTGGTTATTAAGTGAATCTTTTCATTTCCCAACCAGAATTCTGTCTGATCATTTGGCGATAGGTGTCCAAACCCTTCCTTGTATTGGATCCAGTTTTTGTTAAAATCTTCACTCCCATCAAGTCTCTGATAATGAATTGTGGAGAAGAACAGAAGGGAAGGGAGATTAACAGGGTTAGTATATCTTTCTTAAAGTTGAACGATTGCAATGCAGCATACATCAATGATGCATCAATGATGCTATGCATCAATTGAATTCCACACATTCAGTTGACATGCTACTTACCCTTTGGAATACTGTCCAGCCATTGCCCAAAGTATCAATTTCACAATAGACTAGGAACTGCTCCTTGGCTTTCATAGGTTTGATGAAGTAGAGTCCACTCTGCCTGGCACCTTTATTAGCAATGTCTTGGCAATCTATAAGAGACACAGAGGAGAAATGGCCAGAAGCTTAGCTGTAGTCCAATTTATCCTTCTTCTACGTAAGCAAGACTAAAAAAGGCCCTTACTATAATGGGTATTTGTTATGTCTTTACTTTGTCCTTTGCCTGAGGTGTTCAGGACATGGTGTGTGCCCCTCCTCTTCACAACAATGCACTCCCCAGAGAGGTCTGCCTGCCACTGTCATTATTTGCTTTTCGGTGCCAGGCCAAAACCTTTTTATTTAAATGTTATTTTAATTGATTGTTAAATTATTTATTGTTTTTATCTAACTCCAGGATGTCTCCAATTTTGTATATTTGTATATTGTATTTATTTGTTGGAAGCCTCCCCAAGGCTTATGCGAATGGGGTGGCATACAAGCACTCCAAACAAACAAACAAACAATCCTGTGGGAATATTAGGCTGAGCAGAGATCTGAAGCCAGATTTCCTTGGTCTAACAAATTCTACCCACTAAACAACAGTGGCTATTCTAAAAGTGAACCTAAATTGCACTTTTAACTAATACCAAATACCATTAATATCAAAGTGCTTTGCATAGGAGAATATACATAGCAAAATATATTAAGCTACATTCATACTGTACTTACATCAAAAGTCATAGTAGTGTCTTGGAACTCTATTCCGTCTATTTCGTATCATAATGACTGAGGCCCAGACAAAAGAATATGCCCACAGTAGGTTGTGGTTTCTGATTACTGTGGTTGCTAACAATTTAAAGCAAACCACTCTAATGAATATTTTGAACCTGGGGTTTGTGCTGTGGCCCAACATCAGATAAGGAACTCGGGACAAATGGGTAAATACTTGTTTGGTGCATGTTTGTGTGGGTATCCATTGCTCCTATGGGCCAAAACACCTACAGAATGAGATACCTCTGCATGATCAGGAGGAAAAAATGTACTTAATGGTATTTCACTAGAATCCCTGAAAATGTTAAGAATATTCTACCCCAGAAATATTTCCCATACAATGTAATTAACTAGTACAAATAGAGTCAGAGAAGGATGATTTGTAAATAACTCTTCTGTTTTATACTGGAACGAAGAAGTTCAGGCTTCCATAGAACCTGATTTAATCATAAGGGTTCTTTGACTGATTTGAGTTTGTGTTTGTATGTCTTTATTAAATAAAGAATGGATGCAATACAAAAATTATTGGATAAAATTATTCTGATGCCATGAAAGAATAATTTGGACATAGATTTTTTTTTATTTCATGAAAGTCTCCATATGTGTTGACATGTCTGTTTTCTTGCATGCAACTCTCCTGTAAACCATGAATGGGTGTAGCTTTCTTCCTAGTATATATACACCATTGGCATAAAGTGACTTGGTTTGGACAACCATTTTGTAACTCAGCTTCTGCTTGTAGGTTCTCATATTGTCCAAGCCTGGCGTGGGTGGGTTGTTGGTTTGCTAAAGAATCTGCCTACAACCCTACAATAGTCCATGGGTTCTAGTTGGTTTGTTAACCACACCAAACAACCCACCCTTGCCAGGTTGAGATGGCATGATGACCGATGAGTGGGGGCTGGCTCATGGAACAGGTGCCAGTGACCCACACTAGCTTATTTATGTAAAATGTTCATGCAAACCCAGTCACTGTGAAAGATATATTTATGCCACATTACACATGGATAATCATCACATGTGGCATTCCAAACACATTTTAAATGTTTTATCTGACAAAGCTTTTTATAACATCTAAAGAGTCCTTAAAGCTCTTTACATGTTCACACTTTGCTTATAAAGTCTTCTCATTTTTATAAGTTAAGCTATTTGTTAGTCAACACAAGCACAGTCACACAGAGGTGTTGGCGCACAAATCAGTACATCAGAAGTGGGCTTTTGAATCTACTGCTAGCTAGATTATGCTGTGCGTTGATCACATAGTGCTTTAGCACTGTGTCATTTTGCGGCATAATTGCATTTTTACTGATCATAATTATTTTAAGTAGTCTGTTACATTAGCTGTGTTGAACAACTCCATTTTGAAATTATATAGTTTATTAATTATATAAAATTATATAGTGAATATAAATAAATAATAGAGGCATTATCCAATTACTCTTACCCTTTCCAGTTAAGTCCTGTATCTCAACAGTGTCTTTACATGGATTCTGGCATTGAGTCTCAAGCTGCATTGTCTTTTGCTTCAGTATCTGGATCTTGTTATTGTTTTGCAGTATAATTTCTGTCAACTCCCTGGAAATTTAAAACAACAACAACAACAACACAGTATAGCTTGGAACAATACTTGATACACACTGCTGTACCCACACCTTTCTTCCACATGAAGATCAACTGTATGGAGGGGTAAGTGGTAATGTACCCTGTCCTACCCTATTCAGAGGAAAAGGCTTCCCTTTCCTCTGTTCCCCAGGCACAGGGTTTTGGGGGAGGCCACTGAGGAGTCTCCTTCCCTTCTCCATGCATGCAGGACAGACATGGAGGGAAGGACTGAGCAGGGCTATGGACTTTTAAAAGCAACCCGTGCTAGGTTTGCCAAGCATGCATTGCCAAAAAGGTGGAACTGCACCACCAAAAAAGAGAGAATGCATCTCTGCATAATATTTTTATAAGTTAATGTGTATGTCTAAAGGATTGTTTAGTTTATGTAGAAATTTAAAGAAACAGGACATTCGTGTGCCTGTTTCACCTTCTGTTTAAAGGTTAACTATGCATTGTGCAATTTCAGGATCCATACTGCTTTGTTCTTTATCTTCTGGCTTGTCCTGGACTGGCTAGCTCTTCAAATAGAGAACTCTCCTCTGCGAAGGAGGTCACCTGACCACCTTATGTCTATGTTCATACATGCTTATAGGAATGAGCACGCTGGACACAATGAAGACATGCAAACAGCAAGAGCAAAGTAAACTGGTACAAAGCTCACAAGATGCGTTTGGGACAGTAACAATCTATTCACAACAGGGCTGTGAAGATAAAATGAAACGAGTGGGAGAATCATGTATATTACTGTGAGCTCACTGGAGGAAAATATGAGATCACAAGCAAACATATTATTTTCTGACCAATTTTGCTGTTTACCTCAACAGGTTATGCATTTTGGTAGAAAGACGGCGTATCAAATAAATATTATGTAAAACTGCTTCTATTTGATTACAAATCCAGGCTGAATGCAGCCTTCTTCAACCTGGCACTCCCCTTTTCCTGAGGTGTTGCACTATAACTCTCATTATTCCACTTCTGTCTACCTGGGATGATAATAGCTATAGTTCATTACCTCCAGGAGTAGAGCACATTGAAAAGGGCTTATCTAATAAACTGTGCTTTTAGATGCAGAAGAAGCAGCTGGTTTGACTTGGCCCTAACCCCATTTCCTCAAGTAGGCATGCATAGGATTATAACTGGAGCTTGGCAGACCACTTCATTCTTTCCTGAAACAGGGAAGTAGTCTTTGTTATGCTGAAACAGTTATAAGAACATAGGCATTTTCTTTTGCACAGCAACACAGTGTCTGTTAGAAAAACTAGATAATGCAAATATGGCCTGCTTCTGAACTAATAGTAGAAGATACATACTGCAATGTATTTTCATAGGATATAATATTGTTTTCATATCTGATGATTTCTTCTATGAGTCCTCTGGATTTTTGAGTATAGCCAGGCATCACATCTGTAGAACAGGCACAAAGATGTAGGAAACATGAATGATACAATACTGAGTAAGCTGGGAAGCAAAAGGAGGCTGCATTGTACTGTAGTAGCCTTTGTGTTCTCACTTGGTTGAGTTGATGGGCCTGGGACATAGATTCGTCGGATCTCTCGGATTAATTGTTCTGTTGTATCTGAAGAGTTGGAGATCTGCTGCAACTTGTTTTCAAGTATCTGGAGTTCTCGATCAATGGCAGGCTGATAATTATTCAAGAAATCTGCAATCCCACATGTGGTAGGGCAAAAGTTACCCTAAACAAAAGGAAGATTTTTAATCATATTAAGTAATAAGAAGCATTTACTATTAGCATTTGTTGTCTCCAACATATGCAGACAGTGCAGCATGTAAATAAATAAATTTATTTGCAGTAGACATCTAAACAATTCAAACAATAATGACAATAAACTCTCTTCAAATATTGCATGCTGTGAATTTAAAAAGGAATTTTATATTTTAAACAACAATTGTATAATTTTACAATAGCCTATAATCTGCCAGAAATAAACATATTAGTAAGAAGTACAAGAATAGCAAGGATTTAGACTTACAAATCGTTGATCCAAGATGCAGCAGTTTTCCTGGGTAGCAACGTACTAAATAAAAGAGAAAGAGAGAGCAGTTTCAATGATTTTGCTACTTCGTTGATTACCTGAGCCATTGTTTAAACCAATCATTACTCCGCCTGGTTACACTTACAGCACTGCAAGTTGAAAACAGGATAGATAGAAGAGGCAGCCAGATATTGAACTTTAGTATCATTGTGCCTATAGCTCTGTGAGCTCCCAGAAACTGAAAAGGTAGCACTTAAATCAATGTGGTTTTGTCGACTTCGACGACCTGATCTTGCTCTCTGAGCTGCACAGTGACAGCTTAAGGGATCAGGCGGCACTAGGTGAGTGGATGCAGCATTGTAAATAGGAGGAGACTGTGCAAAGGGAGGGCGGCCGCTTCCGGGCTGTGTGGAGGCGTTTCCAGGATTTGCTGGCTCCCATTCTTCCTTTTTTAGCACAAATGTATTTCTTGGCCACAGCCCCATCCTTCAAGTCCTCTTTGTGGGGTAGGACACAGTGGTGAAAGGACACATTGGCCCTATGGAGCAATCGCTTCCAGTAATCATTTGTAGTAAACCTAACCCGAATCTCTGAAAAACATCAATGAGATAATGGATGTCTTAAGAGGAACACCTGGTTGTTACCTGCTTCTAAAGTTTGAACAACTAAAAAGTGAACACAATATTCCATGAAATGGCTTATACCCAGGTCCAACTGACTTCAGGCAGCAGACATGGCAGGGGGTAGCAACAATATGTTGGACAATATATTGTATGTACTGTATGGCCTGTCCTTAGGTACCAAATTGCCATCTGCTGCAGTGGAGGATGCTGTCCCATTACCAGTGTTAAACCGAGACTGAAATTCCAGTCTGGTTAGCTTCTCTGGGAATGGGAGGAGCACCATCTTGTCTTTTGTTTCAGTCAGCAGAGGGCTTTGGGCCTGCTCTACATATGCTGTGTTTAAGGACCCCAGGGTTGTCATTATTGCTAATGGTTCAGATTAAGATTTGGAAAAATGTTTTGTGTATTTGTATTTTCCTCTTCCTGCAAAAGAGGCAAGGCTTTCTTAAGGATACATACTCAGCCATAAACATGTCATTAATGCCTCAGGGCATGGAAAGTGTTTCTGAGGGTCAAACTATAGTTAATTTGCCCTCCCATTGAGATTAGTAAGCATGGGAGAGAATCCAGTTCCAACTGGGCTTGCAGTGGTTGGCTGGGGGAAGGGGGAGAAAGCAAAGCTGCGACTTAATTTTCTTTCCACATCACAGTCCCAATTCTATCTCTCCCTCCTTGCTGGTTGTTTGTTAAACACAAGGCCAAGCGTCTCAATGCTGCTCGCTCTGAGGTGGCTCAAGCCAGGCTTTCTAGGTTGGCTCATTCTTCCTGAGAGGTACCTTTTTGAACAAGATCCCACTCCCAGAAAGTTAGCCACATGAGGATGTCTCTTTGGGGGTACCCCAGAGGGTCTTCTTTGTTGCTGTTCCACCTGGAAAAGGTTAGGAGTGATGTATTTTGGACAGGAGCATAAGAAAAGTCATGCTGGATCAGACCAGTGGTCCATCCAGTCCAGTACACTGCTTGCACAGTGGCAAACCAGCTGTCCACAGGATCCATCAACAGGATGGGTACAAGAGTTCCATCTGCCCAGCAACTGGAGTATGCAGGCATGCCATCTCTGATAATGGAGACAGCACATAGCCAGCAAGGCTAGTAGCCATTGAGAGCTCCTCCTCCATGAATTTGTCCAATCCTCTTTTAAATAACAGACATAAGTCAAAACACAAAAGTCATTTTTCATTCTATGAAACATTTATTCAGACAGTACATTTTTTCAGAGCAGGGATTACCTGCCGGTTCACACAATTCCCATATTATTATGTATTTGCCAAATATTTGTATTTCCTATTAGCCTAGAAGTATTACCTACAGTTGTACCATGAGAAATTCCTTTTTATTACTCATCTAACAATACAGCTGTATGAGTATATGTAAAATACCCAGTATTTTAATGTTGATTTTAATTATGTTTTACTTCAGTTGTGGGTTATTGGTCTTATTATTGTTTGGAATATTTATGATCTTTTATATTATTGTATTTATTGAATTTGTTTGTAAGCTGTCCAGAGATGTATAGTGATTGGACAGGTTAGAAATATCCCAAACAAACAAACAAATAAATAAATAAATAAGCTACACAGTTTGTATTTGTGGTTTCTTCATATTTTCCCTATGACATGTATTTATTTAATTAAAAAAACTTTTTATCTTGACATTATGAAGTGAATTAGACAATAAATACATTGTACCCAACATATAAGAAATATAAAATACCCAAATATAAACAAATCAATATCATGAAGGAACAAAGATTGAAGAAAAACTCAGCTAAAGTCTTTCAGAAAAATTGTGTCGTGGCCAGATGCCTAAATGGGGAGAAAAAGTACTGGGGGTTGTCTCAAAACTTTCCTTAGGAAGGTATTCTGTGAAGAGGGACTACTTATGCAAATGCCCTGATCCCAAGGGTCGCATACTGTTTCTTTTTCTGCCTTGAAATAAAAGCATGTGCTTCTCACTTCAGAACTGTTTCTTTTACCTGTATGCAACTTCATATCATTAACTGACTCATTATTTCTTTTGCTTTGAAAAGTTCCATTATCCCCAGTAGTGGTGTATTTCTTAGTAAGAGTGTTTAGGATTGCAGTTGAGCTTAAAGGAGCATTTATAGCTCAATTTTATTGTATTCAAGTACAGAATGACATATAGAACTAACTATTGTAAATCTGAGAAGAGCCATGCCGGATCAGACCAAAGGTCAATCTAGTCCAGTACTCTGTACACACCGTGGCAAACCAGCTGCCCACAGGATCCTTCAAGCAGGATGGGTGCAAGACCAGTTCCTGCCCAAGTAACTGGTTTATGCAGGCATGCCACATGTGGTAAAGGAGGTAGCACTTAGCCAACAAGGCCACTAGCCACCGATAGCCTCCTCCCTCATGAATCTGCCCTATCTCCTTTTAAATCCATCCACTTCCTGCAGCAGCAAATCCCATAGTTTAACAATATGCTGTGTGAAGAAGTACTTCCTTTTATCTGTCCAAAACCTCTCACCAATTGGCTTCATGGGATGACCCTGGGTTGATCTCATGAAAGGGAGAAAAATGTCTGTTCCATTTATTACAGGTGTAGGCAATCAGAGGCTGCTTCACCTGTACCATTATCATGCGGCCTGCAAAAGATTGTCTGTGAAAGAACAATGGTTGCCCACCCCCATGTATTACTTTTGATTACAGAAGAGCATCATGGCCTTAGAGGACTTGGGCATCTTTTTGCTTTGCATCTTTTATTTTTTCTTAACTTTATGCTTCATTTCTGCATTGCACCTACAGAACCAACCCTAAGCCAGGTTATCCAAAAGTAAGTACCAGTGTGGATCATAGTTTCTACAGCATAAACTTTGCCATCCAGCAAAAAGACGCACCAATGTATGTTGAGGCAGTCACAGTGGCACAGAAGGTTTATGCATCATGTAGATGACTATGGTAGTTTCCTTCCCAAAGACATACAGCATTAAAGGTGCATTCCTATGCAGGCCTAGAAAACTTCCTACAGTTCCCAGCATTTCCAGCCAACATTGCTGAGAGTGCATGAGGCAGTCAGCTTCCCCAGCTGGCAGGTGTTGCGAAGACACTTAGACATTTTTAAATGGGACTGTATCTTAAGAGGCATTTTGGAGGAAAGAGAAATCACTGGGACTCTAATTAACAACATGCAATGATGTATCATTGTGAAATGTATTGTGTTAGAATTAGTAGATTATGCTGGTATCTTTCCATCCGTGTTCATGGTCCTTTAGCATCATAGGTAGCTTTTAAGTTGATAGCAAGCTCATTCAGAGAGAGAGGGTCTAATAAGTATAAGGCTGCAGATGTTTTTCACCATAAAGTAATTAATCACTTTAAATAGTTCATACTGAGATTTTTCAGATATCTGTTTTACCACTTCACATAGTATGCCAGGTTTCTTACTCAGCAACCACTCCTGGCTTCCTGATGAATGAAAATGTGTGGTACACACTTGAAAAAGCAGGTTTGATTCAGTCTAAGTAACTTAGTTGGAGGTTCTGTTTTAAAGTAATGTCTTGTTGTAAATTGTCCTGAGATGGGAGGAGAGTAATGGGACGGTATATAAAACCTTTAAATAAAACAATCAAATAAATAAATATCATGCTATCCTTTTTCAAAACTGTGGTTCCTGTTGTTCAGCAGGAGCTTTAACTAGTTATGGAAAGATATGGAAAGAAATTTGGCAGTACTCAGGGCCTGCCCAAAACATTATGCTGACTGAGATGAAATAAGAGATGGTAGATCCCATGCCACTTACAGAAACTGATCTGACTGACAGGTGAACAAGGCCACTTTCTCCACTGTGTCTGAGGCTGGCTTTGAAGGGTGGCGTGAAGGGGTGGCCACATGGCATGTGCAGCTCTGTCCTCCCGCGCCTCACCGCTGCCCCCTTCTCCCAGCACCTGCCAGCTGGGGAGGCTGCCCGCCTCACAGTAGAGTCAGTGCTGCTGCATGAACCTGAATCTGGGTAATTAGCTGCGCAGTAACGTTGCTTTGTAAGGTTGCAAGCCTACCAACACTCACTCAGCGATGAGTATCTTAACATGAGTACAAAGTGTCTTGCTTTTGAGGTACGCAAAGAATTAAACAGCACAAATTCTTATTTAGACAATACTGAAACAAATCAAGAAAAATCTTTATAGTTGAGGATTTGTCGTTATCTTGAACCTGGAGAATGATAAAGACAAGAGGAGTGCTTCAGTACTTTGAATGAAGACTCTCTTTCCCAAAAGTATTTACCTTTGCTGTTCAGTTTGCTTTTTTTTTTTTGGTCTTGTGTCCTCAGAGAAAGTCCCCTAGAAAATAAATAATTTTTAAAAGAATGGGCAATTCAAGTTTTAGAGACCAAATCCTTGTGTGTCCAGTTGAGCAACGTTTACCTTCCTCTGGTTTATTGACTGATTACTGAAGAAACCCTGAATGATTCATACACAATAGAGATGGAAGGAAGATTTCTTAAGTCAAGATTACTGTGTTTTTTTTTCAAGCTGATAAGAAAGGTGAAATTGGTACTTATTTGTTTTTTTACAAAGAAAAAAAAAAGAATTGGCAGTGAGTCTAAAACTTGGATTTGCTATGTAAATATAGGTTTGATTCAATCTTTGTTAGATTTTTTTCCTGAAAGAAATTTCACTGAGGGATTAGGTATAAATAGATTAAAACAATACTATTAAAATTACACAATATAACATTTTAAAAATCAACTATTAAAATGTCTGGAGAATAACATCATTTTTGCCTGATGCCAAAAGGACTGTAGTGATAGTGGCAAACTCCTCTTGGAAGGCCATTCCATAAATGGAGTGCGAAGGCCCCTCTTCTATTTGCCATCTTCTTCATCTCCTTGGAGAATGGCTTTCTCAGAAAGGCCTCCTCATCCAGTCTTAGATACCTAAGGGAGCAGATGGTTCTTCAGGTATCCTGGATTCAAGCCATTTAGGGCTTTATATATATATTATTAAATAGGGCCTGGAGCTCATCTGGTAATCTGTGCAACTGATACCATATCGGGCTGATATGGGCACATGGCTTGTGCCAGCAGACTTGCTGCCTTATTTTGTAGCAGTTGAAGTTTCTGGACCAACTTCAAGGGCAGCCTCCTGTGGGGGGCATTACAATAGTCATCTCAAGAGATTACCAGAGAAGTGTGACTGTGGCTCGGCTCTGCTTGTCCAGGTAGGGCTGCAGTTAAGTATAGCTAAAAGAAGGTGCTCCTGGTCACTGAGTCTACCTGAAACTCAAGTGATAATTTTGGGTCCAGGAGCACCCAAAAGCTACAAACCCTGTCCTTCAGGGGGTGTGCAACCGCATCCAGGACAGGTTGACAGCTTTGGTCAGGAAGCTTGTAGAGCACCTAAATAAAGTATATAGATTAACTGTGTTTACATGTTATATTACCACAATGATGGTTCCAAGCAGTGCATTATGTTACAATGGCAAAGTTTGGTTGTCTTCATATTGATGGAAAAGAAGAATGATTAGGGTTGCTACTTTTTAATCTGGCAAAATATGGCCTCAATGACTTGGAGAGACTTTTACCACCCAGGGCTTGTGTACTAGTTGTAACCTTTCCTAAAGAGGGATGGTTAGACTGCAGTTACTCCTGCTGGGCTAACTTTGGGTTAGAATGTGGAAACACATTATATGTCGGGAGATTGTTTAAGACTGCCTTTGAACTGCAGCTAGTTCAGAACACAGTAGCTAGCCTGAATGCCTTGGAACTTGGGGACCTGCTCCAACCCGAGAGTGACCAATGCTATATACTTATATCATCTTCAGGAGTTCTCCTGTGGGTTCCTCTGACATTTCAGATGAAGTGAGTGCTACTTTGGCAGTGGCATGTCTTATTGTGGGGGAGAAAGTGCATAGCTGGTGAGGTCTGTTTGGCGTCTATTGACTGACAAGTTGTCAGGCCTGAGTAAACTGTATCCATTATGGAATTCCACAAGTAAATGCTGTTGCGGCAGCTGTCCTTCTTATATAATTTCTCACTGTAAACTGAAACAGTCCCTGAAAAAACAACAACATGGTATATGTTTGTTTGGCACCATTTCTAAGTGAAACGTTCATTAACAATTTTATTTTGAAAATGCTCTTTTCTTTGGTCTATGCTATTTCTGACAAGATAGATAGTGGGCAGAACATTATGCCACACAAAAATTCTATGCAAATTCAGAAGATTTCATCCCTTTACAATAATCAAATGGATTTTATTTGACAGGTATCACTGAACATTTGCCTCTAACTGAAGTTGATTATAAGGGAGGTCAATTAAATAATAACATTACACAAAAAGAAATCAAACTTTTTCTTTCCTGCACAAGTGAATTGTTGCTTACAATTTGTATTGTTATGAACTGATCAAGCTATAGTTTTTGTGTGCCCCAGAGCACTCTTAAGAGTGGCTGTATTCCTTTGAGTTATGCTCATACAAATAACCATTTTTGAAAACATTTTCAACTTTTTATTTAATATTGTTAGTTCGCAGCCCAGCTTTTAGATTACAGCTATGCAGAAATAATACTTTGTTGGTTTACAGATATCTGAGGGACTTTGGTTCATTTATAAAAGTTATTTTTTAAGTTCTGTATGTAACGGAGATTGCAGTGTATACTTTACCTTGAGCAGAAGAGCAGTGAACTCCATTTGTCAAACAAAAAAACTGATGCACTAATGTGCAAGGGCAAGATAATCAGCTCAAATATTTGTTCAATACTTTGCAATTAGGTGAGGACAGAGTCTACAACAAACTCAGTTACTTGCAGATAATTATTGATGCAATGAAATCAAACAGGAAAAGGTTGAAAACAGAAATAACACACATTTGACAGGATGTGATACAAATAAGCTTGAAGAACATCCTGTTGAACAATATTCTTACAAAATAGAAATGTACATTAAAATAATTGCTCAAAAAGTGGTTTGTCAATCATTCAGTCAAGCCAAATTGTTACCATATGCCCTTCTTGAGTTGTTTAGTTAATGTGTGGCAGGGATTTAGGACACTTGTGTCAGCTCTTGTTTGTGCTTTCAGTCATAACTGAGGGCTGAGGTCTCAAAGTTCTTTATTTGTATTCCTAATCTTGGCTGCAGCATTGAATAGGTACTCTGATTAGACATTGCTTAAACTGATTTGTCCCAATGCAGCATGTAAGGTCCTCCCCCAAAGCTGACTGAGATGAACAAGAGGCAGATTTTCATCTGTACATGGATTTGTGTTTAGGTGTTTCTCTACTTCAGTATATGTTCTGGTCCATGAAGTCAACAGGGATTAGAACATGCTGCAGAAGCCACACTATTGGCATGTTATTCATGTGAACAGAACAGGGCCAGCCCAAGATATTTTGCTGCCTGAGGAAAATAACATGATGGCACTTCTTCCCATCCCATGTGCAAAAGCCAAGTGGAATGGTGGATGAATCTTTCCAATAATGGAGTTGTATCTTCCACTGCATCTGAACACAGCAAGCTAACTTCTGGTATAGAGGAGGCCATACAGCACTCAGGTTCCTTCTCTAGAGATGAGGCAAATGCTTCCTTCTAAGATAGGAGTAGCCCTGGAAAAGACTAAGGAAGGGAAAATGGGCAGCAGTGTTGTACACAGTGCTCTTCCTTCCATCCCCACCATGTTCAGAATAACTTCTAGGCAGGCTCCTGAACCATTTATTACCCTAATCAGGATTATAAAGCACATGGGAAATGTCTACAGTTACAAAAGACTACTTACTTCAGAAGTTATATTGAGCACAGTGACATTTGGAGGAGTGGTATAAGTTTGGGTGTGAGGATAAACATGTGATCCTGCTGCTTCTCTCACCATGTATTATACAATTCACACATACGAGTCAGGCTACAGTAAAATTGTCATTTTTTCTCTAATTGTGCTGTTGCTTAGGTACACTGAAATATTCCCGTGGTTTTAAAGTATAAAAGAAAAATATCCACTGATTTTCTTCTTAGCGCAAGTATAGAATAAATCTTTAAAAAAGCAACATCTACTGATTGGCTGTAGTGTCCATTTCTCAGTTAAGCCTTTTGTTTCCCTGGTAACTAGGCAGAGTGGTCGTCCTGGTTACCCTGCTTGATATGGCTGCTGCTGTCTGCTGCCCCTTGCTATAAACTTACACAAAAACTAGCCATCATAGAAAACTGGCAAGTCTGAGGCTGTTGGATGATTCTTGGAGAATATACTAATGCTTAAAATGTTTGTAAGAATAACTGTGGCATCTGGTGAAACAATGTCAGGGGTCTTTAATAGCATGGAGATGCTCTGTTCTGCCCATTCAAATAGATGGTCTATTTTACTGTTTACACTTTCTTCAACAAAGCTTGAAAGTCATTTTGAATATGTATTAATGTTGGAAAATAAATGATAAATCGCTATAGGTGCACTGCAGAGCTCAAGCAGCAGCGTAAGAACAAGCTTCCAAGATCCAGCAGGAGTTGCAGTATTCAGTAGATTCAATGTTTCTGTACCCATTTATTTATTTAAAACATTTGTATACCACCCAATTGTGCCACAGCACTTATGGGTGGCTCACAATCACTTCAATACAAATGTAGCAGAGATCTGGACCTGACACCCTTGAAGTCAAAGGGACATCTTCCAGGGATTTCATTAGAATTCCCCCAAAATTAGCACTTCTTAAATTCTTTATGATTTGTATTAAATTAATGGGCTTTGACAAAGTAGTAATTACAGGCTGTCATCTGCTGACCTTTTGCAATAGTACTAAGGTCTTCCAGAGCCTCTGTACTGGCAAAATGGAAAACAAAATTGTATTGTGAGCCGCCTAGGAAGGCCTCTGCAGTTATAGGCGGCCTATGCATACATGTTTAAATAAATAAAATTCAAAACTACAGTGTGAAATAGTATTGTTAATTGTAATAAATCGAAAAAAGCTACATTTTATCCCAAAGACATTAATACAGTTCACATTTCCTCCCAAGTATCTCAGCGGCAGTGGTGTGCAAAATCACAGCCTCTGCTTATAACAAACTGCTTCCATGATTGACAGCTGCTACACTATGCAATGAACTATAGATAGTAGTGTTCAAATGGGCAATACCTGCGTATTTATAACCGTGGTTATTTTTAGAATTTAGCCAGGATGCTACAACAGTGCAATAGCGCCATCTGCTGGTCAAATTGTAGTCTGGAGGATGTTGAAGTTTAGTGTCTCACGAAAATTTGAGTGGTGGCATTGATTGCTGTTTTGAATGCAAAAGTCCATCAGAAACAATTACCCAATGCTTATAATTGCCTTATTTTAGGTCAACATTTCTTTTCCATATTATTATTACTATCATTTTTACATGGCATTTATATCCTGCCTTTTCTTTCTTGTGAGGAACCACTCTTCAGTCAGACTCAAGAACTATATATGCAGGTAAGAAAATGTTCTTGTGTGTGCTTTGCACAATGGGCTTGAACATTATTATATTTGTTCTCCTTTCCTTCAAGATTCGTAAAATAGATGGGAGTCTATTTTACGAATCTTGAAAGAAAGGAGCATAGATGGGGTCTCAAATACAGCAAGCTCTATCTAAGCGGAACTTTTTTTTTCTTTTTAAGGCTATCGTCGGGAGCTTCGCCAGCTGCTTTTCTGCGTCTTTCACCTAACGAAGTCACAGAAGTTTGGGTCCCGAGGGAAGCGCACGCCTTTCTGGGCACCGGCATGGAAAAAGGGCCTTCCAGTCGCAAAAAGGTGAGGGGAACTACCAGCAGCAAGCGGGGGCGGCTGCCTCGGCCACGACCAGAAAGAGGCCGGGCGAGGACTGCCCGCCGGCGCTTCTTCCTCCTCCGCGCCACTTCCCGTAGAGGAGCCCGCCCAGGCCCGGCCTGTCGAGGAGACACCATGAGCTGCGCCGCGCTGCTGGCCCGCCGGGCAGCCGTTACTGCGCCCCGGCTCCTGGGTGCGGGATGCAGCAGCCGCCGCCGGTGGAGCACTGAGCCGTGCGCCCCTCAGCCGCGCCCTGTGCGGGTCGGCTGCGCCTCAGGCTTCTGGGGCGACACGGCGGCCTCAGGTACTGGCGCGGGGGCCGCCTGCGCGGGGTCCAGCGGGGTGGCGCTCGGCCGCGTCGGGAGGCGCAGAAGGGACTGGCCGGCCGGCCCGAGGCTCGGCGCCGGCAGCTCTTCTTGGTGCCCGCCCCCACGCCGAACCCCCCGCAGGTCGGCGCTTTTGCGGAAAGGCGGGAAATAGTCGCACCGTGTCCCGAGACTTACACATCCCACATCCCCGTACTTGCACGGAAGTGACCGCCGTTGAACCCAGGCGACTTGCTTCTGAGTAACGTCACAGAGTGCGCTCTAAGATCCCCCTATCCTGCCTCCCGCTCGTCTGCTGCCTCTGTTTCTCTAAATGCTGCTACGTACATTTACTATACGTTCTGCTAATTCGACTTTTTTCCCAGCCAGATCCCAAATATGTCTCCTGCCCCGCTTAGTATTTTTTTTCACGGCGCTACTTTATGCTTAGACTGATGCTTTACAAACGACAATGCGTTCAATTTCTGACCTGAGATTCAGCTATGGCTCTGCAAAAGACTTGGGCTTTTCGTTGGAAGAGTTGGACTTTGGCTGGAGAGAAAAGCATTCAAATCCCTCTTCTCCCGTAAAGTTCACTAAGTCACTTCGGGTCAGACCTCTTAGCCTAACCTTGCAAGGGTAAAGGGGGTGATTCCATCTTTGTGCGTCGCTCCGAGCTAACGGACGGGTGGGAGCAGAAGGAAATGAGATACAAATTTGCCAGCTTGTCCATCATAACTGAAACAGGCTTGCTTTGCATAATTCTCAACTGAGAATGGGTAATGTTTTGCTCAAAAAGTGATCATTTTAGGCACCAGCGGTATTCTTAGGCTCAAAGGGAGTGCTTGTGGAAAGGGAACTGCAAAACAGCTCGAAATATGCAAAAAAAGAAAAGAAAAGCAAAAATCTACTATATAAGCAAACTAGGCCTGACTCATTTGAAATTCGCTCTGGTGAAATCGGCCAAAACACGACAGCAGATGGTGCTAATGTATTTGTTTACAGCCCCTACAGTTAACTTGCCATACATGTGCCCAAACTTAGGGGTAGTGCTCTGCTGGTGTTGCAAATAAGCATGCATTGCCTGCTTCACCAGTCCAAACATCAACATTGTCTCCCAGCAGGGTAGTAATAGTTAGAGTGATTAAAATAAGAAAAAAAAAAAGAGTATATGATCTGATTTGTAAATGCATGTTGGGAATTGGGCTACATTTCACTTTTAGCAGCTGGGCTCTTGTGAATGGGTGGATCCAAAATAAAACCCCAAAGTCTTGTTAGCCACCTTTATATCTTGCCTTTCCTCCTCTTTTCCACTTTATTCTCACAACAGCCAGACCTTTGTGGTAGACATTGGCTATATGTAAGTCATTGGCCATCCCAAAGACACCTGGTGAGCTTTGTAACCAAATGTGGACCAAAATCTAGGTCTCCTGTGGTGCAGCCCAACTCTCTTAACTGCTGTATTACACTGGCTGTCATACACCAACATAAAGGTCATTTGAGTACAGTACTAGGATTTGGAAGCTTTTGAATGGTGTGCTCTTAGAATACTTTGCTGGTCATGTTCTTCAGTTTAACTGGCAACTAAGGACCACTTGCAATATTTTGATGCAGAAGTTCAGTCCTTATACATTTGATAATAGGGAAAAGACAGATGCAAACACAGTTAATTTTCTTATTTAATTCTCTTTTGTTGTTTGCCACTGCATTTTCATATTTTGCTCTATGATGATGTATAGAGTGACACTAACAAAAAGAGTTTAACTAAAACCCTAAACATTAGACATAACCTCTGGGACAGTGTGCTACACATGCTTCCTTGGAAGTAAGCTCACTGAGTTTAATGGGATGTATTTCCAGTTGGGAAGTAAAAGATCGCAGCCTTAGGGTACAGCAGGGGTCTCAAACTCGTGGCCTGCGGACCATTTGCCAGGACGGGTGGGGCACAGGGGAGGGGCCCTGTGGCCTTCAAAGCGCTGGCGGCGCCCGGGCCGGCCTCCAGGAGCGATGCGGGATGAGCGGCCCAGCACCACCGCAGTGGTGTAATATTTGATGTGGCCCAGCCTCACCCAGACTCTACTTCCAGCGGCTCCCAGGTAAGTTGAGTTTGAGACCCCTGGGGTACAGTCTACATATATTTGGACAGGGATAAGCCATCATGTGCATTGCTAGATGATAACACAGCTGAGCTTGTGCTACAGATCTGTAGAGTTTCCACTCTGTCACCTGCCTTAATACAAGCCTGCTTCTCCTCCCTAAACTCAGAATCCCTGCAGTTACCAGGGGACTTTAGGAGTCACTCCCTTAGTAGGCTAATACGGAGTGTAGCAGAAGGGCACAAACCTTTTAAACCAGGAGATTGCAATCTTTTTTCCCTAAGTCTGTTCTTAGTTTTCTTTCTCTCCATTTCTACTATGATATGCCTTTGCTAGTAGCTTTCCCCTTCCCTCTTCAAATTAAACCTTAAACAGGGAGCAAAAAAGGATAGGGAGATATTAGTATTATCCCTGGTAAAAGATATTAGTATTTACATAGCATCTGATGTTACTTCCCAGACTGGAACTTTTGACTTCTGCAGAAGTTCAGATGCCTCAGCACAGCAAAGCTTTTAATGAACCTCCACAGAATTTTTTCTTTCCCTCTGCTTTAATTTTTCCTGTTATACCAAATCTTCTGATTATACCAAAACGAGGGTTAGGACTATGTGATGTCATGGTCCAGATTTTACAATTTTAAAAAAGGATGAAAAAAAGTGAAGTTAAAATAATGCAACCTTCCTACAATCTCCACCCCTCCTAAATTCCTCTGAAATGAGCCACTTGGCTTGGAGGATTCTTCTCTTTTTCTCCCTGACCTCCCATTTCCAAATACCCTTTTGCTTTTCCTTTTTGCGCCTCCCATGTCCTGGTCCTGTACAAGATACTCAACTGTGTGAAGGTACAACATATTTTTTATTGACTGATTGGCATTTGCTGGTTGAAAAAGCATTCTTTCCCTTGGCTGTGAAATGCCTGAATAAGCTCTAATTGCCTGCAGAAGCCACATACTTTACCTTTAGTAGTTGAATGGAGCGTACCTGTGTACAGTTCCATTGCCACATGATCTCAGATTAAATCCTATATTTGGAAGGCTTCAGCATTTTTTTTAGAGAACTTACCTAGACAACATCATGAATACCAAGTAGCTATCAAAACAACTCTGGGATAAAATTGTGAAGAAGCACCAATCCAAGTTGGGTTATAAAAAATACTGCAAACTATGAACACCCCCCAGAGCACTGTTAAATCCGGTATTACAAAATGGAAAGAATATAACTCAACTGCTGCACTGCTTAGAGAGGGCAGTCAATCAAAACTCAGTTACTGGGTAAGGTGGGCATTAGAGAATCCTATAGTGACTTTGAAGGAGCTGAAGAATCTGCTGCTGTGATTTAACTGTTCATAGCATCATCATTGACAGCTGATTAGAGCAGTTTCCCAGGAAGAATGGGCAAACATTTCAGAATCTGGATGCACAAAGCTGATAGAGACTTGGCAAGAACACTCACAGCTGTAATTGCTGCCTAGGGTTCTTCTACCAGGTACTTACTTGGGGGTGAGCACTTATGAGAATAACAAATGCTGGTTTGTTTTTGTTTACTTTTGAACCACAATAAAAATATTTTTCACTTTCACACTGTTGAGTTTCTTGTGTACATCAAGTGGTAACAATGCCAATTCTATTTTAATTCCAGGCTGTAACAAAGCGAAATATGGAAAAGGACAAGGATGAATATTTCTGCAAGGAACTGTATATTGATAATAATTCCCTTTAATCTGTGAGTGAGGAATGTGTGATCCTTCAGATGTTGTACAACTGCACTCATAATCCCCAGCTAGCATGGGCAGGAATGATGGGACTTGTGTTTAATTATATAATCCATGCCCAGGATAAGGCCCAGTCTTCAAAGCAATAATGTTATTATTAATACATGTTTGTTTGTTATAAAGGATATATTCCTGAACTTTCTGTTTTATGTTGCAATGCAATTTTTAAATTGTTATTAAATGTAGTTTATTTCTTTGTATTAGTTCCACAGCTACTCTATGGTGGGAAGCTGGATTTCCTGGTTTTTGATTATCTTTCTGAAATTACAATGTCTTTGCTAGCTACTGCCAAAGTCAAATCTCCAGTAAGTAAACACATTTTTTTTGAAAAATTAAAAAGACATAATAAGAATATAGTCTATTGAAATAAAAACTCATCAAAGCTTGAAGGTCTGTATTATATATTTCCAATTTGATTAGGCTATGCTTTTAATTTTTTAACTGCAGGAACAATGAAATCTGTTAGAATTTGCATTATTTGAAATCTCAGTTATCTGGATTTAAGAGGCACGTTCCTTGAGGGTTGGTGCAGGAAGTAGATCCAGTAAGCTTTGGGACTTGTATTTAGAATTAACTGTTTCTCAGCTGGAACATTTTGGAATCTTTCTTATGTAAGTTAAAATGCACATGTTTTTGCCAGAATGGAAAATATACATAAACAAATGAGCCTAGATTCTGACATATTCCAAATTATTCCAGAATTATTCCAAAATGCTTTGGTGGGAAGAAAAATGATAGGCTGGGATCAGTTGGCTGCTCGATCATGGTAATTTTTATTGATCATGAATAATTAGTAAACTACTTATATTGTTAAGTCTAGAAATAGCAGTCCTCTAAGTTTGGAATGTAACATACCAGATGTGCTTGCAGGCAAAGTAATAAATATGGATATCTTAAAAGAGCAAGTTTTTTGCCGATACTCTGGTAGCTTTCCTGCTCAATTTAAAATAGTATTAGGATTAGTACTTGAATGGAGAATGCAGTGATATGAGGATTGAACTGTCAGCTTCAAGATATTGGACTTCATGTGAGGTAATTAATATAGATAAACCCACTGAAATCAGTGTATATGAACACACCAATATTCAATTTTAGCTTGTATTTTAAAAAGAGCATTGTGTCCTTGTAGACTGCAGCTTTATTTTTGAAGGACTATTTCAATTTGTTATTTTCCAGTTAAGCGTGTATGTAACAGAGTATAGTGAGTGAATAACATATTTATCTTGCATCTCATGTGTAAAATAATAAAAATCAAATAAATTTTGTTTTGGAAAAGAAAACACTTTGTTGTTGCCTAAATTGCTTGTTGTTTGTTTGCTTGATGTTATAAAGCAAACATGAATCCTTTTGATAAAAGTGTTTGCAATTTTTATTATTTGTTTTAGGACTTAGGATATACTCCAGATTTTGTATTAACTGCAATGGCTCCTTATATAAAGGACATACACAGGAAAGGTATGCTTCAGGACATTTTATATTTCTGCTTGCTTTGCAATTTTAGATTGTGATGATAATGAACAAAGAAATCACAGCTATTCATGTCTTCTTCTTTACCACCTTAAAAGAAAATATTTTCCTATTTTTAGGATGCATGCTTATTTGGATTTTCCAATAATGAGCCAGAGTGGTTCACAGTAATACAAAATATTCCTGGTTAGGAGATTCTTAGTGAGTGCTAGATCCCAGGCATGAAGTAGGGGTGCTTGGCTTAGCTCTTCCCTTCCAGTACCATATCCTAACTTACTTTCCTGGTTTCTTAAGTTGCATTAAGCCAGAGTTCTCTGATTCAGATGCATGTGGGAACTTTGACTTAATACAGACCTCAGTGTTCATACTGAAGTTGGCATGCGGTGAGAGAAAAGGAGGGGCAGGGGAGACTCTGGCACTTATTCTTGGTTTCATAAATATGGTTTATGAAACCTCTGTCAATAATCTGGTCCGATTCAGAGTCTCTTCCAGTTAACAAAACCCTTCCTGTGTGCTCTCCTTGAGGCAATTTTTGTTCACCACAAATTACTATTTAAGTCTGTTTAATTTCATTTGGAGCTGCATGTTATAGCATTATAGTGATTTGATAGAAAATTAAAAATAGAGCAGTTTGAACAAAATAGTCAAAGGAGAAACTAGTTTCTATGCGCCTAAAATAAGTGTTGCTTATGGTCTTAAATTTTCGTTTTGTGTAGGTATTCGTGTTGTCAGTAATGCAGGTGGAGTGAATCCGCTTGCATGTGCTGCTGCTCTCCAGCAAGTGTCAAAAAAGGCTGGTGTTGACTTGAAGATAGCTGTTGTTACTGGTGATGATTTGATGGGAGAGGTAATTCTGATTTGTGTGTGTGTTTGGTTTAGAATTTGGTAGGTTGGATAATTTGGTCATAGAAAAGGAAGGTATATTTATTTATTTGTTTGTTTGTTTTCTAACCTGCTCCACTAGCTACATGGTTCCCTGCGTGTGTTACAACCATAAAACCACACAAAACAGTAAAAACATCACAAACATTAAAAAGACAATAAAACAACAATAAAAGCACACCTACCAGATTTCATAAAAGACATATCCCCTTCTGTTAAAATAGCATTAAAAACTAGTTTAACAATTAAAATACCAGCAGAATAAAAAAGGTCTTCACCTGGCACTGAAACATATGCAAAGATGGTGCCAGGCGAACACAGATAAAACCAATTAACTGTTAAAATATTGGGAAAATAAAAAGGCATACTGATGTCATCTCAGCCCATACCCTCTGATGACTCCTTCCTACGGTTTCAGGTAGATGTTAAACAGCATGGGAGAGAAAATAGAACCTTGCAGCACTCCATGGCAGAAATGCCATGGCGCAGAGCAACAATCCCCCAGCACCTCCTTTTGTACCCAGTTAGCCAAGTAGGAGCGGATCCACTTCAATGCAGTGCCTCCCACTCCCAACTCAACTAACCTGTCCAGAAGGATATCGTGATGTATGGCATGGGTCCTCAAACTACAGCCCATGGGCTGATCCGGCTCACCATGCCCATTGATCCAGCCCATGCATGGCAAGGTGCCGGCTTGCTCTCAAGGAGATTGTTTTGGACTCGCTCAGAGAAAAGGATCTCCTTGCGAGCAAGCCGGTGCCTTGCCAGGAGAACCTTTTCTCCGAGCAAGGGGGAGATCGGATTGGACTCATTTGGAGAAAAGGAACTCCTTGCAAGCAAGCTGGGGCCTTGCCGGGACATCCTTTTCTCCCAGTGAGTCCAAAATGATCTCCTTGTGAGCAAGCCACACTGGCTTGCTTGCAAGGAGATTGTTTTGGACTCCGAGAAAAGGATCTCTGCGCACACATGTCCCTGCCTCTCTGCCTGCACGTGCACGCCCCCTCCAGCCTAGCCCGTGCCCCCTGCCCACACAGCCTTGGCAGCCCACGCCCATCCTTGGCACTTTTCAACTGTCCCCTTATTCAAAAAATTTGAGGACCCCTGATGTATGATACCAAAAGCAGCTGTGACAACCAGGAAAACCAACAGGATCGCACTCTTCCTCCTTCTGTCCCTCTCATCCTAGAGTGACCCAGGCAATTTCTGTTCCAAATCCAGACCTGAATCCAAATGAAATGGATCAAGATGGTCCATTTCATCCAAGAGAGCCTGGAAATGATCACCCACCACCTGCTTGAGCACTTTGGCCAAGAAGGGGATATTTGCAACTGGTCTATAGTTATAGCCGCTGAAACCTGACCAGTTTCTTGATGAGTCCATCAAACAAATGTCATGAATGAAGTGATTCTTTGACTGGATCAGGATAATATCCAACACTGAAACATATAGGGCATGCTCATCATGACTAACGTAATCAGTTCAGTCAGTCTACTAAGCATAGGACTAACATTGTTTGTCAGAATCATGTCATAGTAGTTTTTTTGTGATCTTGTGTGGTATTCTCTTTGTTACTTTGCCTTTGTAATTGAGTCATTTTGTCTAGAATTATTACAAAATATATATTTTATATCTTGAAAGTTACAGTTGCCATGTCAGTAATTTCATATTAAATGTTAATACACATGTATGTTACAGTTAAACAACATAAAAGACATTATCTTGAAAGGGTATAATGGAGAAATGCTTCCAGAAAATATTCACAGCATGAACGTATATCTGGGGTAAGATTTTTAAGAGATTATTTTGTGAAAAGTAATATAAGGACATGCTTTTCAGAGTATTGACACGGCATACATTTAGTTGCCTGCATTGTGTAGAAACTGAGATGTGTTTTTTGGAATCAGGTTAAATGATCTTGGTTCTTGGTTTGATACAAGGATTCTTAAAGTGCCAAGTAACTTCTCTAATGATACACAAACACTTACTAGTGAACATGCCAAGGTGCTAGAGCCTGTGATGAATTCTCTGCAAGAAAGTCAGGAACAGTAGCTAATGCAATGTTAGGGAAAGGCAATGAATTTGGGTGTACCAGAAAAAAGCTGTAGTAGGTTTTGTACTAAGCAATCTGTGTGTGAAGACTATTCTAGGTATTTCAAAATAGTCACTTTATGATCTTAATCCCAGTGCTTTTTTTGTAAAGAAAAAGGTGCCGGAACTTACGTCCCGCTGGCAGTAAGCACACACCCCAATCCCAAGCAAAGCAGCATCCCAAGCAGCTATCTCTCACTATCAGATAGCAGATAGCAGACACAATAGCAGCCTGCAGGGACTATGTTAATGATGTTTGCTGCTGATCTGCTATGCCTCAAAATCACTTCATGAAATCCATTGAAAAAAAGGTGCCGGAATGCCGGAACGCTGTTCCGGTGCGTTCTGTGACAAAAAAAAAGCCCTGCTCAATCCTAACCCAGTAAAACCTGTTTTAAGGTGAGGTGGTTTCTTATCATTTCAATTTAACAGACAAAGATCTTAACTTGATAGAAGGTGACATGCCTAAGCCTGCCTGTTGCTTATGTGGTTGGACTGTGATTAAAACTTACACACCAGGTTCCTAGTTCATTTTGGAATGCCCTCCCTAAAGGTATTCGTGCCATCCTTGTATTCTTTTTGGCACCAGGTGAAGACTTCACTCTTTAATTCCTCCCATGGATGCTATTCTGACCTGTTGAGTAAATAATTTGATTGGAATTTTAGACTTGTAATAATTTATAGAATAATCAGTTTATAAATGTTTTAAGTTTTATTGTTATTTTTAAATATAGTGAGCTGTGTAGGGATGTTGTTCATTCTTTTAATATTGTGAGCTGCCTAGTGAAACAGGCCAGATATAAATATTTAAATGAATAAATAAATTGTGCTATCTCCTCCCCTTGCCCCAGGAAGAACTATACATTTATTGTTATGCATATAATAAGTGAATCAGACTGTATACTACAAACTCAACTGCACAGCATGCTGGATTGAACTTTGACTCTTTCAGATCAAATATTCAATTATTTTGAACGGTGATCCCATGTTTTTTTTATTATTTTTACTTTCTTTGTTCAGTGCAAGACCAATAAGCAGAGCTCTTGACCTAGGAGCAGATGTTGTGATTACTGGAAGATGTGTTGACAGTAGTCTTGTTTTGGGACCACTAATTCATTCTGTAAGTGTGAATTCGAGCTTAAGGTCTTCTATATATGTATGTAACATATTTCCATTTTTTTATTCTTAGTGTAATTCCTTGAAATGAAATACAAATGTGCTTCTTAAGTTTTACTTATTTTCAAATCTTAAAAAATAATGTTGAGCTTGATAAAAATGTCTGGCGTATGCTACCAAAATAGGTCGCCAAAGCTAGTCACTGCTCATGTATTGGTTTAATTTGTTATAGCAAGTTTTAAATGAAAACTGTATTCAGAAAATTGTGTTGTCTCTGAATTGTTGACAGTGTATTCCTTTTATTTGCTGACTGTATATAAACTAAGCATTACCTTTATTTATGTGGAAAGGAAATTAAATAATGGGCATTTCTCCATATTTTCATGCACACTTTTATATTAGTTGTTGGCTTTTGGCAAACTATACCTAACAATTTTGTCCTAATATTACATATATACATACATTTGCTGTGGTATATTAAAGTAACACTGTGAAATCTTTGTATAAATTGCTACACAGTGTAATCAAGAGAACAGCAGTAGTTCATTTACATTAGCAATATTTTCCAAGTTTTCCCACTTTTGGCAATGAGAAAGTTATTAGGACTACCTGAAGACTTATGGATTCAATCTTCATCTTTCTTCCAGAAATATATAGAACACTTAGGGTAGTATATAATGTAAGTCCTAAGCACAATAGATACATTACAATTAATGAGACTTCAGGTAGTCACAACAAACTTAAATCCTATTCATTTCAGGGGGTCTACATAGGACTAACATTGTTTGCCACCCTTAGGTTGGGTAGTTTGGTATATTTGTTATTGTGGATGAAGCGCAAGGCAAATATATTCATTTTATCAGTGCAACCTAGTTCTTTTTAAAGGTGAATTGGTTATTCATGTTAATGGCTATGTTTCCATTCTGTATTTTTAAACATTTGCTGCTTTCTCTGGATAAATATATCATTTAACCATTCTGGGATGGTTCATATAATTGTTCGAACACACTGTGAGCTGTTTCTCAGTTGTAGATGTATTCTTAATCATGGCAACAATCTACTCTGTACCAGCTTGACAGCTCACAATATCTCACAAGAGGCACCTGCCTACAGTGGCTTGAATATTCACAATGGCCACCAGCATGAGCCACACTCCTCCATGGCTTAAATCAACCTGAGCTCTGGCAATCATGCAAATTTAACATTGACTCCATTTACAATATGCAAAAAGTTTAGTTGGCCACAAGGTGGCACAAAAGGACAATGTCCTTCAAAGCTATGTTTTTTTTTAATCTGTTGACAGTGTTTTATCACATTAAAAATGCAGTGCAAGTAATTCTGTCATTGAGTAAACAAAGCATCTTTACAATGTCTCATTTGTAATATGAAAGGTGCTGGCAAGTAATGCCCCTTGCCTTGAAAACCATCTTTTGAGTACTTTCAGTTTAATAACTTAATAGGATGTAGTTAGGGGATCTTTGTGGAATACAAACTGGATATTAATGAGATCAGACCTCACTGTGTCTTGTTTCCAAGATACTTGAAAGACCCCTCTTTATAAGTTATATCCAGCCCTCATGTGAGCAGAAGTCCGGTTGTCTAATGGGACTTTTGCCATTTTGCTTTTGCTCTGGAGGTTCCAGGGAGGAATGGGAAGTCTGTTTCTTCAGGAGTCCCCTTCTTCTGGCAGACCAACACCACTGGATACTATCCTGTATCTGTAAAATGTCACATGCATGTGAACCTCATCTGTTTTTGTCTATCATAAGCTGCAACTGTATGCTGGTTTATCATATTATACATTTATTTTAATGGGGGATTTTAGCATTTGTATATGCTAACAACTTAAAACGTTACTATGTTAAGTGGCATTTGAGTTATCTGTTTATTTGATGTCATGGCTAAGTTTAGTTCACAGCAGACACAGTATGCATGCACAAAGTATTGTAAACTTAATAGAGCCTTTTCTCTGACCCTTTCATCCACCCTTTTCCTGAATCTCATAAGCAGTTTGTAGCAAGAAGAAGGCTGGATGGGAGTATGAGTTGGGCATAGACATTTTCCCTCATGACCCTATTGTGCTATTTGCAGGTGTACGTGCATAAGGTGGGATAGGGATAGACTGGACTCAGTTGAGCCTTTTGAAATATGCTTCAAGCACTGTATTCTTGAGGAACTGGATTGTACTATCTAATATTTTAATAGTACATCCTTTAATGATGCTTCACTTAAAACGTGAAATGTTATATTTTTATAGTTTGGCTGGAATAGAAATGACTTTAACCTCTTAGCATCTGGAAGGTAAGGGATATGACTGTTTATATTTTAACTTAACATTTATTAATAAACCATATAAATGTAATGAACTATCATAAACTATATTTAAGATATTGCAACTAGAAACATTAGTTTGGAAAGTGCTTATTTAATGCTTGTTTACACAATAAATATAATGAGCTTAGAAGATAAACTTAAATACTAATTTTGGCATAATATGTTTTGGGGAATTGTTCATCCTGATCCAATGAGATTGATATGTCTGAACAAAGCTCTCCTGCTCGGTTGGAAATAATGTACATGGTACATGAAGTGTGTTATGTGCATAGCTTTCGGCACTGTATCTGCTGCAAGTGTGGATTTTTGACACTGGTGTGGGAATGCTGTATACAGCATTGAATAGATTGGCCTGAAGAAAATTGACTTAGTAAGTTCACAACTGGAGCTGCGGTTAATGGCTTCCAAACAAGTTGTGGGGGTTGGAAACCAACTCTAAACAATGGGCCTGTTCACCTGTAACAATAAGCCAGTGTGGGTTGATTTCCCTATGGGCATTTGTAGAGTCTGTCAGCTGCCATTTTGAATATACAAGTGGCAATGGAAGCATTCTGGTAGCTTATCATGTCATACAAACCTGATGTTGTGGATTATTTGACTAGTAGTCAATCCTCAAATAACCCATGACTACTTCATGACTAAATTAAGCTACTCTGGGCTGTTGTGTCACGTAAACATGGGTATTGGTTTGGATGGAATGGGAATTGCTTATGCAAATACAGGAACAAAGTGGAAGCAAAGGGGCTATATTTGCATGCATGAAGTTTCTGCATATCTTGACTTATTGAACGAGGATGTTGTCATCGGAATGTAGCTATTGTCACATTTGTTAAATTCAGCAATGCCATTATCACTTTCCTGTTTCACCTATGCATGTGGGTTAGACTCAGTTCAGTATTCCTTTTCAACTTCCCTGTTGAGGAAGGAAGGTGTCATTAGGCTTTGAGGACCCCCTCCAATCACAAAGGCAAGTGATTCAACCAAACCTAATATAAGAACACAAGAACTTTCCTGAATCAGACCAGTGGTCTATCTAGTCCAGCATACTGTTCACACAGTGGCGAATCAGCTCCCTCCAGGGTCCCACTAGTAGAATCTGAGTGCAACAGCACCCTTGTGGCAAGACTTCCCAGAAACTGCTGTACATACGTACACTTCTTCTGACATTGGAGAGTAAATATAGTTATCAGGACTGATAGACATTGATAGCCTTCACCTCCATGAACTTGTCTTCTTTGAAAGCCATCTAAGTTGATGACCATCAATGCACCACAACAACCCCCTAACAGTTCCAGTTGTCTCTGCAGATTGGTGTGAACACTGCTACCAGCTAGATTCAGTCAAGTTGCTTCTAGGACTTAGGGGAAATGGTTTTTCTAACCAAGGAGTTTGAAGTAAATGGTCTAAATTATAAATTAGGTGATATACCATGGTCATTGATATACTATAGTCAATTTAAGCAGTAAGTGAGATTAGATAATAATGTTTCAGCTGTCCATCAAATGGATGGAAAAGGCCAAATAAGCACTCTGTACAACATATGTTAAAGAAGATAGAAACTGTCAGTGTATCCATTAAGTTTTGGAATCTTATTTAGAAAAGAATATATTTTTCCATCTTACAGATTAAGACTGTAGAATAAAAGGGCTACTGTTGGATGCCTATAAAAATGTATTTTATAATCAGTTCAGCAATATTTGTGCTTTTGCTTCTTCTGTAAGAAAATAAAATGGAAACATTAGGGTGTTTTGTATTAAACTAAAATGCTACTAAAATGTATATTGCAACTTGGATGTTACTTTTGGTTTTCAGTCTTGCAGGTCATCTGATTGAATGTGGTGCTCAATGTACAGGTGGAATATTCACTGACTGGCATATCGTTCCGGACTGGTATGTTAATTCAGTTTAGATTGCTGTTTAAAGTCATGTATTGGGAAAATTAGTTTCCAGAAGTTACAGTTTAGAGATTATTGCGTTTCTTTTTTGCTTTCTTTTGGTTAGTCTTTTTCTCCCTCTAACTTTATCACAGTCTGTCTTATTTCTACCCCTAACTTATTGGGACTTCATAAAGGTTGCTGGAGCAAAGTGGGCTGTACCTTAAATCACTAGATTCTCCTGGCAACTGAGGCCTAATGTGCAGATGTGAACTATTGGCTTGCTTAGGTGTCAGCATACAGTGCTCTCCTTCTTTGTGGAGAAGGGAGGTATGAGGAGATACTGCTTCTGCAGCGATAAGGGTGTTTCATCCTAGTATCTGTGAAAGACTTTGTGACAGCAGCAGATCAGCTACTTGTTCCTTCTGCCAGGGTATCTTGTGGTAATCACAGTGGTAATTGCTGAGCCTTCTGCCATTTGGCTTAGTGGAGTGAGCCTGTAGAAATATTTTCCCTGACTGTGAGGTTTCTGATTTATAGGCTCTCCCATGGCCTTATGTTGGTGGCAATCACTGAACTGTCTGACATTTGGTTCAATGGTGTTATCTGGACTTACTTCTGGAAGTGAATGAAAGGTAGACAGTTTTGTGTTCCAACACACACTGGTTATATTCACACATAATGACAAGCCATGACAGGAATGTCTTGGTCATTACATGTGAATTCGGTAAGCATGGTGAACTGTGGCATGTTTGGTTACCTTGAGTCCCCATGGAAAATCAATGGTCTGTCCTAAAGTTTCCACATTTCATCATTGCTTGTTGTTATGGGTGATTTCAGTTCCAATGTTTTCTGTAGTTTCCTTGGTTCTGCCAATGAGTTTTGTGGCAAGAATGGCTGCAGCAGCTGCTCCAGCCCCCCCCCCCCCCACTATCCTGTTCTGCCTCACAACTGCTGAGGCAGTTGCAGCCACACTCTGATTGGCTGCCTTATGCTGTTTTTTCCCTCTGTCCACATGCTCCCTTCTCAGTGCCCAGATGCAGCTCTGGAATGATAGCAGCAGCAGTGAATTTCACAGCTCCATCTCTAGCAGCAGGGACCTTGCAGTCATGTTTGGCACTCCTGTCTGGTCACTCCATTTTGCTGGAGTGGCTCTCTGAAATGGCTGTATGGGGGTTCTGCTCAGGGAACCAGTGCTGTCCTCCTATGAAGGCAGCTTTGCACAGGAGAACCATGCTCACTGTGTGCTGGTATAGCCATCAGGGCAATCACCCAAGTCTCCCATTCTCTCCCCCACCCTCCCTGCCACTCCTTTCTTGTTCCTGGCATCCCTTAAGGACTCTCAATAAGCCCTAGTGTTCCAGCCTCACCCCACAGCTGCACAACAAACACATTTCTTCTCTGGCCAGCCAGAAAACCTTCCTAGGCAGATTGCCACATATACCTCCATGGGAAACTATTCTTGCAAGTCATGCTCCCTCCATCCCTGGTATGGATGCCCATGCAGTGCCCTCCACATGCCTAGGTGTAGGGAGAGGCAACCCATGGCTGTGTGTGCAAATCCTGCACACGGTCTGTGTGAAGTGGACACATGTGCATCACGGGAACAGGGAGAGGGTGGTGTGTAGGAGGGTGTGCTTGCATGTCGGCATAGAGCAGCATCAGGAAGCATTCTTGAGTTGCACCTTTAGAGCAACAGTGCCATTCTACAGTAGGTAGGTGCTTCCCAAAGCAGCAGGGAAAAAACCTACAAAGGCAGCTGACAGGGAACAAGCCTGGGAAGCGTGTGGGCCAATAGTGGAGAGACAGGCAGAAGTGGTTCATGTTGGGATTGAGTCCCAGCTGCAGAGACTGATGGAATACATGTCACCATTTGGAGGGAAGATCATGGTGTGTGGGAACTACTCATGAGTAGTTACTTCATGAATGTGTGAAAGGTAAAATGGCATTGCTTAGTGTTATGTGTGAGCAGCTCCACTGTATGATCATGGTCTTGGATGGGTGTCAATGGCATAGTAATAGCTCACATGTGAATTTAGTAATTCATGAATTATGAAGGCTAGGTCATCTTTTCTTAGGAATGGACACCGCTGATATACCAGCCCAAGTGATAAAAGGTAGTCTTGGGCACAAATGTAACTAATCATAGAAATGTAGAGCTAGGTCCATGACCACCTCTAAGTCTCAAATCTGCACTTTCAGGAACAGCATGGTCCCATAAAGAACAAGAAAATCAACTTTTTTCTTGAAAAAAATCCCAATATTAGCATTTGAAGTGAATTCTACTGGTATCATTTGACTTGAGTAAGCTTATTTAATTCTGATTTAGCTCATTTAGTGTAATTAGTAACTATGTATCTTCATCTCACAGGATTAATATAAAATGAAGTCTTTCTTTCTTATATGTTATGTTATATGGTATATTTCATTTCTATACCACCCATCAGCCCAGAGGCTTGCTGGGCAGTTCACAAAATAAAAAATACCATAATCAATATATAGCAGTCATTATAGGATCATAATATTACAATTAGTAATAAATTAGTATAAATACAATAAAACAATAACCTATCCACCATGAAAGCAGCTAAATCAATCTAGAGATAGAGTAGTAAAATACAGAAAAAATGGAAATAAAAATCTTAACTATTAAAATATTGGAACAATAAAAAGATTTTCACTTGGCGACAGAAGGAACAAAGAGTGGCCACCAGGGTTAAAAGGGTTAAAAACATAATGCATAGATTAAGAATTTAGGTTTGTTTGAGGAAATATTGGATGTAGGGATGGGTCACAAACACATTCAGGAGAGGAAAATTTCAATTTCTGATCTCTGTGTAATTAAATTTAGAGAATTTTGAAGGCATTGCCAAGAATATGCAGATTAAGTAATCATCTTCAGTGTAATCATCTTGTTCTTCACTTGACTTTGCCAGCTGAATATGTTTTTCAATCAGCTTTTGTTAAAAGGTTGGATGAGCAACTATAACCATTTCTTTAATTATATGTATATTGTAAATTATTTCACAGTGTTATTATATGGATTGCTTTTAGAATTTGGTATTTCTCTTTGTTTTTTCCTGTCAAATTACATTATGAGGCCAAGTAGTTTTAGCTTAATTTCAACCATTTTAGTTGTACCACAGATCCTTTGTTTCACAGTAACCTAGTTAGCTCTAACATGCCCTAGATTGCTATTCTTTAGCTATGGACCTAGAATACAGGGTCTTTGTAGTGCAAAATACATTGGGTCTGTGGACTTTGTGTCGGGCAAGATTTATGCATTTGTACAAGAAACTAGAACCATTGAATGTTTCTAAAAAAGTATATATGCAGTGTCAATGACCAACAGCAGGATGCCCAAGGAAATTGAGAGTTTGTTCAGTTATGTCCTCTCCAGGGAAACGTGTGTGTGTGTGTGTGTGTGTATGGAACCTTCAAAGCTGAGGAATTCTGCTAAGTCCTGAATGATTGCAATAGTGGATATTCTGTTGGATCACACTGAAAATTAATACCTTGTGAACATTGGTTCCTGAAGTATGACACATTTGTCACTGTGTGTTAATTTGCAGCAGTGGGACATAGGATACAGCCATTATTTATCTCTTCCCTACTTCCTACTTCACCTTTTAATGCAGAGACATCATTCTGAAAGAATAATCCTCTCAGTTTTAATGCCTGCCTATTCACAAAGCAGTTCCAGGCAATATACCTCAAGATCTCCTTTCCAAGTCTTCTCTTTCCCTGTGTTTTGGACAAGGAAAGAGTTACTGCATCTTTAATTTTATGGTAGTCCAGCCCCATACTGTTTTGTGTTAGAAGAACAAAGAAATACCTTTTCTAATTCAGTTCTCTTGTACCTTCTAAGCAAAATAGGGGATGGTACTACAACATTTCTTCAATATGAAGCAAGGAGAATTGTAAAAACATTTTAATGCACCGACTAAAGACAATAACATCTACTTTTGACTATGGGAAGTATGTAAAGTAGTTTAACTGTTCACCATACTATCATCTTTCTTTCTGCTTTTTGTAGCATACATTCTTTCTGGTTTTTAGTCACCTCCCCATCTTTAATCTTTTCTCCTTATAATTTTTCTTATTTGAAGTAGTTCAAGTGCTTATTTGGTGGCTTTTAATATCATTGCATTTGTTTTCTCTTTTAAGTTTTTGGGCACAATTTTTAAAAGCATTAATAAATGTTTTAATGGTTGCTCATGTATTTATTATCTTCCTGTAAGCATTATAATGCATTCTCTGTTAAATTTTGTATACCTATGTACATGTTAAAGTGTAGACTCAGGCAATCTGAGTTCTATTCCCCACTCAGCCATGAAATCAACAGGGTGATGTTGGACCAATCACAGACTCTCAGCCCAACCTACCTCACAGGGTTGTTGCTTTGGGTGTAGGATTGAGTGCAGGAGGAGGAGAATGATGTAAGTTGCTTTGAGTTCTTTGTAAGAAAAAGGCGGGATATAAATCAAACAAATATAAATGTACATTCTATGTAAATCATTAAAGTATTCAATATTTTCAACCCTTTAGGCATAACATCGGTTTTCCCATAGTAGAATGTTCTTCTGATGGAAGTTTTATTGTATCCAAACCACCTAACACAGGGGGCCTGCTGTCATTTGGCACAGTGGCAGAGCAGTTGGTATATGAAATTGGGAATCCTATGGAATATCTTTTACCAGATGTGACATGTGATTTCTCTCAAGCTTCCCTTACTGAAATTCCAGGTTAGTGTTTGATGGTGGCTTATTTTTTATTATAAGGAAACTGATGCAGTATTTTCTTCACAACTCTATTGTTGCATGATCTGTCAAATACATTTTGAGGGTGTGTATAGATATACATAAAAATAGGATCAGCTTTTCTCAGGAAAGGATACTGAGTTTGATAGTCTTCTCCAAGTTCTGGGAGAGTACATTCTTCATGCTTCTTGTGAATAGTTTATCATTGGGCAAATGATATGCTTAAATTATCATCAAACCTTCAGTTATATAATGATGCATTAATTTCAATGAAATGTGTTACTGTGTTTTAGATCTTTACTGCTGGAGTTTACCTTTAAGTCTGTTTTAAACTTAAAGCGAAGTAAATGTTACGGTGAAGACAAGCAAACTGAACTTATACCATATGCAACTGATCTTCCTGTCACTTGTTCCTGTGCGTGTGTGCGTCTGTGCATGCATGCACAAAGTTTTTTTATTCCTCTCTTCAGCAGGGAAAGGTTCCAAGGCAGATTATATACAGTCCATAAAAACAAGACAACACACTTATATCTAAATGGCATGACGCCAAAGGGAAAGGAGCTGTGCTGGGAAGGAGGTAAAAAGCAAAGTTAGGCACTGATTCTTAAAGTTAACTGACTGGCTAGAATGGAAACAGTTCAGAAAGAGAAGGAACTAGATTATAGTTGGCTTCTCAGCAGAGCCAATATAGTGGTTGTGTTTACCATTTCTCCTTCAGCTGCAGCCTGATGGAAGGCTATTGCCCAGTGACAGTTGAGGCAGGATCCCAATAGAAATGGTCTTTCAGCAAAGCTAATTGATTGGTCCTATTTCTCAGATCTTTCTGTGCTGCAGCCATATGTATGCATGTGTGGGCACACTCTTTTAAGATTTCATTTCCTATCCCCAGTATCTCTTCACTCATTCTGGAGAGAAGAGGGGTCTTTGGACAATATCCCGTGCAGTTGCTCAGCTTATGCCACTGACATAGGTTCCATGCTAGCAACCTCTAGTGCAATGCCAATAGCATTTGCTGGGACGACAGGTTTTCTGTACTAATCCGACAATAATAAATGCTTTTCTATGTTGCTTAGAAGTCTTCAAAGTACTTAAAGCTATTATAATTCTTGAAATATCCCTAAAAATTAAGTTAATATTATTGAACTATTATGAAGTTTTAACAAGTCACTGGGTTGCTAAATGTTTGGTGACTTGTTTTGCTTGTCTATTTTAATCCTCTTTTCTAACAAAAACAGAAATATTTGAGGTGGGTGAGAACTGAAGGGTCTTGTGACATGAATGTAATTTACTAGAATTTAAGAGGAAACACTTTAGTGGAATAAAATTATGTGTTTGGGAATATGAGATACATGTCATTTAAATACATACTTAACAATGCCAAGGATTGCTTTGCTTCAAATTGTTTGATAAAGCAGTAGCTGCTTTTTTGAGACTGTTTTTAAAATAATAATTTAAAATACTTTAACCTTCAAATGAACTTTTAGCTAGTAAATGGCCCAATATGACACATTTGAACTCCAAATGAACTTTCACATGAACTTTAAGTTATTCTACTAGAAATATAACAGATGGGAAATAGGCAGATTTCTCAAATATCTTTAGATAGAAGTGTTGTGACACGTACACCAGAAAAAGGACTGCAGGCCTATCTACTTTAATTGTTTACTTTACTAAATATTTTGTATGGAAGGGTTAGATAAACCAGTTGGTTGAACTTAGGGATGCTCTTTATGATTTTAGTGGTGAATATGAAGGTTTTCAACCTTCTACTATTTTTTTGTGATTTTCAGGATATATTTCTTACATGGAAAATATCTTTAAGCTCTTAGTGATACAGTACAGTTAGTAAGTTCTCTTTATGTTCAAACTCCAGGAAGTTGCGTTTTTTAGTTTTGTCCTATACTGAAAAATTTAAAGTAGATACTAGCATTAAAGTGATAAATATGGAGAAATAATATATATAATAAATAAAATTATGTAACATGCTTCTTAAACAGAACTTTCATTTTTTTTCCTTTAGCTTTAACAGGCCATTATGATATACTGTAAGTCAAGTATGGGCCTCCAGCTGCTGTCTTTATCGTTTAAGAATCCTTTTAGGCCCACATGGGACATGAGGGCATTTTGAGAAATCAAGATAGTAGTCAAGAGCCAGTACTGGAATTATCTCTGATTGCCAGATTAAAAAATATATATGAAAAGTAGAGAATCATAGGGGGATTTCATGGGTACCAAGGGACGCACCCAGGCGCTACTTTGGAATCACCTGGACTATTGGTAGCCATTCTTCCTGGCCTCATGATTTTCAGAGATATTTTCATTGTCAGTCATTGGGGAATACAACATATGTTCAAAGAGGAGTCATTATGAAGAGCTTGCCTCAGGACTGATTATCCTGGCTCTCTACATCTGTTTGTTGAATTCTCTGGCCGTCTCTGCTATGATTATATATATTGTAGGCAAAAATGTTCATGCTAATTTGGATTCAGAATAAGATATGGTAATATAAAAATACAATCTTGCCTTGTTCAGTTGGAATAGCTACGCTACAAAAGGGGAATTAGGAATATGAATTGGACCTGTGCAGAATGAAACAGGCCATCCGAAAGGAAAATAGCCTAGTGCTACATAATACTAAGCAATCCCATATTACAATTTCCTATGTTCCGTTATGAAATGTATTGTTGATGTGTCAATTCTGCCTGAGGATTTGTGATATTTTGTAGTTATTTCTATAGTGTCATGGTATAAAACAACAAGATGCACATTCAGTGATATGGTGGAATAAATCCAGAGCAATTTGACTTTGGAGCTAGTTTGGCTTGAAATTATTCTTCACCTGCAGTGCATTGGCTAGAATTCTAGTTATGGAACCAGAACGGTTCTTTTCCGTTTCCCCCCAAAGACTGATCCCAGGGTTGGGGGATTTTGGAACTGATATGTGATATGGTGACAAGGCCTGCAGATGGAGGGAGGAGTTGATGGAAATTATCCTCATTTTTACATGAACCAAACTCATAAATCAGAACCAGGGGCATCAGCATCTTTAGACCTCCTCTTTCCATTTTGCATTTGTTGTTTTGGTGTATCCCACCTCTTTTCTTGCTTTTAGGTACTGAAGTTGGAGCTAAGTACTGATCTTTTAAACATCCTTTTCAGGCATTGAAGGTGGAGCAGTGAAAGTTCAGGGAGCAAAAGGATCACCTCCTTCATCCTTTTATAAGGTTTTTGCTTATTATTTTAATAATGATAGGGTATAAGTTTGATGAAAAGGCAATATTGGTATGGTGTAAAACTTGGGTTTTTCCAAGTCAAGTGAAAAATATGCAAATTAACTTTGTGTAAGTCATTGAACTTAAGTGGTAAGCCTTTCAGGAAATGCTTTCTATAAGTCTATTCTGCACAATGGTAATTTACTTCCGTGGTTCATATTCAGTTTAAAAGATATCACACAAATATTGTCAATTTGTCTGTGATAGTCTGAAAATGAAACTGTGTGTTGGGTTTCTGTAACAATAAAGAAAAATGATTAAAGACAGATTAGTAATGTTGGTTTCTGGTATTTGCATATTATTGAGATAAATTCTGATATCCAATTAAAATTACAAGTACCATAGGACTATATAAGCAGAAGCTTATATTAAAAGTTTTGGATTCTACAGATACAAAGTTATGTAGTAGTTGTCTGCATTCATTAACTTAAGCTTTAAAATGTGCATTCAGACTGATGCACAGGTTTATCTTGATGCAAGAATAGATGTTAATCCAAAAGTCAGTTTTAAGACTACTTTGAAAGATTTGTTTTTGGTATACAGAGCAAGACTTTCTAATGAGAGCCCATTGTTCACCCAAATCTGAATAAGGAAAATAAACTAAAATCTACAAGCACGCAAATATTTCAGTCATCCATTTTTTAATTTAAACATTACTAATGCTTAAAAACAATTGAACTTTCCCCCTTAAAGTCAAGGAAGACATTTGTGTAAAATATAGACGACACAGAATATACAACAACTTTAGTTTGAGATGGAGTTGTGGTGTATCTTGAGTTTTCAGAAAAACAAATGACATACAAAGAGAATTGTTTTTTGTAGAAGCCAAGATATGCGACTATCAGAAGCTAAGATAATTATTTGAATGTTATGGAGAGGTGAATTTACAGAGTAGCTTAATCAGTTCTGCATTAAGTTCCATATACAGGGATACGCATTGCATAAATCCTTCTTACCATAGATAACAGGCTTAGTTTTAGCCATTCTAATGTGGTATTCTACAGTATCCCAGTGCTTGAATGAGTAAGAGTAGGGCAAACCAGATGTCAGAGTAGGGCAAACCAGAATGTAACTAGGGCAACACTCAGTGTGTGCCTAGTTTTGAAGAAAAAATCCCCCTTTTCTATTGTGGTGCAGCTGAAGTTTGATGACAAATTGCCCCTTTTGCTTGTGGTGTACTGTAAACCAGTGCTTGTTCAACATAATTGGATAGTATCCATAGTTATCTTTATTATGGGCTTGTCTTACCAGTAGAGCAGACCATAGCTCTTTGAATGTCTGTTCCTTTAGAAATGCAATAGCAGTAACGCACATACTTACTCTTACGTGTAATGCTTTCAGCCAGCAAACTCTTTTACTATTAATCTTGCTCATTCTCACAGCACTTTCCACTTGTACATACAAAGGAGCTGAGGCTTAGAGTTGAGGATCTGGCGATTCACATAACCATAAAACCATCACTAAACTAAGAGCTGAAGTTAGCTTTTCTAGTAGTTTAATGCTCTTTGTACTATATCAAAATGGCTTTTTTCAGTATAAAAATTAATATTAATAAATCAAAAATATTAATTTATATTCTACCCATATTCATGCATATTAAGTTATATTCATTTGACATAGATGATGGTTGGGAAACTTGTTATCCTCCAGTTGGTTTTGAACTGCATTGAACCTAACAAACACAATTGTAAGGAATGATGAGTCCAGCAACACTGGGACTATCACAAGTTGCTTAACTCTGGTATAGATATCTCATTAGTGCCTCCCAGTTTTTGGTGTCATTGTGAACTCTTATTCATTAGAGCTCAGTAAAACATCTCAAACCATGTTTTAGTGTGGCAAGAATGAGATTAACCTATCTGTGGATCATAGGCTATGCCTACCTCTCTCTTCCTCTGACATGGCAACAAGGATGAATTTAGAAAATTTTGCTAGCAAAAGTTAGCAAAAGTTAAGATTAGTCATAGTTCAGTAGCCATGCCAGAGGAGGGGTTTATCGTAACATCTGAACACAGCCATTTTCTTTTTTATATTTAGTTCGCAAGTAAGGCCAAATCTTAATTTCTGCCCTTGTTTAGATACTATCGTATAATGAAATAAACCTAAAGAGTTGCCTACAAATACTTGCAAATGATTATTCAAACAATGCAGATTATTTTGATCACAGCTCTTCATTATGGATATAATTCAGTTTTCTAAGTTAATGGGGATTTTTAATCTGCTTTGAATGTACTTAACTCATTAAAGCCTTGGAATAATATATATCTTTGTTCATATGTAATAGTTCTTCCATTTTAAAGTAAAATATTGAAAAGAACAGTTGTCATAAATGCAGAGTTGGTTATTTTGATTTATTTCTGATCATTGTTTAAATTGTTTTCCCAGGTAAATGCCACTTACTTTGATGGATTCAGAGCTACAGCTTGCTGCCCAGTGGGAGGACCAAAAGCAATAGAAAAAGGAAAGCGAACTGCTGATAGTATTTTGGAAAGGTTGGTATTTAGTAAAATCAACACACAGTGTTAATTAATACAATAGCCATATTGTTGTTGTTGTTAGTTGCGAAGTTGTGTCCGACCCATTGCGAGCCCATGGACAACATTCCTCCAGGCAATAGCCATATTAGTCAGTCAGTTTCCTAAAATCTATTTTAAATGAAAGACAGTATATGATACATGGACAGTGCAGTCCATTGTGGCTGATTTTAACCCTCTGAACTTGGAGGATTACAGACATCCTATGGAGGGTAGAAGGAAGGTGGAAACAAAAGTTGCTTTCATGCTTTCCTCACCTTGTGAAAAATATAGATGGCCAATTTTGTCTCAGATCATGAGGAGGGAAGGTTGGTCACCACCAGGTTGCTACATATGTTGACAGAGCCTGTCTTCTTCCTGCCCTACATCAGGAACACCCACAAAAGCTCACCCTGGTAGCCTTAGGGTCTCAGCTGGTGTAATTCTTTTCACATGATCTGTGAGGGGAGAGCTAGGGTTCTTTGACTTCAGAGACCCAGTTCTGTCCTTGGAGCACAGTTTTGGGTTGGAGCTGGGATGTTGGTCTCCTAGACAGTGTCTAGGAGCTGTATGATTGTGCCCTATTTTTAACACCACCAAGTATGAAAACTCTTTTCCTTTCATATGCATGCAGTTTTCTTTCACAAGATGTAAATGCTGTTAAATGAAAAAATGTGACTTCAGAAAATGATTAACTGCATTCAAATATTGATATAGTGGAACCCAGGTGTCCCTTTGTCAACATTTGATCTTGAGAGAAGTTGGATTGGGAAATGATAATGTGATCCCACACTGATCCATGCACTTTATTTTTTTAATCACATTTAAGAGTATGGCTGCAGCAGTAAAGGGTGGAATAGAAAGGAAATAGGAAATATGAGTGAAGAATCCTAAACCTTCCCAGACACTTTTTCCCAACTGTGCTTACATCTGGTATCAGATGAAAGTGTCAGGGGGACAAGACACAAGTGAAGGAGAGAGTTGTTCATGCCATGTATATATGCATCCCTTTTCCTTTAAATTATACCCTTGTACAAGCCTCCATACCCAAAAGTGGAAGATCCGTTTAAAGGCTGTGGTCTGATGTTGTCCCATCTAGTGTAGAATCCAAAATCGAAGACTACTTGCAGTTATTGTAAATGCTTCTTTGGAAACATTTTACTAATTAAATTTTACTTGCTTTAGAACTCGTATTATGTTTGATCAGCTAGGATATGAAGATTACAGTGCAACTAATATACAGATTTTAGGTTCTGAAGAAACATATGGACCACATGCCAAACTGAACACCAAAGGGGTATGTATGACATGAAGGGAGTCACAGACATTTTATTGATGAGAACATGCGCTTGCATGTACTCTTCATTTCTATTATCTGTCCTCTATTCAACCTGAAGGGAAGGGAGAATAAAACCACCGTACTTATTTGAAGAAGAGTCCTTATTTCATTTGTGTTCTCCAGGCTGGCTTTCCTGGACATTCTCTGCAGTAAGATCAAGGTTCTTTTTCTAGATTAGGCAGGTCATTGATGCCACTTGCTCATGAGGTTAAGGAGGTATTTTGATGCCTGTTTTCTAGAGCAGGACTTTAGAGGATAAGGAGGATGTATTCTTCATTCATTCAGTTATTTGCTTCATTACTCTTTTATTTCTAATAATATGGCTATTGTTTATTTTTCCTGTTTTTATATATTATATTTTTAGGGAAATATTTAATCTTGTTTGTAAACTGCCTTGTGTTGTACAAGGTGTAATATAAATGTTTCAAATAAAATATCCATCTGGTTAGGTTCAATAATGGGTTTTACCAAAAAAAACAAAAAACAAAAAAAGGAAGAAAGAATGAGTTAGCATTCTTTTTTACTTTTTTTACTTTTTTTCTCTTGGTTAACACACTCCTCTTTATTTCACCCACTATGAGAGTTAGGTTCATCTAATTTAGTATAATAATAATAATAAGACTAAAATATAAATATTAGCTGTGATTCAAATGGGAGCTAAATGCAAAGTAATTACAATCTCATAGAACCGTTATGAAATAATAAGATAGTTATGATACTCTATACAAAACATAGTCATAGATAAGTCCTATAGATATCAGTTGCACCTACATTTAAATAAGTATACATTTGAATGCAACCATAACATGTCAATTCTTCTGTGTTTGGCCAATCTATTTTTGGCATCTACATAGATACATTTATTTAATACTATATAATGTTTAAAGTTCTTTATGAAATCATATTTTTGTTTTTTTCAAAAATACAACCCTGGTTTTACAAGGAAATACATTTCTTGAGGTTGTGCATGCTGTTTCAAAATATAAGGTTCTCATGATCAAATTTCTTCTGTACAGAATGTAAATTACCAAACACTAAACTATGCCATTTGAAAATTAACATAATGACCCCGTTACTGAGAAAAGCCAGGCATTAATGTTTACACTGGGGAAAAGTTATAAACTTTAGACTATTTTTAACAGAAAAAACTCACAAGTTAAAATGTGTGTGTTAGTCTTTTTTTTATTGCTCGGCATACTAAAGTTCAAGGGCCTTATATGAAATATACATTATCTGCCCCAAACGAGTACAATTGCATACTTAACTTCACATGATTTGCATTTTAAATTCTGTTTTTCTGTCTTAGAAGATGTGTATCCAGTGCTATTCCTACTTAGAATGGATCTGTTGAAATGTGTTAAGCTTGAGTAACATTGGATAGATAGAATCCCCTGTTTTTCAAAGCATTAGGAGAGCTGTGTATTAAATAAATTAAATTTTTGCATATATTTGTTGTATCTCACTTCCTCTCCTTCTGATATCTGAAATTAGGGTCCCCGTGAAGCTGTTATTTGGCTTTCTGTACTTCATAAGCAGAAAAAGGCAGTGGAAATCTTTTCACGAGAGATTGCTCCAGCTGGAACAGGAATGGGTAAATTTTTCTTCCCTTCCATCTCTCAGTCTCTGAAATCTACTTTTTAAAAATTTATTTATTTATTTATTTAAAACTTATCTACCCTGTCCACCACAGATATCTTGGGACGACTTACCATAAGGAACAAATAAAATAAATTGTACTTTATAAATTAGCTCTGTTATTAAACTGTGTTAAAATGGTGTTCCCATTGGCTAAAACTGAGCATTTGTGGTTTGTAGTTAATGTAAATGCCTTCATTTAGAATTTACACATGATCATCTATGTTACCTATATGAAATATGACCCTTATCACAGGTACTTGCACATGGTTTAACTCATACAAATACCTGAGGTGATTATTTATGTTTTGCTAACTTTGAAGCAAAACAATCATTCAAAACCCAGTGAAATCAAAAGGAAGCTGCTCTTAAGATGACTCTTCTAATGTGAATTCCTGCACGCATATGCGTCCCTATTACATTGGGAGTGAATATCCATGCTACTTCCTCTGAATTGGGGATCCTGACTTTCAGAGGCTCCAGTTGTTAGGAGCTCTCTTGAGCAAGTGGGCCCCTCTCCTCTGTACTGTTGCTACTTCCAACATGTTTGCCCTCCCTTCTGAACCCAGTATTATACAACTGTCCAGAAGGAGAACAAAACTAGTGGGCGATGCTGTGCCATCTGCTCACTCTTGTCATCGCTTCCATGCTTGGAGAGGATAGATGGAAAGGCAATAACAGAAAGAGAAGGAGGATCCTCAAGTGGGAATTGTAACAGGCTTTCTTCAGCATTGAGGCCCCTGGTAGCTGCCCAGCAATACTAACTCCTAATGCTAGCCCTGTGTCACTCAATTCCTACATTTAAAATACATGTTAAATAAATTTCTGAGCACAAAACATTATGGTTGAACATCAGCCAGGGCTAGTTAAGAGTCCTGCCTGAAACCTTGGAGAGCTGCCACCAGTTGGCGTCACTTGAAGAGACTATCTTTATTTAGTTACAACCCCCCTCCCCCATTATGATCTTTCCCCGCACAGTAATCATGCAGAAGAATCCTTGTAGATGGACAAAATGTGGTCCTCTGGAAGTTTTGACATGCTGCTTCCATTAGCTCCTGTCTGTGTGGCAACAGTGCGGGATGATGCTAGTTGTAGGCCAAAACATTTGGAAAGCCAGAGATTTCCTATTCCTGCTGTAGATCCTTTGCTTGGTTATGTCCCAAGTGAGAGAGATGAGTATTGGGGATATAGTAGGGAGGCAGCCACCTCTCATACCTTGCAGTAGCTGCACATATGCTTGCTGTGCATGTTGAGTGAAGCAGGAAGGCTCAGGTGCCATTTGGTGATTCCTCCACATAGGGATGCTGCAACCTAATGCAGGGAATGGTCATGCACTTTGTTTTTAAGTAATTTTTCCAAAGATTTTTTCCCATATATCATGTGCTGCAATTAAATTCTAGGAACAGTAGCATTTGGGTCTTTATTTTAAAAGTATGATTGTAAAGTTTATTAAAACATGTTGGGTTCAACATTGATCAGATTTCTTTACAAATGGCAAAATACTGCAGTAGAAGCTCAGGCATGTCAGTGTACATTCTCACTGGTCTGAGTATTATATTTGCTTAGCTCAGTTGCTGTTGAGCGCAATCTATTATGTTTCTTTCTCCAACCCAGTATTGTATAAAATCATGTTCCTTCTCCCACATTGCCAGCATCTGTGTGTTACTGTGCCATCTCATGCTTTCCTAGTGCCAACAGACTTTGGCCTTTCTTGAGTTTATTACTCCTAACATTCTGGCAGGATTTCTGCCCATTTGTTTGCTGCCTAGAAGTTAGAGTTGGTAATAGAGCTTTCACTTCTCATGCTGACCATCTAGTTATAGCCATCATAGTACAGCAAGTTCTGCTGTGTGAATAAAGGCTAAATTGTTACTGAGCATTGTAATGTACTAAGGAAATATTTATGGATCAAATTACAAGGAAAGGGTACCTGTAATATTGATCAAGGCAACTGGATTTCCCTAGTGTAGCATCTTGGTTTCACTAAATTGCTGAAGACACTCGAATGAGCACATTTGGTTTAAAGCATTCTTCGGTTAAGCCCTAGTACAAAAGAAAGCCCTAATCAAAATGGTAAGTTGCATTATACATTTACCTTGATTAAATAGGGCAATACATTGCTTCAATAGAAGGTACTGTTTTAAAGGTATACATTCAATAATGTCTATACTTAGAATTCAAGTTATATAAACTTGTATTAAAATTATTTTATTGCATGTACATTAGTCCTTAGAAAAATATGCAAATGTTCTGTCAGTGTAAGTGAATTGTTATCTTGCCAGATAAAGCAGTTCAATTGAACTTCTGTGGTTATGTAGATTGTAATAATCAGTAGAAAAAAGTCTAAGCATATTTAGAACATGAATATAGCACAACTTTTAAGTCTTCATTTACTGAATTTACTTTGCAGTAATTATAGTGCTCAGAGTAATAGGAGTACATTAGCCATGCATGCATGTGAATAACTGTTCAGTTATTGCTTCTGCAATAGCCTAGGGACAAAATAAATACACTGTTGATTTAAACCTCTGTTTACAGAATCAGGGTCAGCGTATGGTCACAGTTTATAATTGACAATAAATTTATGTTCTACTGAACTGAGCAAAGTAAAGATGTACTTATAAATTTATGTTCTACTGAACTGAGCAAAGTAAAGATATACTTATCTATATGATTTTAAATATTTCTAACATAAGTCAGTTATAACCATCTTGCTTTTGTTACTGATGGAGTTTGGTTTCAGAAGCAATTTTTTACCTTCATATTATATTTTCTTGTGCAGCAAAAATATTATTGAAAGACCATTTCTGTTGTAGGTGTAAATAAAAATAGTATTAAGCATTGTTGAAAGAAGTATATTTTAGATATGGTAAATTCTGTTATGAGTGATTGTTGATACAGCCTACTGCATTTAAGCTGTGAAAGACATCATAAAAGTTAAGTGTGTCTGGACTTATAGCTCTAACTAGTTGTCACTTCAATACTAACAATTTCTCTTTGGAAGTAAGTCACACACGGATAAGCAAGCATAAGAGTAGTTATGATTTTTCATGGCTTTTACCAAAAGTTGAACAAGTAAGTAGGTTACACATACTTTTGCCTTCATCTGTCTGTTCTAATTGTAGCCATGGGGCAATAACCAATGTTGCTACTATGCTAATGAAAATGAGATGGAGCATTTATGGGAAGGGCACGGCCCCCTTTTCTTTCGGTTTTCTACTCCCTGCCAGCATTCAAGCAGTGGTGGTCCTGAAGTGGCAATCTTGAGATCCAGTTTAGTGTAGGGTTAGTGTAGAGTGTGGAACTCAGGAAATGTGGGTTCTAGTTCCCACTCAGCCATGGAGCCAACTGGGTGACTTTGAGCCAGTCACTCTCTAAATAAATCTTGACACATTTGTAGATGATTTTTTTCCATTACCTCTTCAGCCACACATATCAGGAAAAGTCTGTGCAGTAGCCTTTTGGAACATTTTAATGCTAGATCATAGATTGCTTTTTTCGCCTGAAAGCAAGGTCCAGCAGATTCCTTTCATCTTTATCCATTGCAGCAGTATCAATCTAAAAAACATTCTTTTGGTACATGCAAGATAGTAGTTTGACTAAGACCAACTAGTAAGTTATGGATGAGGCAAGGGACAATGCTATGCCATCTATCTGGGTTAAACCTCTGTGATAAAGCCTATCTGAACATGACTTTAGTTTGCAAAAAGTGGGGGGGGCAGGGGGAAGAATTAAGGTGATTAAATTGTCATGCATCAGATTTTTAGAAACTTAAAATTAGTATTAAGCAAGAATAGTGTTTCGGAATAGGTATTTGTTGAATTTGTTCATATCCAACACCAAACCACAGTTTGGCATTTTATGAGTAAAACATGGACTTGGATATTCACTCCTTTCCTCTCTTCCTTCTTGACAGTACATTAACCTGAGATTTGGACATGTGACTTGGCACTACATATGAAACAGCCTACTGTAAACAGTGGCATATAAGTATCATTCAGTGCCTTGATCTGAGTAGAAAGAAGAGTAGAAAGCCCATTTTATGGGCTTTAGTTTATCAGCTTTCATGAGCTGGAAATACTTTGTGTTTTCTTGCAGAGTGCCCATCATAGTAAATTTTTTTAAAAAGTTTAATCGCTTTCTTTTGTTTTAATACAAAACTGCTTGAATGACACTTCTGGACACAACACAGAAGATAAATCTAAATTAATTTAATTTCTGGTTTAATCTTATGCAAGTTTAGATGTTTAAAAAGTTCTATAACTCGCAACTTTCCCAAGCCAACCTCTTTTTTCTGTTTAAACATACATAGAATTGTGCCCTTATTTAAACTTGTAAATTAAGGCTCTTTTCAGGAGCCTTAATTAACACAATATTGTGATAAGCTGCTGCTTGGTCACTTCAAAGTAACTTCACTGTATCTATGGAATAGATATTTGATTATCCTAAGTACATTTTTTACTCCTTTCCCCCCCCCCCCCCCCCCCCGTAATTGCTATGTTAAGAATGGCCATGTAGCAGTGTATTAAAATGACTTAGAATATTTTCCCCTTCCCTGACCCCATGATTAATGGAAAAGACATTCTCTGATATTTCTTATTTTCATATTCAAATAGCTGCAACAAAACCACTGGGCATATTTTGAACGGTATTGGGAACATTAATGTTTTATGGTCTTCATAAATGCACAGTTTGGTAGTTACAATTTTCCCCCTAAACTGTTAAACCAATGTGTTGACCCTTATTTCACATCTAATTGACCGGAGGTTGACACTACAATGACAGCTGGTTAATGCAGCTTGAGATTTCAAAGTGCCTGAGTATATGTAAATATTATGACTGATGACAAGTGGGTTGGAAGTTACTTCAAGGAATGTCCTAGGTTTAACAGATTAACTTGGCCAGTCCCCATTTATATTTGAATACTTAATCCTAAAAGATATCTTATCTCTTTGAGCTGAGAGGAAATGCATAGGATAATTATCCTCTGTAAGCAAAGTCATTTGTATGTAGTTTGCAATATTATAATTATTTTAGAACTCCTGGTTTTAGAATTTTGAAAAGTTCATAATGTGCTGTGCCTGAAGCCTAAGCAAAGAATAATCCTGTGGGTCAGAACCACAAATTCTTGATGACTACTTGTCTTCTGGTTTCTGTGCCCTTAGTCTCATGGCCTCAGTCCTAATTACCAACCTCTGCCTTCTTATCTAACTCCCACCGTTCACACTTCCAAACCCAGAAACATCATTCCCCATTCATTAACCAGCTTTGCACCACCACCTCTTTTACCCATGTGCATTTCTGGTGCCTAAGGATATGCCATACTCATTGAGAAGAAAAAGTGGTAGCTGCTGGCAGGCAGGAGTATTCCCTTGCCCACTTGCTCATAAGCTGCCCATCTTCTGACCTCAAGGCATCAGTTCTTGCTATTTTCGCTCACCAGAAAGGGAAATGTGTTGATCATGCTGACAAAATGCAAGGACTGGATAGTTTTAAGTTTCTATCTGCACTTAAAACTATTTATTGGTACTACAGTGGTTCATATTTTAAAAGAATAGATTGTTTGACTTTCTCCCTATTTCATACCTGCTTTTTCTGATTTTCCCAGGAAAAAACTGTGTCCTTTCATTATAAGTATCACTTTTAAGAACCTATGATTCTTAATGAGCTATTTATGGATGTTAGGGTAGAAAGCAAACAAGAGATATTTAAAAACCAGTACGTGTATCCCTGTATCTAACCTTTGCAAGTTTTGCACTCACATTGCATGTTATGTGTGGAAAAGTTCTATGTTAGTTCATAGTATCATGCCCATACAAAAAGGCCTTTGCAGACTTCATCAGTATTTTGTAATGGTGGTGTAATAGTGTGACCCTCAAGTTAATCGAATTTCTCAAAATCGTATTATTTCCTTGGTTTCACAAAACTTCTGCTTCAGCTTTCTATTAGAAAGATAGCCATACAGTTTCCTTAGGTTTTCCAGTATTACTGATAATGAATATTGTTTTCCTCTTACTATTTCTGCCCCAGAAATCATACTTCTTCCTCATAAAACAAAGGGAACTTACTATGAATTAAAATGATTTTACATGTTTTATGTTTGAAAAAATGACAGTATTTTATTTAATTTTGGTTTATTGAAGAAACTTGAGGTGGATTTGGAGTATACTGAAATCTGAACATAGAAAAATATTCAACTCAAATATTCTGGGGGCTTTTATTCTTTCTCTTTATTTTTAGCACCTGGTCTCACTGGAATTCTTGGAGGCCGCCCCAAAGTGTAAGTTTTAATTGAAGGGAACTCTTACAACTATTGCTCTTCTTTTTATTTTAAGAGGATTTTGTACATCACTTACAGGGCATTTCTCACCCCACCTTCTGGCAGGGTATGTGCAGTCAGCATGGAGAGCAAGTGCCTTCTTGTCTGTGACTGAGTCTTTTACTCAATCTTTTTATGGGCTTGCAGGGTTCTGTTCTGTTCTGTCTGACTGCAGCAAGTGAAGCAACTGTATTAGGGAAGTAGGCTGCAGCAAACTCAGGAACAATATCTCTTCCTCTTGTAATATCCTTCCCCACTTCTTCATATCTCCATGCCAGTTCCTTTCTGTAGTTATTGTGTCAGTTGCAGCATGCTAGAAGTGATGTAAGAATTATGTCTGCCTGCTCCACATCATATGTTTTAAAAGGGTACAAAATCAATGAAGATAGTGGCAAGAAAAGAGAAAGGCTTACAAAATGGAAGAATTAAAAAAATGTTCTTGACTTTTTGAGGTAATGGAATGGGAGGAAAAGAGAAAACTGGAAAAGTTCATTGTATCCAAAAATTGCAAGAAAACTCTGAATCCCCCAATCAACTCAAACAAATGTGTTAGGAAGTATTTCTGAACAAACACTGTGATCTTGTGGGAAAATCTTGGAAAGATCACTGCACACAATCCTTTGCATGTCTGCTTATGCAGCATAATGTCCAACTGAGTTCAGTGGGACTTACTCTAAGGTAAGCACATGTGCAAAGTTACAGCCTTATTGTGTCAGAAGCTTTCCATTTGTTGCAAGTGTTCTCAGCTAGAATGGGAGGACTCATGTGCTATAGTTGCTTAAGGGAAGGAATTAGAAAGGAAGAGTGCTTCCAAATGAAGGGTCTCTGTTATTATTAATCAAAAAGCATTTTACTACTCTTCCATCTTTTCTTCCTCAATTGAGATTTTTTTTCTCTTGGAAAGAAAAACATGTAAGAAGCAATTGGAAAATACAGAAGCGTTACAAATCAATGTTGTCAGTTGCACAGTAAAAGCAAATGTAAAAGCACCCACACACTGCAAGCATTTCTGGAGTGTGAAGAAATGCCAAAACCAGGTTCATTCTCATACACAAAATGCAAGGAGTAGTGGTTGCATCTCTGCAAGAATTAACTTCTACTATGCCACCTATATGTCTGTACATGGACATGTATATATCTGTGTGTAACTTACCTCTGCCTCTCCCCCACCGTTCACGTTCATTTCCTTCGATTGTACCGTCCAAATTGACTAGACTGGCAAGGCTGAAATCTTCTGGAATATACCCTAACCTCCCCATTGTTCCAGTACTCTGAACAATTATCCACATCCTATCATTGGATACCCTCTAGTAGTAAATTGCTGAGCCACAGAGATTGCCATCCAACTTAGATCTTGAGGGAAGCCTTTCAGTTACCTGATGGTTAATTTCACTGTGGAGTTATGGTGCATATGAGAATAAGGGAGAATTATGCAAAATCTTAAGTATGTATAGTTAGAAGGTAAGTTCCACTGAGTCACTGGAACTTACTTCCTAAATAAATGTGCATAAAATTCAGCTCCCAGATGCTGCTGAAGATACTTTATCATATTTAATACCTACAGTATATGAAGTGACAAGATTAGTGCCTTCCTTCACTTCTCAGTAATTGAAATTAAATTCTGTATGGTAAGGCCATGATCAGCACCACTGAATGAGCCAACCTCCATATGGGTAGATAAATGTACGTGATTTTAGAGGCTCATATATATGGGATGCAGGTGGCGCAGTGGTTTAAACTGCTGTGCTGCTGGGCTGGTTGATCGAAAGGTTGCCGGTTCGAATCTGCACAACGGGGTGAGTTCCATTGCTCCATCCCAGCTCCTGCCAACCTTGCAGTTTGAAAGCATGCAAATGCAAGTAGATAAAAAGGTACCACTTCGGTGGGAAGGTAACAGCGTTCCGTGCACCTCGGTGTTTAGTCATGCCAGCCACTTGACCACGGGAGACTGGGGACAAAAGCTGGCTCCCTCAGCCAGGAAACGGAGATGAGCACTGCTCCCTAGAATCAGACATGACTGCACTTTAATGTCAAGGGGAAACCTTTACATACATGCATACATCCATACATACATACGTACATTACATTACATTATCAGGGTGACCAAATGCTGATGGTTACTTTGGCATATTGGGAATGAAGCCTCAGTTATAAATTATGGAATGTTGGTGAAGGGAAAAATGGGCTAAGAATGTTGTATTATGGAAAGACCACAAGATAGTAATGGTAGCTGTAAGAACATTAAGTCCAGAGTCAAAATTTACCCAGTTGAACTACTGGGTGGAAGACCTGTAAGACTTCAGTGGGATCTCAGAAATGCAAAAGAAGAATGCTGGTTGGCAGTACATTAGTGAGAGATAGTTCTGCTCTTTTTTGTGGACATTACTGGGAAAATAGGACTTACTAAATCGCTAGACAGTTCAATCATTCAAAACCTGGGAAACGTGCAAAACTGGAGTGAGTGCCAAAGCTATTGCTTTTCTGAGGATACTATTTATCCTAGGGCTGTCCTTGCCCTATAGCTTCTGGGGGAGGTGGGGTGAGGTATGGATTTAAAGTTGGAATTATTGCTGGTCTTGCTCAACTTAATAGGAAGTACTGTATTATCCAGTTGTAATAAAGTGCTCAGAAGCAAGTTGCTCAGAAATGCTTTATATTTTAAATTCCTTCTACTGTCAGTATTTAAACTGATGCCCTAAGCATCTAAATACCACCTTTGTGGTATATATAGGAACTTTTAAAATACTTTCTGAAAGGCATTTTTATTACTTATCTTTAATGTGCTTTTATTTTTCTGTGGTTTCCTTTCTAGATCTCCAGTTCTAAAACCATTTTTCTTCCTTTATCCAAAAGAGAATGTCAAGGTAGGAGCTGTTATCTAAACAATTGTAGCACCTGAACTTTTTCCCACTTCCTAGCTCTTGCAGCGAAACGATAATTTGGAATCACTTCTCAACAGTTACTAAAAGTTCCAGTGCAAAACTCAAGTGGTTGGTCTGGAAAGTCTGTTGTACTTTCCTATGTTTCATGAGAAATACAGTGGTACCTTAGCTCACAAATTTAATCCATTCCACGACTCCGGTCACTATCCAAATTGGTCGCGAGCCAAGTCAAATTCCCCCATAAGGTTCAATGTAAATAAGGTTAATCCATTCTGTATTTTTTTAATTGCAAAAATTTGAAACAAAGTAACAAAGAACAGCTAAGTAACAAAGTACAATAGAAAACACTAACCTAGGTGGGGGGGAGGTTATTGTTTGGAGGGAGAGTCCAAACCATAATTGTGCGATGGCAATGGGGGGGGGGGGGGGGAGATGGCTGCGATCGCGGGTGCGCGCGTGCAGGGAAGATGGGCATGATTGTAGGTGTGCTGGGGGGGAGACAGGTGCGATCGCGGCCATCTCCCCCCCCCGAGCATGATCGTGGCCATCTCCCCCCCCCCCCCAAGCACGATCGTGCAGGGAAGATGGGCGCGATTGCAATTGTCACCCAATGCGGAGTTTGCAACCTGAGTCAAAATTTTTCTGAAATTTCTGTTCGCAACCCAATTTGGTCATGAACTGAGGTCTTCGTGAGCCAAGGTACCACTGTACCTTGCTTCATATTGGTATTTGTGCGAGTACAAGGAGCTGGCTGCTCAGAGCAGGGGCTACTCTGAGGGCCTAAGAATGGGAAGCAAGAGGCCAGTGGTGGGTGCACTGCTGTCTGATTCCTCTCTTTCTTGAAATAGCCCTTTCCATGGTGCTTCAAGGGCTTCTTCAGAGAACCAGAAGAACATCCATGTTCTTAATTTAAAAAATCGTAGCAGTTACAGGATTCAGAGCCTATTTTGATTTAAGTAAGACTTAAATCAGATATCTAAATCAGGCAAGATGCTACAAAAGAGCATGTGGAGGATAGCTTGAAAACACATGTTTATTAAAAAGCAAAACAAAAACAAAAAATAGGGGAATGCTCAGTTAGAAATGCAAGCATTAGAGAAGCAAGGAGGACCTGAAGACGCACTCAATGCATGAATTCCCCCACCTTGATCCTCCTCACATGGGTTTCCTCTGCTTAATGTTTGAGACAACTTTCAGCAGTTCTAAAAATGTGTGTTCTTTGAATTACTCTTTCAAGAGTGTAAGAGTTTCAAGAGTACCTGTTGCATAAGTTTTCACACATGCCGCAGCACCAGACTTGAATATTTGGTACAAAGATTCTATTGTTCAGTTTACCGTAAAGCCTTGTTCTGTTCTAGTTTTGAGTAAGGATCAGCAGTGCTTTACTTTAGCTTTTATGTAATTTTACTAAGTTCAAAACAGGGTTTGTACAGTTTCATAGCTTCACAAGTTAGAAATTTTTTACGTTTGAAATAAGTTATAAATGGATGCCTTCTCTATTGGGTTGGGAAGCTGATAACATTCCCAGCAGGTAATTTCCACAAACCAAGTATTTAAAAGTCTGTTAAAACTAAGGGTAGTACATATTGTCTTGACTTTTTCTAGTCCATACCTTATTACTGGGTTTATATGAGAAGTGGTTGCTTGTATCTCAGTCTTCTAGGTAGACTTTTACTACTGATGTTTCACATCTGTACTGGCACCTAAGTAGTCCTAAGATATCACAGGGTGGTGGTGCTGTTTCTAAAAGCAAAAAGGGGAACTCCACCATGACATGATTAACTTTATGCAAACATGTGTCAACATAGACTTGTAATGGAAGCTAGAGATTATATAAGAGACCTGAGCACAACCAGGTGTACTGTTTTGCATAAGACACAAAGGCAGCTGTATTAGCCATAAGAAACATTACAAGATCCACATGGTATAATACTGTTATTACACTACCTCAAAGATCACAGAAATTGTTCCAAGGTTTCAAGAACTTGAGAACTCTTCATCAGCATCTTCATCAGGCAAGATGCTACAAAAGAGCAAGGGGTGACTCTGGGGATACAGAGTGGAAAAAAATGGGATATTGTAGTCAGGATGTCTGCATTGTCTTCAAATGATAATGGGTTTACAGATGTCCAGATAAGGTTGTGCCAGATAAGAACATAATATCTATGTTCAGACAAGGTGATGTGATGGTTTCTGATTTCAACATGGCATTTTTGTATGTATTGCATTAGGTTATGATTCACCTGTTTAATAATTTAAATCAGGGAGCCGGCTAGAGCCAGGGGTCAGACTAGATGGCCTGGGAGACCCCTTCTGACTTGCTCTGTTTCTATGTTTTTCAGATTGACATATTTATGAATGGACAACATGTTGAAACATTTGAGGATGATCTTTCATTCACTTCAGATGCAACTGTTTCTTATGAAGAACCCCAGAATCAAGAAGATTTGAAAGGTACTTTTTTAACCACTTAAATTTCCCTGTAGTATAATTTTTATATGTGTGGAATATACTTTTCGTATTTGTTCTATGTAGACTGCTGGTAAATGATGGCATAAATTACATCAGAAAACCCTTGATGTTGTGGATGGCATTATTAGGCCTAAGTAGGTATGGGGACAAAATAATCCTTTACTGTGATATATACCGTGTGATATATTTTATGTGATTTGGTTAAAAAGTATTTTCATTCAGAATCAATATGTTAATTAGCTTGCTGTTGGAATGTTGTTTGCATTACCATCCGTCAACATATATGAATAACAACAACTAAGAAGATCATTCTTGGCTGTACTTTTAGCACTTCAGTTCCCTCTGACAGCACAGTTTACATTACCCACAAACACCAAGTATGTGTATATAAGTCTGCCAATATGAAGTTAACACTTTATGTGTATGTAGAAGTGACCAGTGTGTATAAAAGCTTACTCCAGAATAACTTTGCTAGTTTTTAAAATGCCACAAGAAACTTCAGTATTTTTTTCAGCAGTACTCCTAATGTGATGCAATACAGGCTGGCAACCAGGTTGTTGGATTTTGTGGTTGTTATTTATCAAGTAGGGAATTCAAAAACTGCACATTAGCAACAACCAAATCTCCTCTAATCTGTCACTGAAAAAAATTAAAAGTTGTTGATAATTAAAATTTTACATGGGATGAGGCCTGAGGCATAATCTGTTGAATTATCTAACTCTTTACCCACATGCTGAAGATTGCTGGAATTGCTGTTTTTAATAGGATAAGAAATCATTTAGAGGCATACTAGATTGCATGCTAGACATTTTGCATAATACAATTCATTCTACAGTTACAAATTAGTTAATTGCTAACAACAGATTAGGTAAGATATATAATCAACTTCTTATTTTGTGACTGGGCTATAGAAGTATCAGAGATGATTGCATCCAAGGTTTGGCTTGGGTATTTCTCACTTCTTTCCTGTAAATGATGAAAAATAGAGTGCCAGACTAAGACTGGGGAAATCAAGGTCCAAATCTCAACTGATTTAGTTTGGTGGGCACATTTGGTTGCTCACACTGGATACTAGTGCGGAAATGTTTGTCCATTCATAAAATAGCTACCATGTTGACTATAACTGGTCATAAAACATTAACTTCCCTGAAGGCAAACCACGTAAGATTTTTTTAAAGTGTCTTAAAAATCTATGGTATAGTCGGGTTCTCAGTTCTAAAATGTGAAATCACCCCTTTGATGCTACTCTTTCAATGAACAACTGAATCAACATTAAATAATCTTAAGAAATAAAATAAAGAGAGGCAGGGAGGCTGGTAGGTACCAAAGCCTCACAACATTGTGAGGCTAAATGAATTGGTGAAAACCTTATAGGCCACCTTGAATTGAATAAGGTAATAATAATAATAATAATAATAATAATAATAATAATAATAATAAGGCATTTGTTAGAATCACTGGTAAATACCAGAATCGCTTTTCCTAATATTAAGAGATGCTGTTAAATGCCAAGATTTGCCATGTTTAATCCATTGACCATAAGAAGAATATTATGAAATGCCAAGCACTAATGTTTTGTTAGTGTTCGATTTATATCCTGCCTTTTTCCTACAAAGGGCTCAAGGCAGCTTACATCATCTCTCCTCCCCCATCTTATCCCCACAACAACAACCCCGTGAGGTAGGTTGGACTGAGAGTCTGTGACTGGCCCAGAGTCACCCAGTTGGCTCCATGGCTGAGCGGGGACTTGTACCCAGATCCTCTGAGCCCCAGTCCCATGCTCTTAACCACTACACCACACTGGCTCTCGTTTTTTCTTTTTTTGGCATACATGGTAGAAGGCTTTTTTCTCCCTCACATTTCGCATCTGTCTGAAGGACTTTATCAGCAGTGCATATGTAACATGACTGGATAGGCATTGCTTATACATTCCTGCAGATAGACGGGAAATGGGAGGAACACATTTATTTACTACATCTATATTTCTTCTTGCCTCACCGCAGCATATGTGGTTGTCCTTTTTTCCTTTTAAAACAGGTTGATGAGGTAGATTAGAAGGAGTGATAGGGAGTGGGATTGCATCACATTGTGGGTAACTTTCAGCTTGTCATGCACAGCAAACTGCTAGCTTTTCTCAAGCAAATTACCCTGACAATTCATGGTTGTTTTTAGGGGTTGTTCAACAAACAATGGGTTGTTGTGTCACTCAAACCTGGGGGAATGACTATATCCTGGGTTGCAGAAAGCAGCAAGTAAGCAACTTGACAGGAGTGGCAAATGCCCAGATTGCTGCCAATGATAGTTGGTCCACCAAGTGGCACTTTGGACTGACCATCATTGGCTTCTTCTCCTGCATGCAATCACAACCACTTCTGTAGTTGCCACAGCATTTTTTTTCAGGGAATGCTTTTTATGATCTGGGAAATGATAGCCCCTCCAAAAGCCAGAATGACACATTGGTTCACCACCTTTCTTTTGTTTTTTGTTTATTTTTGTTTTTGCACCAGAAATATGTGCAAGTGTTTTCTGTAATTTAAAAAAAATATTTTTGGGTTGATAGTTAAGAGTCATCCAAATGTTTATCTCTGTCTACCTGACAGAAGCCTTGTCTGGTTGATAGAGGGGTGTTAAGAGTAAAACTCACCTGGGTGCAGGTCTACTGAGCTTGGCCTTAGATCTTTAGAGCTGTGCTAACATCATCTGTACTTCCAGTATCAAGTGTAGTGTGCCTTTGAATACCATTGCCTGAGGAACATGAGTAGGAGGTTCCTATTGTGTTTATACCTTGCATTGTGATTTCTTTCCTTATCTGGTTGGTCACTGTAGGAATAGAATACTGCACTACTAAGGTCATCAAATTAGAGATCATGAATATTTTAGATCTCTATAGTTGCTGTTTTAAAGCCTCCTTATAAAAGACAAGATGTGTATAACACCTACCAGGTTGTGGATGTTCTTTTAATATAGGTACAGAATGTACATCTCCTGATTTAGCCCAGGAAGCAGGAAGCCTGAGTCATTCACATTTCTTCTCTTGCTCATTCTGTGAAATATCCAGAGCAGTTCTAAGAGACAACCTTCTAAAAATGTATCTTTGAAGGATTATTCAAAATTTCAGACAGCAGCCCACTTAATTATAATCCTCAAAGAGCCAACTTTTCTATAACAGGTGAGAAACCAGTAATTTATTCCATTCTGTATATGTAGATCTGCCAAATGGTCCACATACATATCGTCTGGAAGATCTTGCCTATACCAGGAGTGGGGACAAAGGCAACACAGCAAACATTGGTATGCTCCTTGTAAATACATCTGTATTGTTTTAAAATGATTGTTACATCACATTGGGAATGTGCTTGGCTCTTTTGCAATCACATTTGTCCTCAAAGGTGTATAACAAATGCTTTACTCACCAGTCTTCCCCAATAAAGAGGTTGATAGTTTTTATCGCTCTGTGGATATCTAAATTTGAAAGAGTCATTAAAATAGTGTTGGAGCAGCTAGACCAAAATTAAAGAGAAAGAGAGGAAAATGAAATGTTTGCATATCTCCTAACATGGTGAAAATGTTTGTTTAACCATACAGACTCTGTGTTACACTGTTGTAGATTCGGAGAGTTTATCCATTCAGTGTTTTTTAAAATTCAGTTATATAGAATTGAATAGAAGTATAAAAGGAATGTATATATAAAAACCTGAAACTTCCTTTATACTAAGTCTTATCATTGATCCATGGAGCCTAATGTTGTTTTAGGGAGTGGTCTTTGCCAGCCTTATCTGAAAATGGGGACTGAATCTTGTACATAAAGAGCATACACTCCCCTAAGAAACTATGGGGCTGCCCCTGCTATTTCTGTGTAGTTAGCCCTTGTACTTAAACTGAATATCATTTCACATTTTTCTTTACATTTGAATTATTGTCAAATACATCTCATTCTTCAAAAATATAACTAAATGAATGCCTATTTGATGAGAAAAGTATTTTATTTTTACAAACAAAAGAGGCTACGAACTGTTTCTAGTAATTTGGCATGGGGGCTGATCTGCTAGGACAGTGGCTTGTATTATTTATAGTATGGCTCCGGACAACCAATATTGAGCTGGTTCAGAGGGTTTGGAGCTTCATGAAGCTTCAGGCTTCTGCATTCTTTCTTTCTTCTGAGAGAAGGTTGCTTCTTCTTTTTCCTGGTTTGAGACATCTTAGTTTGCGTAGCATAGTTTGCATACCGAACTATGGTTTGTCTCAAACCAGAAAGAGAGTACATGAGTCTAAGGATCCTTAAATCTCAGTTTTGTACTGCTGGATTATGCTTTGGATTATGTCTAGACCAGTGCTCAGTGAATATGTAGGTTTGAAGAGTAAATCTTTTAGTTCTGCAGCATGGAAAGGAAAGGTAGGGCATCTTAGTATCACTAACTTCATGGAAGCAGAGAATTTTACTTCTCATGGGGCAAGACATGAATTGTCTACTTATTAATTAACAGTTGATGAGACAAATTATTATTTATGCTGTAAAGGTGATCCCTAGGCTTAGAGGCAGCTGAAAAAGCAAAGATTTAAACTAGAAAAATAGCACTGAAATTGGACTATTGGAGAACTTAATTCCAATTTACAGAGGAAGTAATATTAGGAAATTTAAGTGTTTTCTAACATTTAGGGTTTACCTGATGTTTTATCCCAAATGTATTAAATTCTTTCAGACAATCCAGTCTAGAATAATATAATACAATGTTGTGCTTAGCAAATCTCCATTTTTTTTTAATTTGAAGACTATTAGGATGTGTACAGACATAACTTGAATGGTAGGACTGCTTTGGATCCACTCACATTATTTTGGTCAGACATGCATCCTTTCTGAAAGTATTTTGTTCTGGAGGAGCTAGTTCTCTTTTCCAGCAGAAGCCAACTGTTTGAAGTCCTAATTGGCTGGCCTTGTAACCATGACATACCCACCTTTTCATTTCCTAAACAAAGTTTCAAGAAGGAAAAGGGGTTTGCCTAATATTTAACTGAATACATATGCCTTTAAAGACTGGATTCAGATGAAATGTGTGTGTCATTAGAGGAACAAAGATGGGAAGCAGAACCATCCCTTCATCAAAATAAAATGTACAAATTCCTGTAGGTTGGTGTGTAAACATCTTTATTCTTAGCACTGAAGTAAAATGATGAGTATTTTCTTGTGTGTTCAGTAATGTGTCATATTCCTTTTACATGCTTCCAATGATTCTCTTACTCTCTGGAAAGAAGAGAGATTGTCTAGGTGCTTGTAAATTGAAGGTGTGTTTTGATCCTTAACTGTTGTAAAAGTCAAATAAAATAAAGGAGTTTTTGTTAGGCTTTAAGGATTTCACCCTTGCCTATACAATTTCTTGTTTATATCACAACATTCTGAAGAGAGATACAGAAAAATAGTGCTCTCTGCTTGTACCAAACTAGGACTGGGAAAACCCAGGTCTGAATTCCTTTTCAGCCATGCTGGTCACTAGGTAATCTTGGGATAGCCACCATTTTTCAGCCAAACCTACTTCACAAAAGTTCTTTGAAAATAATAAAGAGTAGGGTACCATATGTCCTGTCCAGAACTGCATGGAGGAAAGGTTATATAAATTAATGAGACTGAGATTGAGAAAGGGAGATACTGGAGGGTTTAGAAATATCAATGGCCCACAATATTCAGTCTAATTGCCTTGAAATAATGGTGCTCTTCAGAATACGTCACAGTAGAAAAGTTAAACTATAAAATTACCATATTTTATGTAGTTCTAGTATCATGATTGAATGGGATGATGTTTGTGTTTTGTCCTACTTTTATCTTACTGTATATCATGGCTGACAATCAACATAGTTGCCACACGAACCTGGCAGTTGAGATTAAGTTCTCCCTATAAATCTACTTCTGTAAACAAGGGGCGGCATAGAAATGTAATAATAATAATAGTAATAGTAATAGTAATAGTAATAGTAATAGTAATAATAATAAAAAAAACACTTCTCTCCCCTCTTCCCTTTCCAGCAGATCTAAAGTGCAGTGCTTTATTTAAGCTGGACAGGGTTTTGTTTTGTTTTTTGTGATGCAGTGTGTTTCATTAAAAAATTGTTCTTAAGCATCAATCAGCATAAATTTCCTCTAGTTTGTGGGGATTGCTCTTGCCCATATGAAAAGTCGATTTCAAACTGTAGACCCTCTCTTCCCTTCCTATCCCAAAAGGCTTCCCTCAAGTTTGTATTGCTTGTGAGCCAGATGGTAGGAATGCTGAATGTTAGTTAAATGGCCTGTCTCTTTGGCTTGATGTCTGCCTAGCTCACTAGGTTAATGAAGTTACACCCTTCCTTCTCAGACTTTGCCTGTTCTACAGTGCTTCCACCAAAACTGGATGTGTTTTGGTTCTTAGCAGCTGTCTCACAAATCTTGCTTTTTAACCTTGCTATTTCTGTGCCACATTCCAGTGCCTCTCCTTTTGCTCCTAATTCACATTTTGAGTCTTAAGTTTTTAACTGGGCTGCTATGTTTTGAAAGAAACAGGCCCCACCTGTACACCTACCTACACCTACCTTCGAACTTTAGATAGCTGGCTACTAGAAACTGTGTCTTTTCTGTGCTGGTACTTAGTGTTTGCCTGGAACCTTTTTTGTTATCTTTTAGACCATGTTTTAAGATTACTCTTATTCTTCTTGTATTGGCAAAAACAACTAATCATAAGTACAAACCACAGATGAAAATATATTTCCTATTGGAAGTGGAGACCTAATTATTTTTAGCTAGGATAGCTGTTGATTTTAAAATAATAAAGATTTGAAAATTTTTAAATATATATAAATAAGATGCTTTTGATGCTTCATGTAGAACAATAACTGGCTTTGTTTTGCTTATCTGTAACAATAGGTGTTATAGCCCGGCATCCCCTCTGTTTCCCATATCTCAAGAAAGCATTAACTGCTCAGGCTATAAAAGATTATTTTCAGCATCTTTTAGAGTCAGAACAGCCTGAAGAGAACTTGGTCACAAGGTATGTGCTCTTCATATTAATACATTCATGTAATGTGGTTTGATGAAACTGGTTGAAATTATTTGATTATAAGGAAATATTCAGATTTGAAATAAGCTTTAAATTTATGACTAAGCAAGCATCTATCTTAGACAGAATATTGGTTACATATAAATGTTTCTTAAAAGGGGATGATCCAGTTTCACAAGCAGACATGCAGTGTGTTAAAGGAAGCTCTTCTCTTCAGAAAGTTGCCCTCCACACATAGAGAACAGTGAACACAACAACAGAGCAGGTGGAACTAGCACATTTTCTCTCCTCGCATGTTTTTTCTAACCAGGTGGGAAATCCCAGAATACAGCTTCTGTGAGTCAGTCTACCTATAAAATGTGTGGCTAAAAGCCATTTAAGACTTGAACCTGTTTTGCATGACATGGCAGCTCACCATGGCTTTATCTACCTGTGAGGCTCTTTGCAATGTGTTGGGCTTCCATGAACTGCCCAGACAGAAGCATTGTTTGCAGGTTAGCTGGTTCTCAGAATAACCCATGAATTGTTTTAGAGGCATAAACAAAATACAGGGCTCAAAGAGCCCTCAAACAACTGCTATTGCCAGGGTTCACATAACATGACAAATTATGACAAGTCCATGGGTGCCATGGAAATATGCCTAAGAGTGCTTGGCATAATATAACAGCCCCCACAGATAAGGAATGGTAGACTGTTGCAATGCAAAAAGAAGCCCATGGAATGTTTGTGAGTCAGTTAAAAACAAACAGCACCACTGCAAGGAGTTGGGCAGAGGAAAAACAAATTAGTTTATTTGAGCTCCTGACAGTTTATCCTAAGTATCTTGGAAGGGGAAAATTACCTTTCCATCTCCAATACTCTGTTCCACCCCCACTATGCAACTGAAAAATGAATATTAGCATAGGCTAGCTGTTTTCTGTTGAGTGCCATTTAGCACAGCAGGGATGGCCAGTGGTTGAGAAGTGGGGGGCAGAAGCCTTTCCCCCTTCCCCATAGATCTCTCCCCCCCACTCTCCTCCCCCCCCACACACACACACTTGCAACAAAAAGAAACTTAAGTGGAAGGGATATACTGTAACATTTGGTCTCACACTTGTGTGTGTGTGTACCCATGTACCAGTCACAAGAAGGACATGCATGATCAAACTGGTGAACAGGATAACCCTAATCCTAACCCAAGTCCTGGCTTCTCCCTTTCCCTTTCCCTTTCCAAATCTTCATGTCAGGAAGGGAGGGTACAGCATTTTGTACAGCATCTAGCACACTGTGAAACTCAGGGCACAATCTTATGCTTAATTTGATAGCAAAAAGTCTTAACAGCTCTCAGCATCCCTGAGGAATGCTGGAACATATGTAGGATTGCATCCTAAATAAATGTTTCATTACAATAGTAGTGGTAATTCAGATCTACAGCATTGCTGTATTGATACAACCTAGCTTAAAAATGCAAGCCATCTGTTATTCCTAGCATTGGATTATGTAGCTTTGTTGTTGTTAGAATACTATATGCAGTGAAGGTAAGCCGAGAAATAAGTGTGGAATGTTCTTAGGTTTTAAGTTTATGAAGGCTTTTAATTGTCAGCCCTTGAACTCGTGTTCTGAGAATATTACAGTCTGCTGTGGAATTTCTTGTAAAGCATGCAGTCCTTCTGCAGTTGTTTGTTTTGCTTCATTGTGTCTGTATCAACTAAGAAAATGTTCATGATTTTGTGGTCTTCAGATTCTATAGATTTATGTATGAAAGTACATTTTGGCTAGAGAATAGTTAAATGTCTCTCTGAGCCAAATGCTGAGTGCTACAGCTAGCATGCTGGCTTTTTTTGTGAACAGATTTCTTTATTGTTCTTATAAATGTCTGTTCAGGTAAAGTTGGGAAATTTGGGATAAATCAAATTTCTTGAATTAATCAAAATTTATATTGTGTTCCTTTTAATGATGTGATTAAAAATAATTATATGAACCAAGTGAAAAGCAACCACAAAGAAGAAAGAATGCTTCTGTGTACCCTTTAAGGATTAGAAGGAATTATACTCACATGTTTTAAGATTTGAAGGCTTCTTATTTGACTGTGACAATTGTATGCCTGTGGGAACAAAAACAAAAGCGAATAAGCTTCCTGTTGAAACAGAAAAGTACATTCAAGTATTTTTTACTTGTAATGTGAGCTGTAATATTGCATTCTTTACATGCTCTTTCATACTGGAAAAGAAAGTTATACAGATAGTGACCAAATTTGCATGTTATTTAATGCACTGCCTGCAAGATTAGTTAATCACTGGGTTGATATGCTAAAAACTTCTTATTGGAAGGAGCTCATACACAACACATGTCCCCCAAAAGATGAGCTAATCAGTAGTAACCATACTGACCCAATAAATGCTTTTTGGGGGTAGAAATAAGTATAAAATGTATATTTTTCATTCCTGTTCTGGTCTGGATTTCAAACAGCAATAACTGGGAGTAAGGCCCACTGAAGTAAGTGGGACTGTTTTTGAGTAGACATGTGAAAGATTGTGTTGTGAAAGTATAACCTTTGGTCTTGTAGCTTAAGAAATAAAATGGTGTGTACAGAGTTGACACATCTTGGTTTTGCCAAAGAGCTGAATTTCAATTTAGGAGATGACTGCTTTACAGATACATGGCTACAGAATGCACAGTTTAACTCTTTGCATGGTATTTAAAGCTTAATCACATAAAAGGACTCTTAACTGCAAATACTGTTGTGAGCCGCCCCGAGGCTTTGTTGTGATGGGGGTGGCATAAAAATGTTTTAAATAAATAAATAAAAGAATCTTGACCTAGATAGGAATTCCCAGGGGCTGCTTTGGCCTGTCCTGCAGAGGTTAACCACCTCTGGTATATTAAAAATATAGAAGAAGACACATTTTCTCCCTCTCTCATGTACTAGAACCTGGGGAAGCTGATTAGTGGGAAATTTAGGACAGACAAAAGAAAATACTTTGTTAGTGATCCTATGACAGCCTTACCAGAATAGACATGTGGACAAGGTTGGCATCGTATGGACAGAATATCTCTCACAGGGACTAAGCGTTATACCTGTGTCTCTGCTGTAGTGCCTTTGGTTGCTGGTGGGTTTTCTTTTTAGGTTGGTAAAAGTTTGTAAATAAGTACAAGCTTGCTATTCAGGCCCTGTGCGAGTGAAGTGTCACTCCATGATGGGTAATATATCATGATGATATGTTAGAATGGCTTTAGCTGGGACTATAAATGATAAGAGATTTTCTGTTGGCTTTTCTTTCTGTTTATCCTGTAATAGATGTTACCTGGGTGGCCACCTGTTTTTGTTTTACTTTGTTATGTGGGTATTTTAGTCTGAGAAATTCCTGATTCAGATCCTTAAGGTGTAAGTTGTTGTCTGAGTATGTGCAGAACTGACTGTTCTTCGTCGTGGCCTCTGTGCATCACACATGTGGATTCTGCGCCTGCGCAGTGCCTGTGGCCGGAAGATTGATAGCTAACGGTCTTGGCGGGAAAACTCCGCTCCCCTCCCCCCGAGCAGTATATATGGAGCGGAGTGTCCACCATTTTCCATTCTTTGCGACTGCCGTTCATTGTGCCTTGTGCCGCTTCGCTGTCGCTTAGATCATTACTTACCTCCTCTTGCTTGTTGGATTTTCTCCTTTTCTCGTACCAAGTTAGTATTCCCTTGTTCGTGTTACTCATTAGTACTTAGTTTCTTCATTTTTTCACTTCTCCTTGTTCCTATAAAAACAAAAAACAAACAACCAAAAATATTATCTACTCCCTCTATACTATCTTCTTCTTTTCTGCTTCTGTGATGGTGCAATGGGCGGCGTTCCGCAAGTGCGGGAAGTGTGGCTCCAAAATGTCCACTGCGGACCTGCATGACCTGTGCCTCCTTTGCCTGGGAGAGGGGCACAGGACAGATAAATGTGGCCACTGTTTGGCCTTCTCCAAACAGGCGAGGAAGAATCAGGAGAACCGCCTCCACAAACTCCTGTGGGACCAGGTTCTCCTCCAATTGGCCTGGCTGGTGGATAAGCCTCCCACAACTTTGGCTCCACTTGAGAGCCGTCCGACTTTGGCTGATCCGCCTCACCGCCCGGCCTCTTCCTCAACTGCTCCACCCTTCCGACGAAGGCGCTCCTACCATGGGCAATCAGCCTGTTTCCCCACCAAGGAAACAAAAGGAGAAGAGGAAGCACAGTGACCCAGGAAAGTTGCCTGTGCACAAGAAGACCAAAAAAGGATAAAGCCGGAAAGCCGATTAAAAAACCGAGGAATCCTGAGCATTCCAACCCCAGCGGCTTCTTTGATCCCGACTCCAATCGCAGTACCGGCCCCCTCGGTTCCAGCCATCCTGGTGGCTATGAGGGTCACTCAGCCGGGCTCCCCATGCCGGACTGGATCTGAACTACTCCAGGATCCACAACGCGGCTTGATTTCGGATGGCGAAATAAGAGATTCACCACCGAGAGCTCGGTCTCCAACACGTATGCTGCCTGTTCCTCTGGATACCGACATGGGCATGTCTACCCTGAGAAGCCGCAGGAGTCGTTCTTTGGATGCCAGATCCGATGACTGGTACCAGTCCTGGTACTCCTCCATTCCAAGATGGGAAGAATACCAGTCTGTCGGCTACTACCCAGTACGCAGAGGCTGATCTTCTCCGCCAGCTTCTCGGGATCATTTTCACTCTACACCTAGAGACGCCCTGAGGGCACCATCTGGAGAGAGCAGCAGATCGGAGTCGCCAGGAGATTCCTCGTCCAGTGTCCCACCTCCCTACTGGATGGTCTCAGACAAGTCCGAGGTTGACTCGACTTCATCAGATGTGGCGGTTACTTCGCAAGGCCCGGGATCGCCTGAAGAGCCGCACATCTCTTTCGCCTAACTGATGTCTAGGCTGGTGAAGTCACTTGAGATTGAAGCCCACCAACAACCGGGACCCAGTACCGACCGCTTTTACAATGTGGTCAGGGGCGAACAATCCACCTCCATCGCCCTGC